AAGCTCCTTTCGAACAGGTGTATGCTAATTGCGATGCTTAATTTTCTTCGTGTGGACTAGAGCTACAAACATGTGCATATATATAGCTTCGCATCATCCATGAGAACATCAAGTATTCTTAGGCAAACTGAGTGTCTGTCCTGCTGTGCTCCTCAGCCATTTCTCCTACAGGTTCCCTGAGCTGCTTCGTTAACTACATCATGCTTCCGGCATCCCTGAGTCAGCTCGTGAATAAGCAGCTCTTTCACAAGGTCCGGCGACTGCTAGCCTCGGCAATCGCTAACCTCGGCAATCATATGTTCCAACAATCGCGGGCTTCAGCAATTGAATAAGCTCTAGAGATTTTTTGACGTATCTTCAACTGAATCTAATCGTAGCCTCCAATCGCACGCCGTGTCGACGTCTGGAACTGAGCAAGCTGCGACTCTAGGCTTCCATGAGTTCTCGCTTGCTTGAAAGAGCATGTGTGGGAGACTAGCAGATAAGGAGCTTTGTCTGGAGCGCTGTCGTTGAGGAAGAGGAAATTTTGTGACAGGCAGAATGACTCTAAAAAAAAAAGCGCAAACATGAGGTGCAGAAATTAGGCACTCAAAATGAACGCCACGCAACACCCCACCGTGCTGTCAAATTGTGCACAAGCCCGCAACACGCTTTCGACACCATCCCGTTCAACAATCTGAGACTATGGCTGTTCAAGTATGAATGATATAGGGAGGCCAACCCTAACCCTAACCCCAACCCTAAGCTAAGCTAGCCCTGGCCCTGAAACTGTGATACTTGCTCCTTGCTCCTTGCTCTAAAGGAAAATCTACTATTGACTCTGACTCTAGAGATTGTGTACTGAAGTTGGAATGACCCAACTCTACCTGATCTCTGAAGTCACCACCAGGAGGTACATGGTATGGAAGCGGACCTCAAGTCCAGCTTCAAAGCACAAAGAAGGAAGAAGAGCAGATCTGCGAATTGCGAGAACAAGACCAAACACCAGAATACTAAAAGTACATACAGCACGCGCATAAACTGTCCCATAATTTTACATGTCACCATACATCACTCTAATGCTCAATAGCTATAAGTTGTATTGCCACACTGTCTCATATCATCTGAAAGCCCTGCTTCTTCTCTCCAAGACTGTGTAATTGATATTGACATTGACTAAAAAAATTGTGCTATGAAGAAGAGCCAATTTTTTTTTAATTGTGGGACAGTTTATGGAGTGCTCCTTGACAACACCTTAGTACTTCATATTCCCTCCTTTGGCCTTCAGAACTGCCTTGATGTGGTCTGGCATGCTCTCTATTAGCATCCTACATGTCTCTGGAGTGATTGCTGTCCATTCAGCTTCACATCTCTTGAGCAGTTCATCCCTGGACTTTGCAATTGTACTATACCATGAAAGTCGCATTTTGAGATGGTGCCAGAGGTGTTCAATTGGGTTTAAGTCTGGCAACTGCACCAGCCATTGCATAACCTTAATGCTATTGCTTTCCAACCACATTATTGTCTTCTTTGATGTGTGTTTCAGGTCATTGTCTTGCTGAAAGGTGATGTCAGTGTATGCATGCTGAAGCTGCAAATCTGAGATTGTTTTCAAAAGCTTGTCATTCAAGATACCAATGTATTGGTCTGAATTTATTGAACCCAGCACCAAGTGCATACCTCCCACCTGTCATGGGCCTGGATGCTCAAGAAGCAGGAGGGTCACTGGTTCATATGGAAGGAGCACAGGTATCGAAGATCTAGTCGATACCAGTAGAGAGCATGGTCATAGTGCAGTCTCCATGGAGACCATGGACTCCTATGGACTCACATGCAAAGGAGGGCCAAGCACAGCCACAAGGAGGACCAAGCTCAAGGAGCAGGCACAGCCACGAAGAGGACCAAGCTCAAGGAGCATGCAGATGGTTACCACTCAGGGGCTTGAGAGACAAGAGCCAAAGGAACTGTCACTGATCAAAGGAGAAGGAGCAGTGTCGAAGGAGTCGACACCAGGTCATGAGGAGGAGGAGCAGTGTCAAAGGAGTCAACACCATTCAGGAGGCACAGGGGTGCCAAACAAGCAGCAGGATAGCAAGGAGGAGGAGCAGTGTCGAAGGAGTTGACACAGCTCAAGAGGCACAGGGGTGCCAAGCAGGAGAGGCCCCTGAACAGTAATCGATGAAGAAGGTACTCTCTGGAGAGAGAGCAGGAGCAGCATCACTGGCGATGCTGTGAAGAGGTATATAACCATGCTTTCTCATCATCAATAGGTCGAGTGGATCCTCATCCACTCTACTCACCATATAACTAGTTATCACTTCAGCATAAGTATACATTAGTTTCAGTCAGCATAGCAGCAATCTATCAAGGTTGCTCCTCATCGTAGTGTGTGTGTTGTATCACCACTACCTGACGTCCAAAGGCGCCCATAGCAGGTTAGCAGTCCAGATCAAGATAGAACCGAAGGCAGTAGTCCACTGCGGTCCGGGGATCACTTCAAGCATCAAGTCAACACACTGGACACTCGTGTTGACGCCACCAACCTTATCACCAACACCATCAACCTCATTATCAGCAACACTCACCAACCTTATCACCAACGTCATCAACCTCATCATCATCAACACTAACACCAGACCTTGGTGTCATCATAACCGAAGCATTGATATTGATCATGCCGAGCTACCCCTGAATGGAGTGTCCACAGAGGTCAGCCAAAACCTACAATAGTATATATGATGAATGCCACCTGCTGTCACTTTGCAACTTGATAGTCACCGATGTCAGGGGTCTCGCGCCTGAAACCCAGGTCGGTCTGTCGAGATACTCGGTGACTATCAAACTGTGCGACAGCTATTGTCTCGGTATCAGTGACTATCAAGTTGTGCAGTGACAACAGGTGGTGTTCATTGTATATACTATCGTAGGTTTCGGCTGACCTCTGTGGACACTCCATTCAGGGGTAGCTCGGCACGATCAATATCAATGTTATGATGACACCAAGGTCTGGTGTGAGTGTTGATGATGATGAGGTTGATGGTGTTGGTGATGAGATTGGTGATGTCGATGGTAATGAGGTTGATGGTGTTGGTGATAAGGTTGGTGGCGTCAACACGAGTGTCCAGTGTGTTGACTTGATGCTTGAAGTGATCCCCGGACCGCAGTGGACTACTGCCTTCGGTTCTATCTTGATCTGGACTGCTAACCTGCTATGGGCGCCTTTGGACGTCAGGTAGTGGTGATACAACACACACACTACGATGAGGAGCAACCTTGATAGATTGCTGCTATGCTGACTGAAACTAATGTATACTTATGCTGAAGTGATAACTAGTTATATGGTGAGTAGAGTGGATGAGGATCCACTCGACCTATTGATGATGAGAAAGCATGGTTATATACCTCTTCTCAGCATCGCCAGTGATGCTGCTCCTGCTCTCTCTCCAGAGAGTACCTTCTTCATCGAGTACTGCTCAGGGGCCTCTCCTGCTTGGCACCCCTGTGCCTCTTGAGCTGTGTCGACTCCTTCGACACTGCTCCTCCTCCTCATGACCTGATGTCAACCCTTCGACACTGCTCCTCCTCCTCATGACCTGGTGTCGACTCCTTCGACACTGCTCCTCCTCCTTTGATCAGTGACAGTTCCTTTGGCTCTTGTCTCTCGAGCCCCTGAGTGGTAACCATCTGCATGCTCCTTGAGCTTGGTCCTCTTCGTGGCTGTGCCTGCTCCTTGAGCTTGGTCCTCCTCGTGGCTGTGCCTGGCCCTCCTTGCATATGGGCCCAGTCCTCCTTTGCATGTGAGTCCATAGGAGTCCATGGTCTCCATGGAGACTGCACTACGACCATGCTCTCTACTGGTATCGACTAGATCTTCGATACCTGTGCTCCTTCCATATGAACCCATGACCCTCCTGCTTCTTGAGCATCCAGGCCCATGACAACCGATACCGAGACAATAGCTGTTGCACAGTTTGATAGTCACCGAGTATCTCGACAGACCGACCTGGGTTTCAGGCGCGAGACCCCTGACACCACCCCTTCCCACATCATACAGCCCCAGATCATGATGGAGCTGCTGCCAAACTTGACCATCAGCCTGACAAGCTTGCTGTTGAAGCTGGCATTCTTAATCCAACAGAACTGCTTACCATCCAGTCCAAAGAAGTTGATCTTCATCTCATCAGACCATACCACATTCTTCCAATCCTCAACAGTCATGTCCTTGTGCTCATTAGCAAATTTGAAATGGGCTTTGTAATGTCTCTTGAGTAGCTTTGGTTTTTTCACTAACCTTCATGCTTTGTAATGACAGTAATGAAGTGCAGTTGGGCATGCTTTGATTTGAAACATCTCCTGCAGTGCATGACATGCTTTCCTGACTGTGGAGGTTGAATTGAGCTCAAAATAGTGATCCAGGAAGCAAACATGATGAGGCTGGAGTTTTCTCAGCTGGCCCCCCTTTGACTTTGGAACATCAGCAGAGGTACTTTTGCTGATGTGATTCACAGTAGACTTGCTCATACCAAGTTGTTCTGCAACTGAACAGATAGATTCCCCATTTTGGATGTGAAAGAGTGCCAATTGGCACCTCTCTGGGATGGTTTTTGGCATGATGGTATAGATATGATGGTGTCAGACTGGAAGTGCTGCCAGATTGCTCACAGTCATCTGATTGAGCTGAAACTTTCCACATCACTACTTTCAATGTGTATGAAGGTGCCCACCAAGTTACATTGCAAGTTTCATTGTAGTCAAAAGCTCACAAGGTCAGGAATGGAGTGGTGTCACTATTTGGGAGCATGCTCCATAAACTGTCCCACAATAAAAAAAATTTCAGCTCTTCTTCATAGCACAATTTTTTTAGTCAATGTCAATATCAATTACACAGTCTTGGAGAGAAGAAGCAGGGCTTTCAGATGATATGAGACAGTGTGGCAATACAACTTATAGCTATTGAGCATTAGAGTGATGTATGGTGACATGTAAAATTATGGGACAGTTTACGCGCGTGCTGTAGAACCTTAGGCTACACGAAACTGGAAAGGACTCAAATCAGGCAGCTGAAACTCTTCCCCTCCTCCTCCCTCCTTCATCCCCATCCCACCGAGACTAGGAGGGGTAAACTCAACCGAACTCCCGTAATCAAGTGATCCCAACGTAGCCGTCGTCAGCGGTGGAGAAAGAGAATGGTTGGAAGAGGCTCTACTTGAACTTGCGTCCGAAACCTCTGAACTGGCATGTTTAGGAGGCAGCGTTGTAGGAGTTAGAAAAAACCCCTGATTCGCATTCGCATTGTTGCAAGGGTGGGGAGAAGAGGTCGGATCCAGATCGAGGTCTGTCCAGAATGGTTGCATTCCTCCTCCGCTGGGTGTGTACGTTTGTTGCTGTGTTGGCACTGGGACGCTGAGATTCGCACCACTATCAGCGGCAGCACCACCTTCGTTGAGAATCTGCCAGCAAGATTGCCACACATCGTCGGGCAATACTGACACCTGTCCCTCCGCTCCTCCCTGATGACAAGTAGAAGCATCGGCAAGGAAAGATTCGATCGCACTAGCGTTCTTCCTGCCCAGTCCTACCTCTGCCACCTCCTGCTCGCAGCGTTGTTGCTGCTGCTTCAGTGGCGAATGTAGATCCAACAACTTCCTAACCTCCACACTTGCATCCACCGCCATAATACTTCGATTGCTCAACTGTTCCAACGCCCAGATACACTTCTCCACCCTCTCCTCCGCACTTTTGACCTCTTCCCACCTTCCTTCCCTCGCCCATCCCGCAAATGCCTTGATCTCGCTTTTTGCAACACAGGCGAATCCATGAACTGAAATTTCCGGCCACGGATCACTATGCAAGATAGTGCTGTTGGTAGCTTCGATAAAGTCGAACGAACTCGGACTGCCAGCTTTGGCCATACTACTCGCCAAACTCGAATGCTGAATAGCATAGATCAGCGCGGCGGTTTGGTTGCATACCTTGCTACGGAGCGAAGCGAAGACTTGATCGGTGTTGTTAAACGGGTCCGAAGCGGAACGGTCCATAGTAGAGACGAGCTCGACGAGGAGGATTGCAGCAAGGTTCCACTTCGTAGCGGTGATCACGTGCCAAGATTGAATGGAGGGCGGAAGTTCGGAATGGTGTGCGATACAAGAAGCGAAAAAGGGAGCGAAGGTTTCATCCCAGTGTCGAACCACGGACAACACGTGGGTGATCTGTCTCTCGATCTGTTCGGCGGGGGCTTGACGCCAATAGCTCGATTGCAGACGACCTACGTGGCGGAAGAGCAGGACCTTGATAGGGGTGGCGTAGGCAAGGGTGCGTTTGGCTTCTTCTTCAGAGCATGGCCAAGATTTGGCAAAGGTGTGCATGTTTGATTTGCTGTTTGCGGGAATTACTTCGTCCCAGATCTTGCGGAGCGGTTTTTTGCGGGTGCTGCCCGAGGTAAGGAAGCTGTCTGTTTCGGATGCAGAGGGTTGGGTGGAGAGGAGTTGGTCGGTGAGCTCTGCATCTTCATCGCCAATGACAGCGTCGTATTTGCGGAGAACGGAGAGTTCGGTATCCATCATACACCCGAACCAGTAGAGATTGTGGTAGGTGTTCTCCAGTAGTGTTGCTTCAGCTCGGCGGTGAGCAACCTGGGTGGGATCCAGGCCGGGTTCTTGAGTTGACCAGAGATCGATGCCTTTCCGCCTGAGCTGTTGGATCTTGAGACGGAAAGCTTTGAGCTTGCGCATAGCAGTGGCCAACATCATGGTACTCGCCTCTGCAGGGATCTGCCATGAGCTGGAGTCCAGCGCCGAGTTCTCATCCAGCGAAGGAACGTGTAGCTGAGAAGGATGATCATGACTCGGATCATCCCGAGGAAAAGCTTCATTGTCGGGCACTTCCCTCGGCTTTTCCGTCCAAGCGAACAATATCAGCGCAAAGACGATTCTAAAGCTCCACGCATCGGCAGCATCCATGAGTTTGTCTCTGGCCTGTTTCCACAGCGATAACCGGATCCTTGCTTCGTCCGGCCTCCATCCACCGCCAGCCTCTTCGCTTCGGTGTCTTGGCCATTGGGCAGCATAAGCGAGGAGTACAGCGTGATATGCTTCCGAAACGCGCTTCTCGACATTGCGATTGGCGTTGTCAGGTTTGAAGATGCGTTTGGAGGCGTGGTCGAGCAAGCACACCTTTTTGTTGAGGGCCATAGCCGCAGAAGAAGAAGGCGGAGAGAAGGAAGAGCAGAGGGCAGAAGAGCAGAGGAGGTAAGGCGTGGTTGCATCGGTGACCCAAACTCTGAAAGCGGATTCTGCGGCTCCTTCGTATACATTCAAAAGATCGGTGTTGAGGTGAAATCGATCTGATGATTGGGCGAGGCGGACGGAAGGGGCTGTGTTCCAAATGTCGAAACCGAGAACGTCAAAAGGCGAAGTGCCATTTGCAGTAAAAGGTGACTGCGCTCGACTTCGTACTAGTGGCCCAGCACGGCTAGCATAGCTGGAAGTGGTGGCGTGATCGAAGTCGGCAAAGTCAGCAAACGTTGTTGTCGCTGTGGTGTTGCTCTGCTTACTTCTCTTACTGTCCCTCTCCTCTCCCTCTTCACCACCTGCTTGGGAGGTGTTGTCGAGGACCTCAAATACGGCATCGACATTACCGATACTTTCCGCTACACTCTCCCTTCTTCTTTTCGCGCCTTTACTACTCTCTTCCATGGCCGCCACCATACTTTCGTCCGCCATTATTGCGGGTAGTTGAGACTGCAAGCTCTCAGCAAACGCCGCCCCAGTCAACCCACCCAGTGGAATTCCGCCAAATGAGTTGATCAAGCTGTTAAAGGTGCAAACCTGGCCTTTCTTCTTGCAGTTAGTGCATGCCACCTTGCTCGCTAACGCTTCCGCAATGGAAACGTACTGAGCGGAACAGGCACGTTTGGCTTGTCGACAACGGTCGCAGTTCTTGTACATTTTCTTGCGCGAGCGTGCTGCACCAGCGCCGCCCGCAGCAGCGCAGGTGGAAGCCTCAGCGGCTGTATTTGTTGCGTTGTTGGTTGAAGACATTGTGACGGATCGTCCCGATGATGGTGATGGTGATGGTGATGGTGATGGTGATGGTGATGGTGATGGTAATGGTAATGGTGGTGGTGGTGGTGGTGATGATGAGGCTATAGGAAGGTGCAAAGGGTGGCGATCCTGAAATGGCAGATCAGTCGGTTAGGTTAAATGAAGTGTGCGGATCGGTGGTGCCGAAGATCGCTTCTGATGGCGTGAGAAGGCTAAGTCGGTGGCGTAAATCTTAGCACCTTGTGATGACAGAGTTGGTGATAGTGACGATAAGAAAGTTGTTCGCTGTCGGAACTGGGTGAAGAGTGGCGGGCAGCAAAGGAGGCCCGATTGTAGGAAGGACCGACGAATGGATTGCGACTATATATTCTGAGACGTTCCGTCAAAGAAATGCGGGGGAATGTCGCATCTTTCGATGCTCTCCACCGCAGTCTACGAGGGGAGATGAGGGAGAGACTAAAGATTAGATTGCAGAATGGCATTTTCGCAGAGATTCAGATCAGACACACCAAACATGTCTGCCCCGCACTTAACCCCCAGTGGGGGGCAGGACCCACTTCCCAAGGTCCATGATAATGCTATGCAATGCTACATCTGAGAAAATAAAGGAGTCATATGGATAGCCTTGATAGGCATATTGAAAGCACCATTGTGGTCACAATCTGCTGAGTAGAAGCAGGTTAAGCATCAGAAATGTTTGCTAACACCTAGTCTTTGGTTGAGTTTGCCACACTGAGAGCAGGTCTTCAATGTATATGCTTCTGATTGTATAAGAAGCACTGTTGGCCACCCACATTTGTGCAGATAGCATGGATCATGAGCAACATTGTGGCAATCAATCAGCAAACAGTTGATGAAGTTGCAGTGTCCCCAGCCCAGCAGCCTCCAGTGGGTGTTTTGGTGCAAGTGTCATAGGACCAGAGGCACAGAAGGAAGAGGTGCCATGCACACAAATCGCGGAATCGGGTGAGTAGTGGGTTCTGACAGAGTTTGGCAGGATCAGTGGAATCAAGACCTTATGACAGATCTCAACGAAACCAAACAAAGGGTGCTACTCACACTGATCTCACAAGACATGCCACGAAGAAGGAGACAGTTGAGTTGATAGGGGTCAGGTGACTTCAAGCAATGGATGGTGGCAGGCACAGAAGAGCTTGCCACCCAGATGAAGTGGGGAGAGGCCCCTGAGCAGCAATGAACTCAGCATAGGAAGGTTGGTGTTGTCATCAGAGGAGAGCAAGGAACTACAAGGGGGCAAGATGAAGGAGGGTGTGTCTTGCCACTTGGATGAAGTGGGAACAACCCCTATCAACAATGAAGTCACACTTAGTCACCTCAACAAAGAGCAGGAGGAGAAGGAGTGAGGACAAGACAGGTCACATATGGGACCAGGAGTAGAAGCTGTAGAAGCAGTGTCAAGAGGGACTTACACCTCCTAGGAGGGGCAAGAGCAGTGTTGCAGGCAACACTGTAAGAGTCTATATTTACACTCACTCCACCATTGTAGAGGAGTGGATCCTTATCCACTCTACACATAACTAGCTATATCTTTACCATATTGTATACTTAGTTGTCTTGTCAAACAGTTGCAATTGCAGGACATTGCTTCTACTATAGCACATGTGCCATATCACCACTTCTTGACATCATCCATAGGCAGTACTCCACTGCAAACCAGATATCAATCAATACTGAAGGCAGTCTCTTACTGTGGTCCAGCTCTCTCAATCTCATACCAAAGGCAGTCTTCCACTGTGGTCCAGATAACAATCAACCCAACCCAATTGTGCTGCTGTCAACATTACAGATGCTTGTGTTAAGATGGACACTGTTGCACCACACCCTGGTGTAGTCTCAGCAAGTTCCTTAGGGCTTTGATTGTGCCACACTACCACTGGACAGAGTGTCCACAGCAGTTAGTCGGAACTTGTTTGAAAGCAGTGTTACAATCTATTCCAGCAAAACCCCTTGTAAAGAGCTCATACAGGAGATTTCACCGAGACCAATCCTAATTGACCTTTAACACAGATTTCGGGTTCCAGGCACATGACCGCTTACAGCAAGTTCCTATTCTTCCTTTGTATCATCGTGCAAACCTCCATCGTTGGCATGACCACAATGTGGGATGAGGTCACTAGATAATTTGCCATCTGGCAATGTAGATTATTGATAAGCTGCTGCAGCTTTTTGTGGACCTTCTTTGAGCGCTTTTGAAGCTTGCAGCATTGCATAGATGACAAGGCAAATGGTGTCAGGGGTCTTGCGCCTGAAACACGAAAACTGCTGGATGAGCTTGTTCCAGCAAATATCAGCAAAATGTGTCAAGTGAGCTCCTCCTGGCAAATCTCAATGAGATGTGTTGGGAGACACACTTCTAACAGGTTTTGGCTGACCACTGTGAACACTCCATTCAGAGGTAGCATGGCACGTTCAGAATACTTGGATACTTGGTGAATTGTATGATACACCTGTCTTTGCACAAGTGTTTGTTATGCATGGACAGTTGTATGATGGTACTGGTTGTGGTGCCAGGACCACAGTGGAGGTGCTGCCTATGGTTGAGGTGTTGTAGCGTTGATTGAGGGGTCAACAACATCTAGAAGTGGTTATACAACACACACACACACACATGGAGTAGTTGCAATTCCCTGCAATTGCAACTGATGGCAATACTGAAAAAGAGACTGAGAAGCTATACTGAGCATATGGTAAAGTAACTGAAGTGTAAAGTGGATGAACTCCCACTCTTTCACTGTGACGAAGTGAATGTATGTATATATATGTATGTATAGTGTCGCCTGCGACACTGCTCCTGCTCCTCCAGACCCTGAGAGAAGCAAGCAAACAAGCCAATACTGTGACTGAATCTTGTGTTTTTGGACCCCTTTCTTTCTTGAAAAAGTGTTGGACTCAGTCACAGTGTCATGCAGCTCATCTGTGTGGGAACTGGCACAACACTTGTGACTCTCTTCATGACACATTGAGTGCAACACCAACCTTGACAAAGTGCAGCCTGGAGGTGAGTGCAAAGGCAGGGAAGGTGATGGAGAAGAAGAAAGAGAGGAGAGCAAGCAGGACAGGTTAAGGTGTTGTGACAAAATGGAGTGATGTGTGTTGGTCACGTGCCCCTTCGCTTACCATAGAGAACAACGGAGGGTGAAGGGTGGCTGAAGGGGCACTGCACAGTCAGTCATCTTGCAGTTCAAGTGTAGGTGCATTAGGCGTGGGATCTGTGTGTGTCTGTGTTTCTCTTTTTGAGAGGCAAATTGACCGAGCTACGTAGCTTTGAGCTCCTCTCTTCATTTTTCGGATTTCTTTTTGTTCTTCAGCCTATACCTCGCTTAGTGTTTCTGATTGCGGGGTAAAAAGACTGCTCGATCCCCTCATCTCCAGTTAGAGTAGGACTTTTGTTGCAGACCATCGAACGAACCTTTCTCTCGGCCTCCATAGTCACTCTTAATCACAAGAAGCGAGATCTAGAATAGGTCTTTGGCACAGCCTACAATTCAAGCGCCACTCGAGAATGCTGAGTATAAGTAAAGGCTGAGAAAAAGGGTGATGGAGGTGCGTGGCCGTAATCTCGAAAAATCCGACCAGATTACAGTAGAAGCGCTTGGCTTGGCTTTTGCTCCGACACTTGCGCCAGCGCTTCATCTCTCTTTGCTCCTTCTACATGGTCTAGCCGAATCGACCAAGCAGCAACGAAAGCCCGTCGGAAGATCACACGATGCCGTGTTACCTTTCCCCTTTATTCCTGACATCATCTCCCCACCTCGTCTCTCAGGATCTAAAGCAACCGTTCACCAGGCGCTCGAATGGAGAAGCGGAAGAAGAGGAAAGAGATGCAAGAGGCCGAGTATCAACGGGACCTACTCTAAATTATGGTAAAAAGGGGGTCAAGGCCATGTCCTACGTACTCCGCTTTGCTCATTGTTCAGTTGTCGGGCCGTTGGCAGAAGCGAATGTGGGGAATGTCCAAAGACGGCCGTATGAGGGTCTTGCTTGTGTTCGTACGAGCGGGAACGAAGACTGTATGGAGACGAAGCGGAATGTGATGTGGTGTGATGTCCAGCATGAGCGCTCAACTGCGGGGAAACAATATTCAATGCGATAGAAAAGCTTAACCCGGGTATAAAGTTTTTAATTCGACAGCGCCTGGGCCATGTGAGCGGTTGCCTTGGCGTGCTAGACCCTGCTGCTGCAAACTGTTGCTGTTTCCGCTCTTTTCTCTCGATTTTTCTAAGCGAAGCGAGCCGGATTTTAGCAACAAAAATCGTTGCGGGAGCTGCCGCATTTCAAATTTGGGTTTGCCGAAGCGACGCCAATATCTGACCTCCATCTACGATTCGCATCCCGACAAAGTCCCGATCTATTCGATGGCATCTTCCACGAGTCGTTCACCAAGCTGCAGATTCTACGTCTATTGCTAGGATCATCTGGATATCATATGTATGAGGTGGTACTGATTGTGAGAATCAGCGACGCTGCTTCTTCTTGTCACTACCGCTGTTGCGAGGTTTCCCATTCGAGCTTCCTCCTTTACGTTTGCCTGCGTCCTTGAGATCCTTTTTCTTCTTCGCATTCTCTGCTTCTGCCTCCTTCAACCTCTCCAACACGTACTTGAGCACTCTCTTCTGATCCATCAACACCCTCTTTTCTCCCAACCTCACCACCAGTGCCCTTCTCTCATTCTCTCCACTCACCTCACCCTTCCGGCTTCCGTACAACTTTGCTTCTTCCTCCTCGACCGAACCACCATTTGGATAATCTCTCAGCCTGAGATCGATCGCATTCATCATAATCTCACTGACAGAGACACGCACAGTCTTGCCTCCTTCCAAAGAGTGTTCTTCTTGCGCTTCCACTCTCGCACTCGGACCTTTTCCTTTCGCTTTCGCCTTCTCGAACGTCTCCCTTGACTGAGTAAGGACGCGGGCGAGAGCGATCATCTCTTCGGAGATTCCGCCGCCAGTGGCTGCTGCTTTGAGTTCTTTTGGGCTCGGTTTCTCGGGCTCTGCTCTGTGTGGCGGCTTTTTAGACGGTGTGAAGAGGTAGTTAAGGATGAACACTTCGTCAATGCCGAGGGATGAACATGCCCATTCCAGTCTCTCTTCTAGATCCTTCTTCAGATCTTCTTCATTGCGAGGGAGAAGAGAGGAAAGGTGGGAGAAGGTAGCTTGGAGGATGAGTTTCGCATCGAGTTCGACTACATCGCTTCCGTTGGGTTCGTCAACGTGACCATATCGACGTAGGAGATCGCTGTTCGGTGGGTCGGCGTAGGTGTTGAAGATCTGTTCACCGGCAGAGATGGGTTTGGTAGCTCGCATCTCGAGGACGTGCGACTTGTAGAAAAGTCGGGCATTATCGGATTCGAATCGCGCGTTGAGCATGTCTGCCATGGGAGTCATCGAGATATCGATCACGTTTTCTTGCTCTTGCTCTTCTTCGTCGTCATCATCATCATCATCATCATCGCTTTCGTCTGATTCGTTGCCGTCGTCTTTGGTCTCATCCACTTCTCCATCATCTTGTTTGCTTTCGTCCGCTTCATCATCCGTCCTGGCCTCTGCTGCATCGGCCTCACCCTCATCTTCCAGCACTTCCGCTTCGGACTCATCAACCTCCTCGTCCTCATCATCGTCCAGATCGTCCATATCAACCGTCTTCCCTTCCAATCCTTTCTTCCGACTCTTGACGTGAAAGCTGCGACTCAAAATCCTCGATCCCATAATGTGGTATGTCTCGAGCGGGTACCATTCCCGAACCTCTGCATCACGCTGCTCCTCACTCTCGACGCCATCCAGGAACACATCTGGTAGCGATTGAATGTAGGGAAGCGCCTTAATGTGGTAATCCGCCTCAGCCTCATCTCTCGCGATCTTATCCGCGATCGAAGTGCCTGCCAAATGTTTCAGATCTGCTTCTTGCCAGAACATCGGCGTGCTGAACTCTGTTGGCATGATTTCAAAGTACGCTCCCCAATTTTGCTCACCAAACTGTCGTGGAGCTTCGCGGTATGCTGCGCCCTCCTCATCGGTGCCTTCGACCTGAGCGATGTTATTCGATGGTGCTGCTTCAAGGTTCTCCATCGACACATCTCCGTCTTCAGCACTTGATCTCGACGTTGATGCGGAGAAGAGTTTGGCGGCTCTTCTACGCTCGTACATCATGGCCAATATGAGAGGTAGCCAGCCCATTTTGCTGATCTGCTTCCAAGTCAGCGCATCCGAAGAGGAGCTACTTGAGGAGGAAGTGGAGGCTTCAGCTTCTGTGCATCGTTGAGCGAGAGTTGATGTAGCAAGATTGAGCAATACGTGACGAGGGATCACAAAAATGGTGTCGCCTGCTTTAATGGGGGATGTGGCGACCATGCCTCTGCCCATGCCAGGGATGGGTTGGATACGGCATCGTTGGTCGAGGGTCCCTCCGGATTGGCGGAACCAGCGGAGGAAGTTGGCCTCCACTTCAGATGTCGTCTGCCTGTTGTCGGTTGACATTGTAAATCCAATCAATGTCGCTTGGATGGCCGACCTTGGTCTGTGTCGATGGTGTCTGGGTCTGGGTGGTGTGGACAAATCCTCCTTGCTGAACCCTGAACGTCAGCTTTTTCTTCTCAACACAGAGAAATTAGAGAAGTTTCGGTTACTTACCTACGACCAACGACAAACTCGTAAGCGAGTACGTCGGAGAGGTGAAGATGATGTTGGTGGTTCGGAAGCAACAACTTTGTCAAAGACCAACTCGATTTTTGGGTTGAGCAATTTGAAAAAAAAAAAAAAAAAAAAAAAAAAAAAAAAAAGATTAAAAATTCCAAGTGACGCGTCTGTGCGATTTATAAGCATGTGCTCAAGTTGAGGGAAACGTAACAATGGTTGGAGACGCGTCGGAACCAAACAGAGCCTACGGGGTCCGCGGAGGGCAAATAACCATTGATGATACGAAACCAGACGAAACCAGACGTCGGTGGCTACGCATGTGGGATGCATAGGCGTTACCATGACAACTTAGGAGCAATGTGAGGGGTGAACTAGTCATAGATGGGCACAGGCTGAAGGTAACCACCAAGCATGCACATATATATATGCTTATGTAAATAGCACTCAAAAATGACTCATCAGTAACTTAGCGCCAAAATTCTCAGCTGCTCACCAACCCGCGGCCCTCGGAACCGGCTGATACAGTGAGATCCGTGAGCTGGCGGATGGTAGTACTCGTGGTCGCGATCAGGCACGGGTCGGTAAAGTTAAGGTTCACGGCCTTCGGTCTCTATTACCCCGTATGTCTCTCACTTCATATACCCCATCATCAGCGCACTGCACTGCCGACAGCATGAACAGCAGCCAGGTCACCGCTTTCGCACTCAGCACACTACCTCCTGTTGTGTCTGAAAAGCTGTAATCGCTCTCACGCAGTGGGTAGCTTGCAAATGTTAGGAACCAAGTTGAAAGTTGACGAGGACGAGGACGAGGACGAGGAGTTCCTTGCCGACGTCGATTGGCCAGCAAGACCATCACCGCCGCAAGGACCTCTTGTAACTAGTGCATCAGCATCAACTCCTGTATCTAGTTCACAAGCACGCTCATTTCTCAATATACTTTCACACTCCACTCATCATTGGTAAGCAGTATATGTTACACTCCTCTCAAAAACATGCTTGAAGAGCAGTTAGGCGTTGACTTTTCCAACGCCTGCCTGCTACTAATTGAAAAGGGCCTTGGGCAGCGTCCACGCCTACGTCGACTTCGTTAACCTCGTTTAAAACTCAGCTGGTCTTTGAGGTCCTTGCCGAGGCCGAGTCCGGCGTGGACGTTACTACCGAAACCTCACTATTCTGGCTGCTATCTCGGAAGTCGGGCAGAGTCGGCATTCCGGCTTCAACATTCCCAAAAATGCGTCAAAAGTGAAAGAGAGCGCGTTACGCCACGCTCGAATCGACAACAACGACGACGGTTGAGCCATCCAAGAAGAAGAAACAAAGCCAAAAGCCAAACCCACTCTCGTTCCTTCTTCCTTCTCCACCACCACCACCTTTATCTCCTCCCCCACTGTGATCGCAAAGATGGCCTTCACCATCACCATCGAGAAACGCACCGCTCCGGGCAAGTCAGCCTCCAAAGGCTTCCCTCTCACCATCAACCTTGCCTCCGCCCAATCCACTCTTTCCGAAGTCAAAAAACAAGTTGCTTCCTCCTCTCGAAAACTCACCCCCGAACGTCAACGCATCACCACCGAAGACAAAAAGCCTCTCCTCGACGATGATGCCTCCCTATCCTCCCTCAACATCACCTCCGGTCAAACCCTCTACGTCAAAGACCTAGGCCCCCAAATTGGATGGAAAACCGTCTTCCTCACCGAATACGCCGGTCCCATCTTCATCCACCCCCTCTTCTACTACCTCGGTCCCAAAATCTGGCACCGGGAATACGTCCCTTCCAGAATGCAAACAGTCGCTCTCACTCTCGCCGTTGCCCACTACGTCAAACGCGAACTTGAAACCCTCTTCGTCCATCGATTCTCCAACGGCACAATGCCGTTGTTTAACATCTTTAAGAACTCCACCCACTATTGGTTCCTTTCCGGATTCTTGCTCGCTCCATTCATCTACTCGCCCTGGTTCTCAGCTGCGTCTATAGCGGGGACTATTCAGGATAACAACACGTTCATCTTCACCACCGTCGCAGTTTGGGTTCTTGCGGAGCTGAGCAATGCCTACACGCACATTATTTTGAAGAACCTCAGACCGGCGGGTACGAAGGTGAGGAGGATTCCAAGAGGGTTCGCGTTTGAGTTGGTTTCGTGCCCGAACTACTTTTTCGAGTTCGTAGCTTGGGCAGCCTTTACAGCGTTGACGCTGAACCCGGCAAGTGCTTTGTTTGCGGCGGTGAGCACGGGACAAATGTGGGTATGGGCGGTGAAGAAACATAAAAATTATAAGAAGGAGTTCGGTAAGGAGTACCCGAAGAGGAAGGCCATGTTCCCTTTCATTGCCTAAGCACGACACTCTCTTGTTCAGGAAGCTGCTGCAAACACAGCATGTTGTGCACAACCAGCCTGTTATTCAGCGTCGCCGAGATTCGAAGTGGTCTTCGAATGCAATGCAAATGCCGTTTCCCAAGGATAACAGAAATGAAAGTGCGAATGTGTGTGCGAGGGATCAACAATACGTAGGCCTCGAAACACGATGATAATCCAACAACTGTTCCGGACTACCATATACCAAATGCAACGGCTTTTCCAACTCTGGTAAAGAAGTCACTTTCTCTTGCCAACCCCATTTATTCTCCCTCCTTCTCCTTGATCTCATCGAATCATCATCGTCTTCACTCCCATCTTCTCCACTATCACCCCTGCTTTCCCCTTCTTGACTCTGTTCTGGATCCAAAGAACTTCTTCCACTTTCCCCTGCGTCCTCATCAAAACTTGACGGAACGGGCAAAAACACATCAGCCCTCCTCCCACTCGCCCGTACCACATCCTCCTCCTCCCCATCCCCTTCCTCCTCTCCCACTAACCCGCCACCCAACGTCGTCGGCCGCAACACATGCTCCAAAAACGCCCCAACTCTCCGATGCAGCGTCTCCAACCGCGCCACCAACCCGCCATACCGCAACTCCAACGTCTCCCAACCATGAGGCTTATACATCGACATCCAAACCTCCCTATGGTATCTCCACAACTTTCTCGCTGCGTCCGCACACCTCCCCGTCCTCCGATTCAACTGTTGCAGCTGAGGCCAATTTCTCGATACATACGCCTGATGCAACCTCTGCCTCAGATTTGCCTTCAACGAGAGAGTCCGGGCGAGTAGCCGAGCAAGTTCGAGTCGAGCGTTGAACGGGTGATCCGCTAAAATTCGAATTGTTTTCATCCCCCCACCCTCGCTTGTGCCTGTAACGGAGGAAAGAAGCGAAGCAGCTGCACCAAAGAGTCCTTTCTTTTCCTCTTTGCCCTGTGTGGATCGGACAACAAGTGTATTGTGGTGCTGAAGCGGGTTCGACAGAGTCACACCCTCCACCCGTTCCCCTAACGTTTCAGCTAGGCCGGCGTAGTGCGATTCAGCATCGAACCCACTTGCAACCAATGTTGGCTCCGCGAAGCTATGCACCGGATCGCTCCAAAGCATCCACTTGCTCGTGTTGGGAGCAAAATGAATCTTATCGTCCTCCGCAAACTTATTCCCATCCTTACTCGTATCGTCGATAGAAGAAGCTTGGATAAAGTCGTCCCAATTCGCACCCACTATTGCATCAAACTTGGCCTTCACCATCCCCACTTCCAACCCCCTTTCTCCACCCTCCACAGAGGAGGTCGTTGTGTAGCAGTGATCAGCATAGTACACCCAAGCAGGCAACGAACTCCACAAATCCACTTCATTTCCTTCATCTCCCCAAATCGTCAAAAATACATGTTTCACCCCTACACTCCTCTTCGCAGCCGTCAAATTTACCGCAATAGTCTGAAATGTAAACGGCAAAGCAGTCCAAAACCTGGACCAAGTCCAGCTTCCAGCAGCTAACCAAGGACTTGCACCCCTCAACTGTTCATGATTCCTTATCCTACCTTCATAGCTCTGCACACTCGTATGGTAATAATCCCAATAAACCAGATCTATCCCACCCGGCAAACCTTGCTCCTTCACATCCAAGGGTTGCTCCGAATCGTAGTACCCCACTAAACTATTATTCCTCGCTGATAGGCAGAAGAGCATATCGCTCCAAATCATCGGCTCTAACCCCATACCCTTACATATGTCATTCACCTTTTCCAAATGCTCGACAAACACTTGGCTGCTTGGTTTGTTGTTCGCATGACCAAAAATCGAGTAATACCTCCCCTGGGAGAGTCCATGAGTCTCATCCATCCCTAAATGAATCTTCTTGCTGCGGAAAGGCGATGTGGCAGCACGAATCATCTTCTCCAACATAACATAAGTCTCTCCCCACTCCGGAAGCAACACTTCTGCTGTATCTCTCAACGCCAGATATCTGGGCCATTGCAACATCTGACCCAAATGTCCTAAAGTTTGGATACACGGAATGACTTCAACTCCCAACATAGCCGCATAGTCGTCAATCTCTCGCAGCTCGGTGTGGGTGTATCCACCACGCAGGTAACCGAAGAAAGGTTCTCCGTCGATCTCGTACGTGTCCTCGGTGTAGAGCTGGAGCATGTTATACCCAAGAAGAGCGAGAGTGCGGAGGAGATATTTATTGGAACGGACGTTGAGGACTCCATTTCGGGAACAGTCGATCATGGTGCCGATTGTCTCATAGTCGGATTTCTGCGTGATGTTCAATTTGTTGTTGGCAATTGAGGGCGAGAGGTAGTATCCTGAGCTGTGGTTTTGGGGGAACAGATTAGGGTGTAGCGGCGTAGGTTCAGAGATAGAGCTTGAGATTAGGGAGAGGATGTCCTTGCTGACACCAAGAATGTGCCCGAGAGCTCGGTAGGCGTGATGCGGGGAGGCAGGATGGTAGGTAATGTTGATGATGAAAGGTGCATTGACTGGCTGTGAGCGTGAAGCATCGGAGGAGGAGGCGAAGTTAGAGAATGAGGTGGAAGAAGTCCATGTCAAGGGATCTATTGCGGTAAATTCGGTGAATTGAAGGTTCCAGTCCCAGACAGGCGCAGAGGATGAGGTGCGGCCTCCGTTGTGGTTTGGAAGGCCATTGGCGGGTAGGGGCGAGTTGCCCCGATGAAGGTAGAGCACATCTGGTCGAATATGGTGCCGAACTAGCTCATCGATTCCTTTTGAGATGGGAGGAGGAAGAGATTGCTGCAAAATACAGATCCGAATGCGTGGCAGATAGGATAATGGAACGGCGTCTGCTTGGACGCTGCTTTCTTGACCGCTTCCTAGCTCGGGGCCCATCGAGGCGTCTCGTATCGTATCGGCCATCCTGAACGCACTGAACGGCAGCCAAGACGTCCGAGTGCTTGATCGAGTGGTGTCGAATGTAGGTTGTTTCGAAGACGATGGTGCTGTTACAATTCCAGGAACCGGAGAAGTAAGGGTACGGTCACTGTTCCTCACCGCAACATGATAAGGTGGCCCGTGTGTAGCAAACCGCAGTCAAGTGGAGGCATTTAGCCTTATCGACCGTATCGGCTGAGCCTGTGCCCTATTGGACGGATCTGAAGGCTCTCAAATCGGGGACACTTGACGAGATTTCGCCGAGATCACTTTCAGAGAATCTGTTAAGTTCTCATAAATCTACACTACCGGAAAATGACGAGAAGAAGATAAAAAAGGTGGAGTTTTGGAAACGTCATGAGTCTGTCACTCTTTCTTCTGATAGCTGATCATATCGACTAAGCAACCACTAACTCACCACCATTTTTATCACCGTATCATTCGACGACAACAGCAGCAGTATCATCGTGATCCAGTTCCGCATATCCGCTGCATATCTAACCGTATCTCTCAACTGGCTCTGGCAGCGCACAAGGTTTATTTTGCGTAGTAGTGCCATCATGTCGGACCCAGCACAAGCAATCAGAGCCTACATCGTAGGCTCATTCCAAGACCTTCCCCCTTCCCTCATCAACGACCTCGCCACCGGCTCAGTCTCGCTTCTCGGTCTAGTCCGCCTCCTCGGCGAATACCTTACATCCGAAGAAGAAGACACTCGCACCCGTGCGGTCCAACTCTTGTCCCATCTCACATGTCATTTCCTTGAACCCAGCTCCCAATCACAACCTATCTCTACACAGCAGCCCTTATCCAGCATATTCACTATCCAAGCAGTCCGAACACTCACTTCCTTCTTCGCGCACAAGGTCGCAGATGGTGTAATCATCTCTGACAACTTTGTTCGATCTTCGAAAGCGCCTGAAGTGTTACCAGACACTGCACCACGGGCTAGGAAAAATGACGTGGAACAGAAAACATTACAGGGAAGTGCTATGCTTGTAAGCTCGCTGAAAGCGCTTACTGTCTTGGGTGCGTGTAAGACTCCAGCGGGAGTAGCACCGGGTAGAGAAGCGCCAGTGAAAGGATTTGGTCAGGAACAAGCGCATGCAGTCGCAGATGCACTTTTTACTCATGTCGTGGCGAGCAACCATCCTCAAAGTCTACGCTTCATCATCTATCGGCTGTTGGACAGCTTGGTTGCTCATCATAGAGATGCGCTCAAAGCATATCGCTCTTCCTCCTCCTCCACTGACACCACCGACGAGAAGCCAAATTCGCCAACACCAATGGAAGTCGATCCACCCACCGCCGATGCATCCCAATCCGAGGTTTGTCAAGGAAAAGACTTTCTCTCAGGCTATGTCAAGATGGTTTCTGGCGAAAAAGACCCTCGCAACCTAATGGTTCTCTTTGGCGTCGATAAAGTCTTGTTGACTGAATGGATTATGGATCGACAAATGACCGAAGAGTTCTTCGACATTACTTTCTGTTACTTCCCCATTACTTTCCGACCTCCGCCTGACGATCCCTATGGGATTACATCCGATGATCTCAAAATTGCGCTTCGAGCAGCGATCTGCGCCTCTCCCGCAATGGCGCCCCTCGGCTACCCTCTGCTATTGGAGAAGCTCAGTGCAGTAGGCGGGCCAGCCAAACTCGACACCCTTCGAACACTTATCGCGGCTATGCCAGTCTACGGTCGTGCAGCAGCACTCGCCAACGCCGAAAAGCTATGGGAGAGTCTCAAGATCGAAATTTTCCACGCGATTGATGACGAAACTGGCGATCTTGCCGTTGACACGCTCACCATGCTCCTGCATGTCTTGTACGAAGCAGTGGACCCGCCAAAGGGAATCGCGCCGAAGATGGTCCATGATTGTTTGGTCGAGCTTGAAGAACCGGGCAAGTCACTTGCGAAAGCGGGGATTAAGGTTCTTTCGTGTTTAGTGCGTGCTAGTACGAGTACTGCGTATTTGGCGGTGTACGGGTTCATGGATCAGATGACTAAGATGTTTGCTGATCCCGAAGACCTTGCACAGCGAACCCCCATCTTAGCGGGAATTGGAGAGCTGCTGGAGGCTTTGGCGAAGGTGTATCGTCATGCGGAGCTTTCACGAGCTGGCGAGGAGACTGCGGCGGTAGGGAGTGAGATTGGGTCAGGTCAGCTGTTGCCGGAGAGTGCAAAGGGGAGGAGCTATGCGGGGGATAATCGACCTTTGGATGCCTTTTTGGAGGATCTGTTGAACTGTCTGAGCAACGGGCTTAGATCGACGAGTTACCGTCGTTCAGCAATGCTAGTCTTTTCGTCAGTAGTGTCGATTTCCATCCTCAGCAGCAATGGTGCGCCTGGGAAGGAGGGTAAGGCGGAAAAGCCGCTGTTAGACTTTGACGAGCTTAGTTTCCTCACTCGGGAGGTTGCTTCGTTGCTCACGTCGTCCGTGGGGGATGATGTGAGGGAGGAAGCGCTATGTGCAATCGAGGTGATTTCGAATGAACGCACATCGAATACTCTTGCTGCAGCAAACCCGACCGCGAAAGTCATCGAACAAGTGGTACTCCCTGTGCTGTTGGAGAAGTTGCCGGATAGGATCAAACCCCTCGATGATCCCGAAGGACGAACCCCAGGTAATGCTATGGACGATACAGGGGCCGAAATCGAGCTCATCAAAGCCAATATCCGACGTTCCCTCGGCGCTCTTTCACGCCTATGCGTAGCTCCATTCCTTTTCGAAGCAGTGGTAGTCAAGCTCTTCACGAAGTTAGAACTGTGCTGTCGACCCAGCTCCCGCACTTCATCCGGCGGTACAGGCGAGGAGAAGGGAATCCTTGGGTTAACAGATACAAATGAACAAGGTAAAGCCGATTCCACTGTTCAAGACCAGCTCAAGTCGCTGCAGGAAGCTAATGTCGGATATGCAAGGGGGTTGATTCTGACTCTGCAGACAATGGTCGATTTGAAGCGAGCGAACGGACATAGGGATTTGACCAAGTATGCGGTTACTTTGCCGCCGAGGTTGGTGACGTTGGCGCTTGCGGGAGTGGAGACGTCGAAGAGTGGAGGGGAAGAGTTGAGTATCGCGGCGGATCCGGCGGTTGTGGCTGATATGGCGGCACTGTTGGGTACGTTTGTGAAGTTGCTGGATGGAGCGAAGCAGAAAGAGCTGCTGAGTAGTCTCAACAAGACGTTTGTTCGTGGTACTGGGACCTTTGTCGAAGGTGCGACTACAGAGAGGGAGTCTTTAATTCAGAGCAGCTCCAAGCTGAGGAACGCTTTCGCTCCGTTCGGTGAAGGGCATGTGGCGAGTAGGAACGCAATTGCGCTATTGAGTGCTGCTGTTGTTGCGTCTAACCCTGCTGCTGGAGTGGTTGTTCTCACCTCCGAAGGTAAACAGGCAACGAAACACGAGGCCGCACTCTCGTCCCTCTCAGTTCTGCTCGATTGGGCACTCGCCTCGGCCCAAAACTCAAAGAGCGCCACCCTCAAAGCATCCGAAGCACTCCAACTCAATTCGGCTTTCTGGACCATCGTCAGTCTCACCAACAAGTTCATCGACGAATCCCAGCAAGCTTTCCTTGACCTGCTCGACGCCTTCTGGATCAACAACATCAAGTCTTCCTCCTCCTCAGCCTTGGGTCGTGCGAAGAGAAGGGTAGCATTGCAGATCTGGATGTGGCTAACCCGCGCATTGGTGGTCAAATCCAGCAAACTATCCGAAGCGATGCTCAACAGGGTTCTGATTGAGATTTTTGATGATGTTGCGTCTAAGATCTTTGGTCAGGCTCCTACGACGCAGCTGGTACAAGGAGGTAGGGGGGAGGGTAAAGGGGTAGAGGGTGCGGAGTGGAAGTTCGCTAGGGCTGCAGCAAGGGATCTCTCCGCGATTGTTGGCGTGGGTGAAGATGGTATTGCGACAAAGGAGAACGGGTTTACGGTAAGGCTGTTGTGGAAGCAAAAGTTATTTAGCTTCTTGCTGCCGAGGTTATTGGAGAGTTATGGTGCCGCTGCTAAAGTGACCCATTCGCAAGGCCACAATCATGCTCATGGGGAAAAGTGCGACCACGAACATCAGCACGGAGAGAAGGATGTGGATGCAAAGACGATCTATCTTGTCTCCCTGGCCGGTCTTCTACCCTCTCTTCCGTCGACGATGCTGGTCGAGCGATTGGAAGGTCTTTTTCCGCTTCTGATCCAGGCTTTGGGTTTACCGGATTCAAAGGCGCGAGCGGCAGCTGCTAATGCTATCACGGTGGCTAGCGAAGTAGGGAAAAAGCTCCCATCTTCCACTGAGGCTAAGGCTGGGTTCAATCCAACTGCGCTCATCGCCGAGCATCTAACTTCGATCGTTACTAGACTGCTGGCGGATATCGAGCCAAGTGATTTTACGCCAAGCTTGACGAGGATTGCCGCTTTGCGAACTTTGGCTAGTTTGGCGGCGAAACCAGGAGGTGTGGAGGAAGAAGCAGCTGGAAAGGTGGAGGCAGGAGGGTTGGAGCATCACCATTTGCACCCGCTGAGGAATGTCGTGTTGAAAGAACTGGGTAGGGATGGGAAGGGGATTGATGATCCAGTGAGGGGTGTTAGGAGTTTTGCAGTGGATGCTAGGGATGCCTGGTTTGCTATCTCTGAGACATAAGGCCATGGAACTCATCAACCGGACATTTTGCAACTCATAGAAAGTTCACCACGATTTTGAGCGCAGTCTGATAGAAGAGAAGAAGAGAGAAAGAGGGAGTGTAGCGATTTCAAGTGGAGAAATAATACTCATCGCCCATAACGCCTGCTTCGTAGGCTGGTTTGGAGTCTTTCTTCTCCCCCACAACTCCAGCGTCCGAGATGTCGGGTTTGATTCCGGTCCCAACTGCCAACACTGCCGTAGTCACCGGAGCCGGAGCAGGTGTGTCTGGTGCAACAGGCTGGACTTTACCAGTCACGGTACCGAAACGAGAGAAGAACCCTTGCTCGCCAGAACTGTCAGCTTGCAATCTCGGATCAATATCCCGCACCAACCCACCCTCTAACGTGCCCTCTCTTGCTTTCTCTTTAGCCTCAGCACTATCCGGTGTCAACGGCGAGCTCTCCCTCCTCTGCTGTTGGGAACTTGAAGGTAAAGTCGCAATTGTAGCAGCCATATGCGTCTGGCTTACCGACCGACGTGGATAAGTGCTTGGACCCTTCCTTTGCACCGTCGGTTCAGAACTAAAACTTCTTCCCCCACCTCCCTCTCCATCCGTCTGAAAAGGCATCTCAGGCTCGACACTCATCTCCGCTTCACTAGAAACATTCTTCATCCACTCAAACACTTTCCCCCTCGCTCTCTCTACAATCCCTGATCCACTCTCTACTTCATCCCCCTCGTGCTGTGGGATCTTGTGTTTTCGCCCACGCCTTTTGTCCTCCCCTGCACTGCTTTCTACGCCAACACCTTCGAAGGGTCCAACAGGCGCTTTTCTTCGACGTTTGCCGGTCCAGCCTGCTTCTGCTCTCAACCTTTCTCTTCTTTCTCGTTGCAGTTGTGTGTTTCGAGCCCTTCTGAGAGCGGCCTGCATCTCAGGGGAGAGAGATTGAACAGTTTTGCGATCCAAAACATCGTCGAGACGAAGTTGCCGACTCTTGCGACGACTTGCTTTTTCAGTCGGATGTTCTGCAGACGCTTCGAGTGCAACAGCGAGGATCTCGTTGGCGGCTTTGATCTTTTCGAGCACGTCAGGGGTGTAGTCTTCCTTACGCCATCGTCCGCGGCGTTTGGGCGGTTCGTTGGGATCAGAAGGATCAGCCTTCGTTGCGCTCCCTGGGACTTTGCCGGCTGTACTGCTGCTTGCGAGGCTGCGTCGTGGGGCAGATGTTGTGGCGCGGGGAGGGGTGGAGACGGAGCCAGAAGCATCGGCTGCATGACCTGAGGTGTGTGAGTGGGGAATGATGCGTTTGGCAGAGTTGTTCGGCCTGAAGTCTCCATCATTTGGATCGTCATGATCATTGGGCAGAGTCTCGTCTTCGGCGTCGGCGTAGTCACCGTCGTGGTCGGATTCCATGACTGCCTCTGCGCCAAGTGCGAGCCCATCGTCTTCGTCGTAGTCCTGCAAATCTGCTTCTCCATCTTCGTCGCCAGGGAATACGTCGATTTGTCGTGGTCTACGGGAAGGTGCTGAGTGACGTGCTACTGATAGGCGAGCAGCAGCTGGTTCCTGTTGCTGGACTGAGGATTGACTGGACCCCGCCACTGGTGTCGCCTCTGTCTGGTACTGATACTGAGCCGCAGAAACTGTTCTTCTCGGTGCTGCCGCAGGGTAGGTGCTGTCGGCTGGTGCTACTGATGCTCTCGCCTGGAAGCCCGCCGTACTAGGCGTCGATGACCGTTCGCGCACTCTTGGCGGCCCACCCAGCAAGAACTCCAGATCTTTGCGCGTTGGTATGTTCTGTCTCGGTGCTATCATCGGCATCACGTACTGCGGCTCGACCACTGGTGCTGGAGCTGGCGTTGCCGATGCTCGCACTACATATGCTTGCGGCTGCTGTTGTGGTTGGGCATAGAAGCTCGAAGTCGTGATGGGTGCTGCAGCATGGGGCTGCGGCGGAGGTTGCATCGCGGACACATAGTGCTGCTGCTGCTCCTGTGGTTGAGCGCGTGCCTTCTTTGGCGGCAGGTATGATGTGGATGCTGTAGCTGTCGACAGCTGCTGGTGCTTCGAGGTGCTGGCCCAGGGATGCAGCGGCTGCCAAGTATCGATCTCAGCCGACTGGGCTTTGCGTGGTCTGCCGCGTGGTCTCTTTACCGGTGGGGCTGAGTCGATCGCGGTTTCGTCGGTGGGAACCATCACCGGTCGTCTCTTTTTGTTTTCGAAGTTGGGCTATGCGATGGTTTCAACCTTTGAGTGGTGCACATCGAGCGCGCAGTGATTCAGACTGTGAGTGCTGGGGGTATATAGAACAAGTCGACGGTAGGGTTTGATGATGGTGTTGTTTGGTGGATAAAGGCGTGAGGAGATGGAAGTGAGTAGATGGAAGTGAGCAGCAAGTCAAAGGCCGAGAGAAGGTGGAAATCAAGTGGGAAAGTGTGTATGTTCGAGACGCGACTTTGTTGGATTTGCCATTTCACCAGCAGCAACATAATAATAATTCACGCGCCTCAGTCATTCATCAGACATCGCCGATTCCGATTTCCACCTCCACTGCCCGATTTGAACTAAACCTTCCATCTGGATCTCACAGTTGAGCTTTCGCCTATCTTGGCACAGACACTCTTTCCTGCCTTCTTCTCCTCTTGGTTGCCTTGCTCCAACAATCACCCTACTCGCTCACACAATGTTTGCAGCAACAACGTCAATCCTACCCCTACTACGAGCAACATCGCAGAGACCTCTGCTGACACGCCGCACACCCATGACAGTCCGCACCTTCACCTCAACACAACTCCGCAGCCTCGCAGCACCACAATCAACACAAGAAGAAGAACTGAACGAAGCCCAACGATACCTTGCGAACAAATCGGCATATAAAGCCGCTCGAGCATCCAACCCGACAGGTGCTTCAGCGAGACATGCCTCGCTCTACAGCCATATCTTTCCAGCGCTGCTTCGCATATTAGCCTATGGCAGCAGTGCCTACTTCGGTCTACATTTGCTATGGAACGTATTGGATAGAGATGAACAGACGAAGCTGATGAACGCGCATACAGCTGGTTTGGAAAGCACGGCGAGAAGCATTGCTGAGAAGGTCGAACAGGCGCAAGCCAAGGTGTCTGACGCAGGGTCGAAAGTGGTGTCAGAGGTAAAAGACGGACAGAAGGAGGGTAAGAAGAGTTGGTGGCCCTTCTGATCAGCATCATTTACGCTATCATGTACTATCTCTCAGCATCAACAAGGATCACAAAAGCATACAAAAACTGCGGAAAGAGTTGAAAGTGGCGGGTAACAATTGATGACTAATGATACAAGATGGAACGGGGACTTAGGAAGCAACGACCTCCATCCCGACCCAAACCTTCGCTCCCTCCTCCTCTTTCAAGCCGATGTCAGGCAACCAACACAAATGGCTACCAAATATGACCCTTCCCCTTGCATTCCTTCTGTACTTGGCCAAAGCTTTGAGGGTCTGAGGTTTGACTTCACCCGTCTCCTGATCCACACAAACCATCAGACATCTCCTACACTCGCCCAGGACACCGAACACGTGTTTGCCGCCCATCACTACTCTGCTCAACTCGTCCTCTGCAAATGCTTCCACTGCCTTAATTTCCTGAGCTGACGTGCTGAGGGGAGAGATGAGAAAGTTGGCACGAAAGCTAGCTGCCTGAGCCATTATCCCACCTTCCTCCTTCCCGTCCAGCGAGTGAGAGATAGAAGAGTAGCCTGAATCTGAAGCCAACTCCTCACTGCCCGGAAGAAGCGCAGGTTGAGAATCTTGCTGAATCCACCGACTGACTTTGTCCACACTAGCAGAGTCGATCATCAGGAAAGGCGACTCGTTGCTGAATATGAGCGGGATCTTGTCGCTTCCTGAGTCGAGTTTCGAATGTCGGCTTACCTCGGTTGCTTGTCGAGCAAGCGTGCAAGATACGCCTAGAAGGTCGGTGAGCATGCGTCGCAAGATTTCGCACTTGTGCGCTCTTGGACGGATTTCTGCTCCGCACACCTCTGCTGAGATTGAAGAAGATGCATCGTCAACATATTGCGAATCGTCTTCCAAATCCACAGCGACGCTAGTCGAGGAACCGGCGATGGAAACCGTCATCTTGCGTGTAGCCAGATCGATACTGGGTCGGATTAGAGCCATCTTTGGGAAACGTTTCTGACTCAAAGCTTTTCCGTTGGCAAGGTTCATTACGATCCATTCTCTGTCGTACTCCAACCCGTGTCGTGTCAATCCCCATTCCTGACCAGGGCGGAGGTTTTGACCGGCGCAAGACTTGACCGGGTAGACGGTGATGTTGGCCAGTTCGAACCTCTTCTCCTTCCTGGATGCAGTCTTTCCTGAAACGCTGTGCATTGAAGAGATGGGAGAGCAGGAAAGGAAGAACCTGGCAATAAACCCAATCAACCGTTCCACATCTTCTTCCACATTCAGCAGGCACAAGCTCGCCCTCAAGGACACCGAAACAGCAAGCCCAGCATCAGCGCTGGCATCATCGCATCCAACACCCTCCGCGTATTCCGTCTTGAGCTGTTCGTGTGTTATGCCGAGTTGAGAAGTAACGAAACCAGGATTGCAGTGTCGACCCATACGAAGGTGTATGTTGCTGATGCTGGCGAGTCGTTCCACTTCTTGTGGTGGGACTATGGAGCCGTTGCTGTTAAGGATGTTGAAGTTGATAATGGGTCCAAACTCCTTCTCTGCGTCATTTTCTGGATAGAGTCGGACGACTGCTGATCCATTTCCATGCATCAAACCTCGCATAGCACGAATGAGCTTCTCTCTCAGACCACCAACGTACTCGCTCCGAGCAGCCCAAGGGCCGAACGTCTTGCCGTAATAGTCGAGTGCTTTATTGACGGCAACAATACCGTGTATGTTGACCGTCCCATCCTCGAACCGCGCTTCGAACTCTTTTCTTGGCTTTGTCCAACAACTCTCTGCTAGGACAGAGTCGACAGTCCCACCGCCAAAGTAAGTCTTGTTGCTGAGTCGAGGTGCGGCTGATGCTTTGACAAGGAGACCGCCGAGTCCAGTTGGGTAGCCAAAGATCTTGTAGAATGAAAATGCGATCATGTCAGGCGTCTCCTCTGGCAACACTTGTGACATATCGAGCCTAGAGGAGGAAGAGAGATAGGAAGCTGCATCAACCATCACGAGCGTGTCGTTCCTTTTGGCTCGACACACTCGCTTGACCAGATCCGAATACCTTCGACCTGTAGCATTGCATTGCAACGGCAGCACGACGAGTCCACTGGCGCCAACTTGTGTCAGATCATCGTTCTCGCTAAAGCTCGAGCTGGTCACACCTGCGCGTGCAGCAATAACTCTGATCCCGACTGCGCTTGTGTGGCTCTCTAGCAAGTAAGAGAAGCCAGGGGACGCTTTGGATGAGCTAGCGACAGAATTCCAGTCGAACGACTCGCCGACAAGTTTTAGGGAGGCCGTTGCGCCAGAAGTGAAGACGAGATGCCAATTGTGCGTGTCTTGAATGCCAAAGAGCTCGCGCATGACCCGCAGGCGGACAGAAGTAATCTGATCGGCGGTAGAGATAGCTGAGGGTGACTTTGAATGCGGATTGGAGAGGAGCTTGGTTGAGAGCTCGTCTGCTACAGCTTTGACCAAACCCGATGGATAGGGAGGTGCAGCTGCTGCATCAAGGTAGCATGCGTCAATTAGTTGTGGGCATTGCTCGCTCTGAACTCGCGATACTTTCTCGGGGACTGAGCTTTCATTTCCGGATGGTGCTGCGGGCCGTGATGCTGAGCTTCTCTTCTGAAATGATGGAGATGACAGCTGTGATCGAGGCTGCGAGGGCTTTGAGTTAGCAGCTGAAGGAATCTTCGACTCTGATGTAGTCCTTTGCTGGTCGACGGCGAAGCGCTTGGCTGATCGGTGTTGCTGCTGCCCCGAGACGAGCATGTAGATGGCCAGAGACGCTACAAGGCGCTGAGTGAGACTAAGTTGCGACAGTAGTGATGCGATATATGGCGTTATTAGAACAAGCAGCGCCGCAAACGCGGCAAGCGTGCATGCTGACATCTCTGAAAGGCCTGCAAGCGTGAACTGCGCCGCTATCATCACGAGATCTGAAGAACCAGGGTACCAACCGGAAATTGAAAAGGCGTCAAGAGCCAAGGAAGGCGCAGAGAGGAAGCTCAAAGCGTCGATGATAATGTGAGCATGTTGAAGTTTGTTGTACGAGGTCCGTAGCAGTAGTAGAAGTGATGTAACCCTTATCGCAGATAGAGAAGTGGGGAGGTGATGATGTCCAACAGAGTCGCCGGGTCGAGCAATCATAGTTGGCGATGGTCCTGAATGAGAAACTCAGATCCGCCACTTGTGCGGTTTCGGAGTTGGCCGAGGTCGCTATTTTGTGACGCGAACTTTGAGACGGCCTAACAAAGCTGTTAATCCAAAGATAGCAGTTTCTATGAAGACAGGTATACTTGATGGCCGTGGAGTGAGGCTTCTATTCGTCTATTACAAGTGTGATCTAGCTGAACAGCGAAGCAAGAGGGTACTCGGCTCTCGCCCTGCCTCTGGTGTTACCTGCACCCAATCCATTGTTGACCCGCAACTTCTCCGCCAGCTGCGGGTCATCAAACGCAGCCGCAATACCACTCGGATCAGCAGCGGTGGCGATCATCATCCTCACCGCTGCTCTCGCTGCCTTCTCTCCAGCCTCGTGCATCATCAATGCGATGGTGTTGCTCACCGACCTAGGCAATAACGACAACTGCGGCTCATCACCCTTCGCATTCATCGCCTTAACCTTCTTCCAGAACGGCTTGTCTTCAGGGAATCGCACCACTCTCAAGTCGGTAGCTAGGGCAAGCATGCCATCTTCGGTGACTTCGCGATCAGCACCGGGACGAATCTTGGCAGTGGCCTGCTCGAGGGTGAGGTTGTCCTTGGTGACCATAGATTCGATCTCAGCTTGAAGGGCAAGGGTCATGGCGAAGAAAGCAGAATCCCAGATACCACCGATGGAGTCAACGAGACCTTTGCCGTATGGGCCAAGCTTGGCGGCGTCAGCAGCAGCGTCAGATTCACTTGCGACGACTCCAGCGGTCTTGATCTCGGCATCGCTATCTGACTTGCGAGATTTTTCGGCGGCGAAATGAGCAGCCATGGCAAGACGCGACTCTTCTTCCTCCATTCGCTTCTTGAGCTTTTCGGCTCCTGTCAAGGGCTTCTCGAACGAAGACGAGTCGGAGGCAGATTGGCTGCTGGAGCTGACAGCAGCATCAGAGCGGCCCAAGAGAGCTTCTTCTGCTCTTGCAATCAGGTCAGAGAGGATTCGGTTGTGCTCGTCATTGTCGCCGTTTTCACCGGCGGAAGAAGCGGACGAGGAAGAAGAGGCGGAAGGCTGAGTGGGACCGACACGTTCGATCATGATCGTGTTGTTGCCACTGCTGGCGGCGACCTCCTTCGTCTTCCATTGGCTTGTGAGACTGACGGCCTTGATCCTGCGCACGGCTGATTTGACGCTCTCCTGCACATCCTTCTCCTCTGCCTTCTTGCCAGTGGCAGGCTTTTCAGCTTCAGCCTCTTGACCGAGCTCGACAACCTTCTCAGCTCGAGGAGTACCAGCTTCTGATCCGGCACCGCTGCTAAATTGAGCCCACTCGAGTTCTGCATCTGGATTGCATCGAGCCCATGCGCTGAGACCAGTCATGACCCTTCCTCCGGCCAGACTTTCGATCACGTCTCGCGAGATGTTACGTCCATCGCAGACCTTCTGCAGGAAGTCGTCGTACATCTGGTCGATGTGCTTGGCCGACTTGGCACACTGTGCCTCGTTGAGCTCGTGCAACGTCGATTGCGAAGTGGAGCTGGTGAAGAACGATTGAATACCGACATTGAAGCGGTCGAAGAAAGCCCGTGTGATAGTAGGACGGAGAGATGCGACACCGATGGATCCGGTGACGGTGTTCTCGCAAGCAAGAATGGCATCAGCGGCACTGGCAGCGTAGTAGCCACCCGAAGCAGCAGCGTTACCGAAAGATGCAACTACTGGCTTGCCATAGTCCTCTCGCACGCGCTTGACAGCATCCCAGATCGACTCACTGGCAACGACGTCTCCTCCACCCGAGTCGATACGCAGAACGATCGATTTGATATCTTTGTGCTCTGCCGCTTCCTTGAGACCCTTGAGCACGGAGGAGGTCGAGAACTCGCCGGGTGCCGAGCTGATGCCACCAAGAAGGTAGACGACACCAACCTGTACCACCTCGTCGTCGTTGAGCTGTCGTTCAAGGCCACGGTTGGTGACCTTGTTGTAGTGGTGTAGGGACTTGAACTTTGTCTCCTCGTTGCCGCCGTGCTTGGGATCAACAAGACGCTTGATGATATCCCTTTTGAAAGCTGCACCATTGATGAGACCAAGCTCCTTAGCTTCGCGTGTCGAGAAGGGACCTTCCTTCATCCACTGTTCGAGCTTGCCTGACATGGTATCTGGATCCTCATCAGGGTAGCGGTTGACTGCAACTGCGTGAATGAGACCGCGGTTGAGCTCACCCAGCAGCTCGGCTTCGTTTTGGATTTGCGGTGCCGACAGCGATTCTTCGCGGTTGAAAGTAGAGATCATTGACTTGTACTCTCGTCGTGCTTCAGCAAGTACCTTGATGCCAAAGTAGTCGAGGACCTTCTTGAAGAAAGGAATCTGAGCACCGAGACCTGTTAATGGGACTGAGCCTGTTGGCTGCATCCACAGCTCATCGAAAGCGGACGCGAGGAGGAAGGAGCCTTGGCTGTTGAACGTGTCTGCCCAAGCAATCGACGGCCGCGCCTTTTCTCCATGCTGTTGCTTCTTGGCCCGCTTGAATTCGTGAAGAACTTGCATCAGCTCCTCGATCTGTGCTAGGCCAAGTCGATTTGGTGTCACTGACGAAGGAAGATGTAAGCCGGAAAAGTCGGCAAAGATACCCTTGATGCGCTCGTCTGCTTGAGCCCACTTCAGCGCCCGGATGACCTCGAACAACTCCATCACATGCGGCGCATCCTCACCGGCCGCAGGAGCATTAATGAGCGCGCTGACTGAGGGAGGCCCGCGTGACTCAACGATAGAGCCATCGTAGATCTTCCAAACCAAGTAAGTATCGGGGTGCACAAAGTCACGAAGGTAGGCATCGCGTTTGAGCTTGAGATAGCCAATAGCGGTGTAAGTTGCGAAGAAGCCAAAGAGGAGAGGGCGGCGGTAGGACCACGCTTTCGCGGTGGTACGACCTGTGCGGGAGGTGATGATCTTGTTGGCAACAAAGGCGGCGCGTGGAAATCGTCGTTGAAGAAAGGACGGCACAGCGCCTTTGTTTGGCTGTGCCTGGCCTGTTGTGCTCGACGAGGAGGAGTTGCCCGTGTTCGACATGACGGCTTGAGTGCTGTAGGACCGCGAGCAAGACCGTGTCGACTTGGATCGTGAAAGGTATGTCCAACACCGAGAGCGAGGAGAGTATGGAGATTCTTGAGTTAGGTTGAGGAAGCAAACTTGTTCCGTCCTGCTGTCCTCCCAGGCGATGAGACCCTTGATCGACGTTACGTGAGCCCTTTGTTGCCGGGTTGCGAAGACCTTGGCGTGTGTCTGTCTGTGTTGTGTTGGACTCGTCAGCTTTCTCCTTCTTCTCAGCGCCGGAAAAGTGGAGAGATGTCACAGATCTGATCTCGCTTCACCTCGCAGATGAGACCCGATCTTGCGTGTCCGGGAAAGCGGAAGTCGGACAAATAGCAGCAGCCGAAGCCAAAAATCGAAGACTCGAGAAGGAAAAATTGAAGATAACAATTAATACTCGGCGATATCGGGGTCACGATCAGACTCCCTTTACCACAGCCATGTGTTCCATGTAATGCTTAGTTTTCATAGTGTGAAACTAAATGACAAACACATATATATACTCCATTTGCCACTCTAGTCCTATCCGAGACAGGACGTGTCACTTCATTCATACTCCTGTGTTGCTATGATACTGAGTGCCACTGTGCTGTTGCCATGACAACAATCATGTACCTCATTGTGCTTCTCACTTAAGTAAGCCTCCCATGTCTTGGTGTCTCAGCCATAACACATGCATCTTGCTTGAGATGCTGATGCATCTTCAACTCCCCCTTTCAGCGGGATCTCCAGCCCTATCATCCTAGCTAATTGTGAGGTGTTGAGACCCTGTAAAGGTTTTGTCAAGATGTCTGCAACATTGTTTGCTGTTCCGATATGTTTGATTGCCACATTGCCCTCTTGCACGTGATCACAGATGAAGTGATACTGTGTGTCGATGTGCTTTAGCTTCCAATGTTTGGCTGGATCCTTACTCACCTGCATGCACCCCTGGCTATCTGTGTATAGTATGGGCTGAACATTCATGATCTCCAAATCCTGGAGCAGGTATGAAAAGAACAATGCTTCTCTCACTGCCTCGGAAGTGGCGATGAACTCAGCTTCAACTGCTGACAGTGCCACACACTTTTGAACGTGAGACCTCCAGCTTACTGTACATCCATATACATATGTTATCGACCCTGAAGTACTCCTTTGTCCATTTGTGGGGTTGGATGCCCAGTTTGCATCAGTATATGTTGTTACTGGTGTATCTGAGCACTCGTTTGTCTCCCCTCCTAAATGCAACTGATATCCATTCATCTGGTTCAGATACTTTACCATGTGAATGGCTGCCTTCCATGCACTGTCAATTGGGATCGACATGTATCACAACAATATGCCAACAGCAAAGGCAATATCTGGTCGGGCTGTGTTGGAGACCCATAATAGTTGGCCAACCAACTCTTGATATTTCTTTGCTTGCTGAGGATCACATCTCTTGCCTCCAGCGATGTTCACTATGCTTAGCATGGGTACCCAAGATTTCTCATTTGCTCCTCCTAACCATTTGTTCACCATTTCTTTGATGTATGCTGTTAGACCTAGAGATATCTTCCTCTGTTTTCTATCACATGTGATCTTGATACCCAGGAATTCTCTGATCCTTCCATTGTCTTGTGTTTCCCATTTGTCCATGATCTCTTGCTTGGTGCAGTCCACTTCATCATGACTGGGTGATGTTATCAGCATGTCGTCCATGTATGTTGTGATGATTGTGATCTTGTCACCTGTCCCTCTTGAGTATAGGCATGGTGCACTTGGCATGCAGTGAAATCTGATCATCCAGAGATGTGAGTCTAACTCAATGTTCCATTCTTGGCCCGATTGTTTCAGACCATACAGTCCTTTCACTACCTTCAATGCTTTTCCAGGTGGTATCTTGATTCCTACTGGGGGCTTTAGATATACATCATGGTGTATAGTAGAGTTCAGGTATGCTTGCTTTACATCAATAGAGTCTATTTCCCAATCTTGTATTGCTGCAACAGTGATCACCCCTCAAATGGATTGGATGGGTGCTACTGGTGCGAAGACCTCCATGTAGTTGATGCCCTCGCATTGAGTGAAACCTCATGCCATGAGCCAGGCTTTGAACTTTGTCGGCATGAGGTTTGCATTGGTTTTGATCTTGAGTACCCAACATGTGTCGACAGTGTTTGCACCCTTCGGGAGGTCAACAATCTCCCACGTGCCCATCGCTTCTAATCCATCCAGCTCCTTTCACATGGCCTCCTCCCAGTGCTTTCTGTCTTCTCCACTCATTGCTTCATGTATGGTTGGGTCCAGGTTCTTTCTCCATTCCGGTCGTGTCACTATGAGTCCAAAGGATTTACTGTCAAACTGAGTTTCAGTGATTGATCCTTGTTCCATCACCTCTGCCATTCCTCTGCTTAATCTTTCTTCTGAATCTGCTCCATATCCATGTATTCTTGTAGTGGCCTTTCATCTGTTTCATCGAATATATTTTCTTTGTTATATCCTAGGTCTTCAAAATCCTCTTCTGTCATCATTGCTGGAGGTGCCTTTGTGTCAACTGGTCGCCACTCCATTCTGTCTGACCAGCACTTTGATTCCATGAATTTTGCTGAATTGCTCCAGAACATGTTTGGGTTATAGTCCAGACTGTAGAATAACCAGCCCTTTCTCTCTAGACTGTATCCCAAGAAAATGGATGTGACGGCTCGCTGGTCCAGTTTCTTGTTGTCCCATTTGACTTTGGGTATGTTTACCCATGCCAGACAACCAAACACTCGTAGGAGTCTTAAAGCTTGCTCTGGTGACTTGCCGAACATGGCTTGATAAGGGAACTCATTAACAATGCTCAGAGTGAGGTTGATTTGAATGCTGCAGCTCTGATCACATATGGCCAAAATCTCTTCAGCAGTCTCCTCTGCATCAGCAATGTTCTCATCTTCTCTCCAAGGGTCCTGTTCATTCTCTCCACCTGCCCATTTTGTTTGCTGTTGTACCCCACAGTGGTTTGCCACTCTATGCCCTTTTCTAATGACCACTCTAATGCATCGTTGCTTTTCCATTCAGTTCCTTGGTCAGAACAGATCGCTTTTAGCTTCCAATCCGTCTGTGTCTCCAGGAACAAAACAATCCTTTTGAGTTGCATGAATGCATGACTCTTTCACACCAATGGCTGTGCATACACATACTTGCTATGATTGTCGATTAGCACCAGAGTGCACATATACTCTGTCACGTGGGACGAGTCTATTATTAGATTGATGTGGATGAGGTCCAGGGGCCCCACAGCTCTTTCGCCACTGCCTTGCCCCATCTGGGCACTTGTGCTCTTGGATCGTATGCACTGCTCACATGTCAGAGCAGTGTTTGGATCCAGATGCATGGTATGCTTATTCTTTAATTTACTCATGATCATCCTGGCTTTGTCTCTTCCTGGGTGTCCAAGATGCTCATGCCATAGTTGTTCCTTTGAAACTTTTGGTTCATTCTTAATATGCTCAAACTCCTCATCAACACCTTCAAACAGTGATGCTGATGTGACCATCATGCTTTCTTGCCATGTGTTGCCTTGGAACTCCAAAAGTCCTCGCTTGCAATTCTTTGCAATTTTAAGTGTCATGCCGTTTGTTAGGACAATCTGGCTGCCAGTTGTGTCCAATGTCACTCGTGCTCCTTCATCCATTAATGAATTTGTTGACAGAAGGTTAACATTAAGATGCTTCACATATAGTACATTTTGGAGGGAGATTTCCCTGTAATCTGTTGATATGCTTGCATCTCCTATAGCTGCCACTTCCAAAACCTCGCTTCTGGCAGTAATTATCTGCTTTCAGCAAGTTCTCAGGTGGATGAGCATGCTATAGTTGTTTACCATGTGATAACTTGCCCCCAAATCCAAGATCCAATGAGCTGTTTCCTTGGTGTTCAGGGGGTCTTGTGAGAAGGTGAGGGAGCACCATGCTTCCTATTTAAGTTTGGTGAGGGGGGAGTCTTTGGGGATGGTAACCGAAGTGTCGCATTGACTAATGCCATGTCCCGGTCGCTTGCAGATCCAGCATCGGATTCAGTGTGATCTTCCTGCATTCTTCGGGCTTGTGTGGCTATTGTCAGCTTTGGCTTCAGTTTCTCCAGTCCATTTGCTTTGATCATTGTTGCTGGCAGTCCAAGCACTGGCTTGGTGGGGGTTGATCTTTTGCACGGGGACACTCTCGACAGTGGTCTGTCAGATGCTTAGTGCGGTGGCGAGGGTGTTAAAATCGATTTGATGGATGGTGGCAACTGTCTCCTTATACACTGGATGCTGGATCATGCATTTCTGCAGAGCTGAGAACAATGTATCATCGGCAAATGGTTTGCCGAGGAGGCTACTTTCAGTCTGTATGGACTGGATCTCTTGAATTAGCTTTCTAACATCCGAGTGAAACATCTTTGTGTCATTGAGCTGTGAGATGAGCACAAGTCTGTGAGACATCTTGGTGGCTTCATTTGTGAGACTGTTTTCGATCTTTCTCCATACTTGGTTAAAAGTAAGGTACTCCTTGATTACATCTAGAACGAGGTAGTTTACATTGTATTCTCCGGTAGTGTCGATTGTTCCATGCAGGGCATTGATTAAAGCATCATCAAGGGAGTGGCTCCATTTCAGGTGCTTCTTGTTGTACATTCCCTCGAGATGTTTCATCGCATGGGGCACAGATTGGAGGAAAGATTTCATGTGAGTGCTCCAGCTATAATAGCTGCGTGACATGAGCTTTGGCACGGGTTTGAGGAGCTTTGCTAGGGTGCGAAAGTTATATCTCTTGTCATTGTCATCGAAGTTGGAGTCAGAATCGATGTCTTCGTCAGCTTCATTGTTGATGGCCTCTGGCTCGTTTTCATTCATGGCATCATTGTTGACCTGAACCTGGGTGTTCTTGCCTTTTCTGCTTCCTTTGATCCTCATTTCGGTGTCTTCTACCATTGTTGTCAATGAGTTTCGGTTAGCTTGGTGATAGCTTCTTCAGACTCTTAATCAATTGAAGATAACAATTAATACTCAGCGATATCAGGGTCATGATCAGACTCCCTTTACCACAGCCATGTGTTCCATGTAATGCTTAGTTTTCATAGTGTGAAACTAAATGACAAACACATATATATACTCCATTCACCGCTCTAGTCCTATCTGAGACAGGACATGTCACTTCATTTGTACTCCTGTGTTGCTATGATACTGAGTGCCACTGTGCTGTCGTCATGACAACAATCATGTACCTCATTGTTCTTCTCGCTTAAGTAAGCCTCCCGTGTCTCGGTGTCTCGGCCGTAACACGTGCATCTTGCTTGAGATGCCGACGCATCTTCAACTGAAACGCTTAAGCGAGAAATCAAGAAATTCAGGGCATTTTGAAGACCATCGGAAATTGCAGGATGGCTCAGTTAACGGCAACATATCGCGCTGTGCTGTGCTGTGCTGTGCTGTGACGTTTTGTGTTTTGTTCTTTCGATCTGATTTCTTCCTCAAAGAAGCGGCCAGGAACCGTCAAGCGAGCTCAACAAGGTCAGGGTCAAACCCTTTATCGTCATCTTTTTTATTAGCCTTCCACATTCTCATCCACGGAACCATTCACCAGCTACACGCCACCCAAGGCCCTTCACCTTTCCTCTCACAATGCTGTCAGGCCAAATTGTAGCTCGTTCAGCGAGTCGTTCGCTTCAGCAAGCCTCGCGCTCCTTTCTTCCATCCACGCGCGGCGTTGCCACCAAGTCAGCCGCTAGGCCATCTCGTCAAGCCGCCTGGTCTTCTTCTTACTCGCTCGCTGCCGCTGCCGCTGTCGGTGTCGGTGCCGCCGCCTACGCTTCCTTGCATCGCTCATCCATCCAGTGCGAGCCCCGTCAGAAATGGTCCGACCGCATGAGGCCCAAGGAGTTTAAAGGTGACGCTTTCCTCCACAAGGACGCCCACGATCGCCATCCACCCGCTGCTGTCCACGATGAAGAAGAGGCCGAAGCTGCCGAGGAGACACCCGCCGCCATCGAAGTCGCTGTTGAGGAGAGCGAAGAGCAGACTGGGCAGCAGTCCGCGTACGACCCCGAGACTGGCGAGATCAACTGGGACTGCCCATGCCTTGGTGGTATGGCACACGGCCCATGCGGTGGACAGTTCAAGCTTGCTTTCTCATGCTTCATCTATTCTGAGGCCGAGCCAAAGGGTATCGATTGCGTAGACAAGTTCAAGGCGATGCAGGACTGCTTCCGCGAGCACCCGGACGTGTACAAGGACGAGATCGAGGACGACGAGGCTGCCAACGCTCAGTTCGAGAAGGAAGGGGCTGAGGCCAATTCCGAGAGCACACCAGCAGAAAAGAAGAAGGAAAAGGAGGACAGCTCTGCCTAAGGTTGGCGCAGAAAGGAATGGTGTTCTCGAGAGGAAAGACGTACTTCCGCATCGTCACGGATGAGCAGCTGAATAGGTTTGGCATCAAGCTTTGCTGCGCGTTGCGCACCTCATTTCTAACGCGGCCATGCGTCCGCTCAGATCAATCAGACCATTTCGTCCTTCACTGCTCTTCTGTATCAAAAGCCCCCTGCGCTCTGCGCATTTGTACGCAAACACACACCTCTCATGGCTTCCACTCCTGTACATAAAAAAGCATCGCATTTTGCTAATAGATCGGCATCCCTGCCCAACCTCCCCTTTCACACCTACCACTGACCTGCCCTCCATCGTCCGTTCCATACATTCGCCTCATCCAAGCTAGACTTTCTCCATGACTGAGCCGTGGGGGATTGCCGCTGCTGTATTGTTTCTCACCTCCATCATTGTACTCACGGCGGTTGTTGTATACTACTCGGACGATATTGAGAGGCAGTGCGTAAAGTCGAACTGGATCTAGTGCTCCAAGCACTAGAATCACACAATTTGCATCATAACCACATCAGCCTTTTGCGCGAAGTTCTAGACAAGGCTACAATTCAGGTGCACAGGCTCCCTAACGGAAAACACCGCTTCAACTTAGAACTTTCTGGTACTGTGACGGGGACTGAGCTTGCATTGCGCCTAGGAAAGGCCCTCAAGAAAGGTCAAGATGATTGGGCATCCGCTTCAGGCGACAGCCTCCGATCCAGACAGCATCAGCAGGGAGAAGGAGAACCCGGAGGAGAACCAGCCGGAGATGCATGCCAGCAAAAGCCCAGCCAGTAGTGGCTCGGGATCCATCACCGAGCGCGCAGCTATGATCCGTGACGAGCTGCTGGGAGAGGACTCGGTCGAGCGCCACACTGTTCAAGCATCTGAAGGCTCTTCTACCAATAGCATTGTTGGTGGTGATCAAAGCAGTCAGAAGGAAATGCATGGCGATGATGACGAGGAGCTCGAGCAGAGGCTAAGCATCTCGTACATTGCTCACTCACTGCGTCACATCGCCATTGCTTTCGACGAGAAGGTAAGTTTTTGCTCACAGTTGACGGACGAATAAGTACGTCGCTGGCAAGCAACCATCTCAGACCCAAAGCTGACATTTCTTTCCGCGTACTCACGATGGACCATATTTTTGACAGAGTCGCGAACTCGAAAGTCTTAGAAACGTGAGTGTTTTCAGGCATCGTCGTGAACAACACCGTGGATCAAAGTACTAAATTCGCTGTACCATCTTTGCCGGTCAACAGATCCAGCAGACGCATGACGAAGAATGTGCCTTGCTTCGATCGCAGCTTGAAGCTGAAGAGTAAGCATACATCTACGTTGCTCTGGATGATGAGCGTTTGATTGCGCTCCCCATACTGACACGCTCTCTTGACTGCCAAACCACAGAGACGAACGACAAACCCTACTCACTCAGCTCAACAACGTTAACTCCACCACTACCGCTCTCGAACGTGAAGTAGAAGCTCTGAAGCACGAGATCGCACACAAAGACGAGCTTATCTGCTTCTCTGACGATATCTCCTCCCGCCTCTTCGACATTATCCACGCCATCCGAGCTCAGGTGGAGGCGGTTGAATCTCTCTCCCCGGCCATCCGTAGTCTCTCAGTCACTCCTGCCACGTCTTCTTGGAGCGATATCTCTCCCACCTTTGCCTCAGTCTCGTCTCTCGATTCGAGTGTCATGACTCCTCCCCTCTACCAAGCTCCAGGCAGCCTTGATCAGCTCTTCAAGGAGTTTCTGGCCAAGAATGCCCCGCTGTCTGATGACGACCTTGTTTAGCACGTCCCCGTCGCCATATGCCTTTCCACCATTTCCCGCTTTCTCCCCGTTCACTTCCCCTCTCAATTTGTTGCGGCTACTGTATCTCGATCGGAATGTGCCTATGCAATGTGGTGAAAAGATGTAGCCATAGCGACGGAGCAGTTTTTGCCCGCTGGTGGAATTGTGTGAGAGCGGCAGGCGTGACAGCAAAACTGAAATTCACCGCGCTCGGGCCGCGCCTTTCAACTGCTGTCAATTGTGTGAACATGTTGCAAGCGTATCTTTGTGTGTTGTTCTTGCCTTGACCATCACATTCACATATACCCCACACTATCCTTGCAGTAAGCGCTCGCAGAAGCAACGGGCTAGTCCGATAGGAGTGCATGAGCAGCAGCACCAGTATTGACTACAACGTGCTGCTCGAAGGCGTCCCCCATGCAGTCAAGGTAGCCCGAACAACGCCACGCTACAACACGCATTCACTTTGAGCGCGGCAAGATGAGCTTCGCACTTCCTGCCCATCATCTGGTCGGCATGGCGTCTCTATCGCCCAACGCCAAACAGAACGGAACGCAGCTCAAAAGCGGAGGCGCATCATCCTCTTCACCGTCATCTTCATCGCTCGGACATGCAGGTCCATCGTCCAACACACATTCTTCAGTACTCATGTCGAATGCCCTCTCCGCCGCGACACTGCCCAGCAGCGCTATCCTGAACCCGTCCAACCTCGTCGCCGAATTCCTCAAGTCTCCAGACGACCTGACCAAGATCTCAGCACTTCGCAAGAAGCTGCTCAAGGAGCAAGCGAGTCTATCGGCCAAGCTCAAGCTTGGCGCCAAAGAGCAGCTCGAAGCTACCAGAGAGGGCTTGCTGAAATTACAGGCGACAAGGAAAGATGTCGCAGCAATCAGGGAGGCGTTCGCGCAGATCGAAGCGCTATATACCAACACAGAAGGAGAGGATGGGTCGAGATCGACTCATCCAGATGCCAATCGTTCTTTCAGGGTCATCAGTCAGGTATCGCAGATTCACCGCAACTTTGTTCAGACTACAAATACGCTCGAGAAGCTCGATGCTCTGCCGGGACAGATTCAGACACTAGCAGAAATGCTGCAACGAGGCAAAGATGACATTATGGGGCCAGCGACCGACTTGCTGCCACTGCATTTCCATCTTTCGCAGCTGGAAGCGTTCCGCAATGAGACTTTTCAGATTGCAAGGACGTGCTCGGCTGATGTACGCAGCACGGTGTCGAAGTTCTTTGCGCCGCTCGATGGGCTCATCAAGGCATTCGACGATTATATCATGCAGCTAGCCGAGCGCACCTTGGACCTTGTTCGAGAAGATAGATCCTCCGTGGTGGTCAAGCTCATCAAGATCATCGAGAAAGAGTCTCGCGAAGATGAACGCGCAGCAGCGATTCGTCTTGCCAAACGTGCCAATCTCGAAGGTGCCGCTCGCTTCAGATCAGTGGTGGCGAATGCAAGAGTCATCAAGCTGTACCGACCCAAATTCGTGGAAGCTATCGATCGGTCCACCGGAGAGCTATTCGACGAGTGCTGGGGCCGCTTTGGAGCTGATGGAACAAGTCTCGAGTTTCTGGGGCATCTGGACTGGATCTATGATGACATGCGCTTCATCCAGTCCGAAGTGACACCGCTCTTTCCCGAAGACTACAAGATCCTACGAACTTTTGCCAAGAGCTATCACAAGCATCTAGGTGGTATCTTGCGTGAACGTATCTTGGCAACAGAACCGGAAGCAAGCGCATTGCTGGAGCTTTACCAGTTCACACAAAAGTACACAAAAACAATGACCAAGGAGATTGGTGCAGACAAGTCTTGGCTCGAGCCGACACTTCTGGCTGGTAAAGAACAGGGCATTATCGACGACTACCTCGGATTGATCACCAAAAAGATCGATGAGTGGTCAGCCAACTTGATGTCGGATGAGGTGCGTGAGTTTGTTGCGCGGCAGAACCCGCCCGATGAAGACAATGAGGGATTGTATGGATTGCAAGGTGCAGCGATCTTGTTCCAGATGGTCAATCAGCAGGTGGATGTTGCGGCGGATTCAGGGCAGGCAAGTGTGTTGGCGAAAGTGGTGGATCATGCGGCTAAAGCGATGCATTCAACACAAGCAACTTGGCTCAGGGTGCTGGAGAGTGAATTCAAGAAGCAACGCGAGGCCAAGTCGGCCGACGATGTTGTTGGTGGCTTGGTGGAGTATGTGATTGCACTCGCGAATGATCAGCTCAAATCAGCAGACTATGCAGAAGTGTTGCTTGCAAGACTGGAACCAATGGTCAGCAAGAAGTACCAAGCAGGTATTCGAGAAGCCGCCGACAACGCACTCAACGGGTTCCTCGATGTTTCGAAGCGATGTACGCAAGTGCTGGTCGACTTGGTGTTTGCTGATTTGCAGCCGGCGATCAAGGATCTATTCGCATTCCCGGTATGGTATTCGGAAGGCACGATGACAACGATTGTCGAGACGATGCGCGACTATACGACAGACTATAGCGAGCGTCTCAATCCGAACCTGTTCGATGTGTTGTGCGACGACATGATCGAGCGTCTCCAAGTCGCCTACATCGGTGCACTTCGTCGTGTTGGCAGTGGCAAGCTTCGTATGCCCGCAGCAGGCGAACAGATGCGAAAAGACGTCGAAGATGCTAAAACCTTGTTCCACGCATTCAAGAAGGAAGAAGAGGTGCAGGGGAAATTCGAAGTGCTCGATGCGATCCAAGGCATGCTCACGTCTTCTGCTACAATGGTATTCCTTCCATACTGGAGCTTTGCCAAGGCACACGGAGCGCATTTGGGCTTTTTGGAATCTATCATGAGAGCAAGAGATGATCTCAAGAAGGACGATGTGAGCAGTTTGATGGAAAGCGCGAGGAGGAAGGTGAAGAGCGAAGGGTTGAACGATCTGGTGCCGGAAACTGGAGGTCCGACAGTGATGAGCAGAGTAGCACAGGCCTACGGATCAAGCTATAATGGTGGATTGCTAGCCAACCTGGGAGCCGAGAGAGCGGCAGGGATGGCGGCGAGCGCAACACAAGCGTTAGGGCTGGGTGGGTGGAAGAGCAAGGATCGCGACTAGCACTCAAAGCAGCTGCCACGGCAATGCACTTTGTCAAACTATCCGGCGGAGTCCAGAGTGTTCTCTTCTGCCTCTCACATCTTGGCAACACACAGACATACCATCTGCGGGCTACTCGGCTACCAACAATCAATTTGAAAGCAGACGCTAGATCAGTGGAAGGTCTGAAGTGGGATGAGACCATCGTGTGATCGGATATGGGCCATGCATTGTCGGTGATGAAGGGCAAGGCGCACCAGTGGGATGAGGTAATCATTTGGAGAGTAACCAAAAATGGGGAGACCATTTTACCTGGTCCGGAGGAGTGTTTTCAGAAACACGTGTTTTTTTTTGTTTTTGTTTTTTTATCAATTTCGAGTGAGCTTACATAAGATTTTAGTGCGAAACAAAAACAGGTCAAAATCGAGAAACACGTGTTTCTAAAAACACTCGAAATTTGAAACCCCCTTTAGGGTCAATTTAATGGCAGTCAGAAGAGTATGAAATCGAATTCAACGGAGGTGTTCCACAAGGGACCGATTCGTCGAATCACTCTGAAGAATCGATTCGATTCAGTCGCTTTCTGCTCAGTCGCTTTCAGAACGGAGGACAGGCGAGGGCGAAGGTGTCTGACATGAAAGAAGACTAACACAAACATAGACTTGCATCAGAACGCCTCTTTTCCTGCTCCTTTTGCCTGATAACTCTGCCGAAATGGATGGTGGTTGTGTTTTAGCGTGCATAGACACCAAGTAGTACGTACCACAGGGGGACACAAGAGATCTAGACCCAGTCAGATGGTCCACCATCCGCTCGGTGCACCTCCATTTACCTTCCCCTCATCTGCACAGAGTGCTGCTCGTATCGCTATTCCGATACCAGCCATGGAGACAAGCTCTTGGTTGGACCTCTTTCCTTCTGCCATCACCACCTGACTAGGTACTGCTCGAATTCGCCTCCACTAGAACGACACACACACACATTAGGGCAACGGACTCCTGCTCACCACCAGCAGTGATAGAAACTATACCCATCATGGTCAAGCAGGACGAGCGACCACCGTCGCCTTCCAGTCAAGGCTGCAACGAAGACCATGACGACGATCAGCCAACAAGTGGTCTCAAGAAGAAGCGGATCCAGCAGGCTTGTCGTCCGTGTGGTATCAAGCGAGTCAAATGCGATGGCTCCAAGCCCTGCATCACCTGCATCCGCTCCGGCGAGGTCTGCGAATATGGTCAGCCCAAGAAGCGAGGACCGCCAAAGGGATCGACTCGCGGAGGAAGCAAGACTGCCAAGCGCAAGGCGGAAGCTCAAGCTCAGCTCTCTGCTGCTCGCAGAGGTGTCTACGAAGCAGCCAATAACCTTCCAATGCAATCCTCGCGCGACTATGCCGCTTCCACATCCACAGACCCCAACGGCCTCCCGCTTTCACGACCACCGCCTCCAGCTTTGCCGGACTCCGACTGGAGCCGCACCGTCGTGCCTCCAGCCGCTGCTGCAGCCTCTTCCTCTAGATACCCACAACAAGGAGCAATGAATGTCTTGCCATATCCCGCGCTACCACCCTACCAGCAACAGCAGTTTCCACACCAGCAGCCACTTTCAGCAGGCTCCGTAAGCGCTCCAGCATCATTGCCGTCCGATGTCCATGCAGAGCCATATACGACATCTGCACACCCATCACCAGAAAGCAGTTATCCTAACCAAAGCCATCGCACAGCAGGCTCAGCACATGATGGCAGTGTCGGCAGCCCCAACTACGGGCCCAATGCTTCCAGTCCAGGCTACTACTCTTATCCGTCTCGCTATGACCCAGCTTCGGGTTCACATCATGGCTCCAAGCAGCGCAGCGAGACATTCTATCGTGGAAGTAGCAGCGGTCTTGGTTTTATTCGTCCACCACCTGGATCTGCTGATCGAAGATTGCCGCCATTGGACTTTTACGGCACTCGCTCGTCCAACCGGTCCTCTTCTTCGCCAAGCAACTATGCCAGAGTTTCGATCGGCTCAGATACGTTCGAGTCTACATTGCCAGGTAGATCAAGTGCCAACAAGTCGCTGTACAAGACAGCAGCTCCATATGCTCGACCATCACCAACAACGTCCACATCGGGAGATGCAGTCAGTCAGTTGCCAGGTGCAGGCAGTGCAGTCTCGGATGCTTCGGGGCCTGACAGTCGCCATGCAGCTGCTGCTGCGACTGCATCCCGAGGCCCGAGTAGTAACCCTTGGGCGACTGCCGGTCGAACATCAGGAGCGGACGCCGTTGATCCTGGCAGACCAGCAATCGGTCGATCCACAGGGATCAGCCAGCCACACACCACCGACCACAACCAGCTCTCGGTTGAAGGAACGCTCTTGCAACTGCAACGCGACCGCGATCGTGATCGTGCCGGCAAAGCAACGACAGCTGATGTCAGTCGACCCAGAGACGAAGACGTTAATCTCGAGCCTCTCCTTTGGGTCAAGCCAGGTGATGAAAGCAGAAGTGGCGTCAACCGTTCTGGTGTCACACTGAACAAGCCAGAGATCCCACCTCTCATACAGGAGCGTCTATTCACTATTTTCTGGGGGATAGTGCAAACAATTTGGCCTGCGCTGTATAAGCCTGCGCTCTGTCTTTCCAACTTCAACGTCATCGATCCAGAGAAGCATCCGATGCTACACAATGCTGCATGTGCTTTAGCGGCAGTCGCTTGGGACTCGGGCGAGTTCGGCGTTTCGGAAGAAGACACAGAAGCAACTCAGTCCGACTGGGTCGAACGCACTGCCTCTGATCTCAGCTTTAGCTCGGCACCAGCACAGCTTGGCGATGGTACCAGCCTGCGTCGTCTCAGCGCCGCTGATCTTGGAGACATCTTCCTCGCTCGAGCCAAGTACTACCTTGTCAAGTCCAACAACGAGCCTAGTCTTGAGACGATCCAGTCGCTTCTCTTTATGGCGCTGAGAGAAGGGGGCAACGGTCGAGCGAGTCAAGCATCAGCCTATCTCTCAACGGCATGCAGAATGTGCATTGATCTTGGTCTGCACAGACAGCGAGACTTCTCTTCTGTGTTGGGATTACACTTCTCGCACGCAGAGGAACAGGCAAGACGACGCATCTTCTGGTGTTTGTATCTGCTGGATAAGACATCGTGTGCTTCGTTGGGTAGACCAGTAACGTTGCGATACTCAGAAATTGATTGCCCACTGCCCAATATCGACGAGGCGGACGAACACGAGACTTGGGCAGAGACGACCAACAACAGCTCACTCATCAAAGATAGGGCGCGAAGCATCTTGCTGAAAACACCGGTTGCGGCTATGTCTCATTTGCGCTTTGGTATCAGACTGGGTCATATCTGTGAGGAGGTCATTGCAATCTACACACAAGTTCGCCGTCCATACGATGACCAAGCGCCCGATACTCTCGGAACAGGCAAGGATGATGATCAGGACGACAAGGACGGTGCAGATGCGATCCCAGAATGGGAGACTCGTCTCGTCCGTCTCCACCGGATGCTCGAAATTTGGGAACGTGATCTTCCTTACCGACTTCGTTTCGATAACCCTTCGCACCGTCTACCCAATACGCTCTCGCAGCACCTCTGGTTCCAAGCGTGCAAAGTCATGCTTCATCGACCTTATATCCTCAAGCAATCCTCTCGCCCCGACTTGCCGCCTTCCCATCGCATCTGCACAGACGCAGTCGGCAGTATTTGCGACATCCTCACCGCCTACGACAACAACTTTGGTATGCGAAAACTCTCTTCCACCGTCACATACTGCATCTTTACCGCGTCCACGATCGAGATTGCCAACACGACCTCCACCGATGCTGCGGTTGCATTGGAAGCCAAGCGCCGTCTGCGCAAGTTCATGTCATGGCTTTCGAGGATGAGCAAATCCTGGCAGAGCGCTAGTCATCATCTTAAGATTCTCGAGCAGTTGGGACATGGAATTGATGCAGATTTGGATGGAACGGGGCTGCCAAGTCATAGAGAGCCCAGTGCAACGGGAGGTACGGTGGCTAGTAGAGCGGATAGTCCGAATACAGCGGCTGCGGTGACAGCTGCGACAAGTGCGATTGCGAAGAGTGCAGGGGTTGATGTGGGACCTTCGCAGTTGTCGTTGCCGAGGGAGACGCAGGGATCGATCGGGGAGCGATTGCAACAAGTTGGGGGTGGGGAACAGGGGGCCACTCCTGCGCGGGGCGATCTCAATAGTGCGGCTGGGTTAGCACTGCAAACACAGCAACCGCCGAGTATTGTTCCTACAGGAGCATCCGCAGCTGCAGGAACAGATGATTGTACGGGGGGCCTTTCAGTACCGGGACCTATCGGTGCACCAATGTACCTCACCCGTTCGCGCACAAGTTACCAAATCGCACCTGCACTTCAAGACGATCTTCAAGCCCAGTTTCACGCTCAAGGTCAAACCCCTGGCTTGCTCTACGGATGGCCTGCTACATCTCGTGTTCCAACTTCCAACCCTAGCTGCAATGCAGCCCCTGCATCTGTAGTTGACGCTACTACTGCTGCTCAGAACGTGGCTGGTAGAGTAGACTCCCCTGCCGTCGGCTCCACAGCTAACGACGGTGGAGCAACAGTAGCAGGGTTGATCGGCGCACCTGTCAATCCCACAGCCTATCTGAAGCTGCACGATACGTCGTATTGGGGAGCAATGCCTCTTGCGTCAGAAGATGCGCTGTCTTGGGCCAACTTCACTGGTTCTTATATTGAAGCGTTGAATGGAATGACGAATACTAATGGCGGTAGTGCGGGGACGACTGGTGCGGCGAGCAACGCCGGTGCAAATGCGAGTGCCGCTAGTGTACCTTTCACTGGTACAGCTTCAATCAACGCTGCGGGTTCGAACACAGCTTCCGCGCAGGCTGCTGCTACGTCTACCACGCGATAAGGATCACAGCTATAATTGCTGGAGAATACTAGCTGTATTTGTACCATCAACCTGCTTGATTATGTGCGAGCAAGAATGAGTATTACTCCTGCCCAGACTTGATCCGCTCCAACTCCTGCTTCCACGATTCAAATAACTCAATCCTACACCATCACAACAAAGATTCGTCAGCGTTGCCTACCCTCACGATCCCCCCATAACTTGGATATGGTGGTGATGAAACTTACCCTTGCTTCCCTTTCGTGAAACCCCCCTCTCTCGCCAGCGTGTTCTTTTCGGCTTGGAAGAGTGAGATTACTTCATCAAGACTCGACTCGAGCTTGTTAATTGCCTCCTGCAGTGCGTAGGGATTTTCGATCGCTGAAAAGATGGTTGATTTGGGTCGACGGGACTCGATCGGGTCCGGATCAGCTACACATCCCCAGCAAAGGAAAGAAGAAGCGGAAGTCAGTGGTAGGAAGGCGAGAAAAAGGGAAGCGAGGTGGGGGGATAAGGGGTGCTTACCTTGACGAGTATCACGAGGAAAAGCACCAGCTGGATTTTCTGCTGAGGCTCCTGGGCCTCGAAAACCTGTTGTTTGACCAGGGTATTTGCTGTGTTGCCGCAACGAAAGAGGGGTAAGAAGGGCTTAGTAAGGGGTAGAAAGAGAAGTGGGTCAATGGCAATTTGAGAGGGGTTGGTTGACGTACGCTTCGTTCTGGAATGCTACGTTTGGTGTTCCTTCGTCTTGGGCTGACATGATTGCTATCTTTCCCACAGTATGATGGTGTTGGTGGTGATGGTATCGAGCAAGGTAGGCAGGCTGAAGCGGTGAGATAAACAGGTTGCACTGGAGGGTTGTGCGTTGTGCTGACTCAAGGAAGCGGCTTGAGTGCGAGTCTTCAGGAAGAAAGAGTCAGGTATCTGATGCACACCAACCCTGCAGCCATGTGGAGATATCTCGGGCTGTCACTCACGCACGATGACGCCATATTCACACACAGTCGACGATGAAACACAATTTTCCTGTGTGTTAGGGCGCACCAAAATAACAAAGGTAGGAAAAATTGACGAGTCACAGCCAAAGTCCGAGAAGCGACGAAAGGGTCTGGAAGGGAAGAAGTGAGAGAAAGTGGTCAGTGCTTAGATTCCAGCTTCGCTTGCAAACACCAACTCAGCCGCACTCTTCACCACCACCAACGATCAGCTCAGTTGTATTGTCGTCAATATGGGGCTGCCTATGTAAGTTTCTCCTATTCCCTGCTAGCTGGTTTCTTTGGCAGAGCACTAAGATTCTCATCGCCTCCCTATCAATCTGCCCGACTTTTGACTTCGTAGCACCGTCTCAACCTGCTCCTTAAACCAATGGGCTCTCGACTTCAACGGCAACCGAGACCGAATTCTCTCCTCCATTCAACTCGCCAAATCTGCAGGCTCGCGGCTCCGTGTTGGACCTGAACTCGAAATCCCAGGCTACGGCTGTTTCGATCACTTCCTCGAACCGGATACCGTTCTCCACTCATGGCAGGTTCTCGCTGAGATCCTTTCCTCCGACGCAACTCACGAAATCCTCTGCGATGTCGGTATGCCCGTCCTTCATCGCTCTACACTCTACAACTGCCGATTGCTGTTGCTGGATGGAAAGATTCTGCAGATCAGGCCGAAGATGTGGCTGGCTAACGATGGAAACTACCGCGAAATGAGGTATTTTACTCCTTGGACGAGGGCTAATCACACCGACAGCTTTACATTGCCACGAATAGTGGCGGAGGTTACGGGTCAAGATGAGGTGCCCATCGGAGATGCTGTAGTGAAGACGAGGGATGCTGTACTTGGTGTAGAGCTGTGTGAGGAGCTCTTCACTCCGGACTCGCCTCACATCCGACAGGGTCTTGGCGGGGTGGAAATTTTCACCAACTCTTCTGCCTCTCATCACGAGCTGCGAAAGCTGTACAGAAGGGTGGAGCTGATCAAAGAAGCCACTCTGAAGCTTGGCGGTATTTACCTCTACGCCAATCAGCAAGGCTGCGATGGTGATAGGTTGTACTATGATGGATGCCCATTGATCGCAGTGAACGGAAACATTGTTGCTCAGGGATCACAGTTTTCGTTGGATGACGTGCAGGTGATTAGTGCAACCGTGGACTTGGACGATATCAGGGCCCATAGGAGTGCGAAGAGTCGAGGGATGCAGGCTGTCAGTGATAGTATTGGAGCAGGGTGTCCGAGAGTGAACGTGGATTTTGAGATGGGAGAGTCGGAGGAGTTTGGAAGTAAGACGCCTGGTACTGCTACTCCCACTACTTCTCAGCAGAAAGGAAAGGAAGAGAAAGGAGGGGATGCGACAAGGTTATTCAGGAGATACTTTACCCCGCTTTCCCAGCCCATCGTCGTTCAGTACCATTCACCAGAGGAGGAAATTGCGTTGGGTCCTGCGTGCTGGTTATGGGACTACTTGAGGCGGTCTAGGACGCAAGGGTACTTTGTGCCGCTGTCGGGAGGTATCGACTCGTGCGCTACTGCAACGATCGTTTTCAGCATGTGTAGACTCGTACATGCTGCCATCCAACCTCCAACTTCCTCTTCTTCCGCCGATTCAACAGGAAAGGGAACTTCAGCTCTCACAACCGACACTTGCGCTCAAGTCCTCTCCGACGTCCGACGAATCTGCAACGAAAAAGAGAACTCAACCTGGACACCCTCCACCCCTCAAGAACTCTGCAACCGAATCTTCGTGACCTGCTACATGGGAACTGAAAACTCTTCCGCCGAAACCCGCGGTCGCGCAGCGGACCTTGCTCGCGACATTGGCTCCTACCACATCGATCTCAATATGGATCTTGTCATTCGCGCGATCATCACTCTTTTCTCCACTGTCACGAACGCTACCCCTCGATTCAGAGCGCACGGAGGAACGCCTGGAGAGAATCTGGCATTGCAAAACATCCAGGCAAGATTGAGGATGTTACTCGCGTATATGTTTGCTCAGCTCACACCATGGGTTAGAGGGTCTTGGGGTGGATTGCTGGTGTTGGGATCAGCGAATGTGGATGAGAGCTTGAGGGGGTATTTGACGAAGTATGATTGTTCGAGTGCGGATATTAACCCTATAGGGGGTATTTCCAAGACGGATCTGAAGTCTTTCATTGCGTATGCTAGGGATGCGTTCGACCTTCCGATCTTGCATAGCTTCCTTACTGCCGTGCCTACTGCTGAGTTGGAACCTATGACGGAAACGTATGTTCAAGCTGACGAGGCGGATATGGGTATGACCTATGATGAGCTTAGCATCTTCGGCCGTCTTCGGAAGAATCTTAAATGCGGACCTTACTCTATGTTCAACAAACTTCTTCAGGAATGGGGACCAACGTTGGGAGCAGAGAAAGTAGCAGAAAAGGTAAAGTTGTTCTGGTTCGAATACGCTAGGAATAGGCATAAGATGACGACCCTTACTCCGTCGTATCATGCAGAAGGATATAGTCCGGACGACAACAGGTTTGATTTAAGACCGTTTTTGTATCCCAGTAGATTCCCGTTTCAGTTCAGGAAGATTGACGAGTTAGTCGCTCGACTCAGGCCTTTATCTAAGGGGGTTGAAGAGGCGAAGAAGCAGGATTAGACGAGATCTGGAGGAATACAATGCTATTTCTATGCTAGGAAGAGAGAGGGTGTCTATGCTTGTGCTCGAGACTCTTTTCGACGCCAAACAGCCTCCTGCGGGGCCTCCATTCGAAGCGTAACAAGCCAAGTGATGGCGCTGATTGCCCACATAACTACCCAACTCGCTTGTCCATCCAACAAGTTCTTACTTGTGGAAAAGGCGAATAGGCTTGTGCTGAAGCTTGGACCAATGGTCCTACTCAAGCATCCAGCCATTTGAGATACGCTGTTTAGCGTTGCCAAACTAGCTCTATTCGGCGCCGCATTGCTAACTAAGAGGTTAGAGCAGACGATGGACATATTGCTCCATCCTTTTAGCACGATTGCCAGCACTAGCATGGCCATTGGGAGTGTTTTTGCGGGGGATGTAGTAGCGAGGAAATGTGCGAGCGGGAAACACAACCATAAAAACGGTAGAGCTGAAGTAACCCTTCGATACACTGGGAGGGGCCCACCAAGACGGCGTTCGAGAGTGGGGAATAGGGCGAGTTGGACGAGAATTGTTAAAGCTCCATCGAGTGCGAGGATTGAACCGATATCGCGTGATGAGAAGGAAAGACCACCGTGAGAGATGGACGTGTAGCAGAAGAGTGGGAGTAGGGCTGCATGGCATGCATTTAGGAAGTTTAAGCAGTATTGGGTGGTGAGGATTCGACGAATGCTTTTAGAGGAGAGAAGGGTCGGGATGGAGGGTGCTGCTTCTTGCTGCACTGCTTCTGTTTGTGTTGTTGGTTTGGGTTTCTTGGGAGGGAGGGTTTCTTTGAGGAACATGAACCCGGTGATGATAGCTAAGAGGTTGAAGCAGGAGGCTATACCACAAGGTAACCACCAAGGATGATCTCCTAGCCAGCCCTCTTTTCCCATTCCATATCCGCCTAACCACCCACCCAAACCATTGCCCACGATGCTGCCTACTGCAAAGCAAAGCGGGATGAGACTGAACGCTCTCGCTTGATTCGTCTCATCAGTCACCTCCGCCAAAACGCTTTTGAGGATTGCAATGTTGCCATTCATCAACCCAGCGATGCTTCTCGCTGCGACCATCTGCGGGAACGTCTTTGCCAACCCAAATGCGTTGACAGATAGAAAGGAACCGAACAAGCCTATGAGAAGGACTGGTTTGCGTCCAATTCTATCGGATAGTCGCGCCCAGAAAAAGATGGTCAGGAACTGAACAAATGCGAAGGAAGATTCAACTATGCCTGCATAGTATCCAAGCTGTGAGTCTGGGATGGAAGAAGAGAGGTTTGAGCGGAGCATAGGTGTCACGAACGGGAATATGACGGTGAATGAGACAGGTTCAGATAAACGCATCAAGCAGAGGATGAAGAGTTGACGGAGGGGGAGAGGTGTTGCTTTTCGTTCCTCTGCTGCCGGTTGTTGTGATGGTGGTGCGTTTCGGTTTGTTATTGATGTAGCATCGTACGCAGCGGTCTGGGTTGAGGCGGAGGAGAGAAGCGGTCGCGCTTCTTCTTGTCTTCGTGTTGATGCCATCTCGTCGACTTCTTCCTGTGGGTGCGCTTCAGTGCCGAAGTATTATAAAAGCTGTGGTTGGGTGAGCATTACTTTGTCCAGCAAAGCAAGGCCCTCTTTGTCTATCGAGTATGTTCTACAAGAAGATGGTGTTGGTGGAAGAGATGGAAGACGCGATGGTGATGTCGAAGAGCAAGTAGTGTATGTTGGAGTGGGAGGAAAGTTTGAACTGAAAGCCTGGTGAAATCATTAACTGCAGCCCAGCGGCAGGTGAAACCGCGTGGTTGAACGGTACATAAGGTTGGATAGCCGAACGGTACAACGCTCAAACACATCAACCCTGTGATCTCGTCGATAGAGCAGCGGGTGGAGCAGGTGCTTACTAAGCATGGACCCACTGCAATCGAAAGCTCTTGTTTCAGACTTGCTCACTGTGTGTTTCGTACAGCCTGTCACTTCTGAGACATCAGTCGTCCAAGCGCATAGAAGGTATGCTACCGCATGAGTTGTCTACTTGGACCCGTCCCCAAACTTTCGGAAGGGACTGTACTACTCCAGATCTGCACGCTGCAGCACAAACGGCAGATGTGAGACACGGAGAGTGAGGGTTTAGTCACCGTTCAAGCTGACTCGGCCAACCTCCACACCAACACTTGTTTGTATGCAGCCAGCTTTCTTCGTTGTGTCTCTCAGACCCTGACCTTTTCATGCTACCACTCTCCCATTACTGCAAACCTATCCTCCTGTCGCAACATCTCTGCTGCGACGCCATTTGGTAAACATGGTGGTGACTAGGTCCAGAGCCTCAATTTCGGCCTCTTCCCCGTCGAAACGAAAAGCAACATCCTCACCAAAGGCAAAGTCGACAACGTCGAAAGCTTCCTCCTCGAAAGAAACCCTAGATTCGGATACAGGAGATAAGAGACCCAAGGCAACGTCCATACGCAAGCCAAGGTCAGGCACTTCCAAGCCCACTCCCGCACCCAAATTCGCATATGACCTCCCCTATAATCATCTCTGCCTCCGTACCAATCCACACCTCTACCGCACCGGCATAGGCGAACAAGGAGTCCTCATGGTCGAGCCTTACAAGTCCGAGATCTTACCTCATTGGCGATTTAAGAATCCTCCCGCTGCTCGTGAGTCGTCCTCTAAGCTGTACTCTATCTTCTGCTCTTATTTGGAAGAGGATGATTTCGTGGGAGCAGATATGACAAGAAAGTTCATTCAGATGGGCTACACACGTGCTAGGAGGTATTCTAATCATAAGGGAGGAAAGAAATACATATATGGAGAAGGAAAGGGTAAAGATGGGAGAAAGGAGATTCCAAGGTTGGAAGTGGCAGATCAGGATGCGGAGAAGGTAGAGGCTGCAAAGATCTTCAAGTGGGTGCTGAATGAGGAGTGTTGGGGCAATGAAAAGTATGTGAGATTGAGAGAGGAGCATCTAGAGTGGGCGAGGGAGAGGGAGGTGCCGAGAGAGGATGGGGAGGAGGTGAGGGAGGCTTTGTTGAAAGATCCTGCGGAGGAGAGAGTTGTGAGGAAGTGGTAGCGATGAGTGGCGTGGTCGCGACATGTTTGGGTGAAATCACATGATCTCTTTCCTTCGCTCTAACATGTCCGCCAACCTCGTTCACCGTCGTCACTCATCATCACCCACCAACGATACTCATCATCCATGTCAACACCCTTGCCCCATTACGATAGCACGCAATCCTACGTGTCACTTCATTCCACACATACACACCGACCATCGGCAGAGACATATATATCTAGCATTGCTTTGTACTTAGTCACTTTCTAATGACAACGATCGCTATCCGCTTTGCCGCTCCTCGCTTGTGTATTCTTCAACAGTTTGAAGGTATAATGTAACAATAATAAAAAATCGCGTCCATCTGTCAAGCTCTGCGAAGATGCGAAGCACGGATCAACGTCAAAACCTTATTGCCCGTCTCAACTTCTTTAACCTCCATTACCAGCCAGTTGTGCAGATTTCAGTGAGATAGATACAAGATGACAGAGACATCAGTTCCAGCAAAAACAAAGGCGGCCGAGACGAGCAGAAGTACATTTGCGCCCAAGTCAACAGAGACAGTGGCACCGAAAGACACGACGACATCTCTGAAACAGGGTGAGAGCCAGGACGAAGACAAAGGAGGAGACGGGGACCAGCTGGAGGGTGGTGAGCCGGAAGGTGATGAAGATTTACCACACGAGGGCTCGGAAGAAGCATACGAGGAGAGCAGTGACGAAGGGGAATCTGGAAACGTAGGCTTGTCGTACTTGCTACAAGATGTAAGTTTTTCCCTACCCTTCCTCCACGGTGGACTTCCGTTCTGACTTTGCAACACTCTTCGGCTGGCGATTATGTGGTTGCCTATAAAAGCACGACGACGAAGAAGAATCAGAAGACGAAGATTTCCACGAATCTCAGGAGGAAGATGACGAAGACGATGATCCCGAAATCCAAGAATCTGACGAAGAGGGCAGCACACCCGCTTCGTCAAGCGCCAAGCGCAAACGCGCGCAGCCGTCAGGCTCGAATGGGGCTAGCAAACGGGCAAAGTAGACCCTCGTTCCTCTCTCGCGTGCTTCGAGTAATCTCTATCCATCCCTCTCATCAACACATGCACTCGTGTGGTCTTCTCAATCACACTTCATATCAGGATTTGATCAAAACGTTTCTATTTCGTAAGAGTATAAAATGCATAGCTATAGACGGAGCAATCGCTGCATCAAACGTCCTTTCTAGTTACCCTTCAGAATCGTATCGGCTGCCTTCTCCGCCATTCCGTACAAAGTCGAACTCAAGTGTGCCGAAACTTGTACCGGCAAAGCACTTGCATCCACCACCCTGACATTTTGCGTACCGTACACTTTGAACCTTCCATCCACCACACCGCCCTTCTCTCGAGGCTGCATTGACGCTGTCCCGAGTTGGTGATTGTTAGCTGCGAATCCACTACCACCTGTGTTTCCGAGGACCCAATCCCTCCAGCGGCTGTAGCGACCTTTGTGGGTTCCATCAGGGATCAAGTCGAATCCGGGAGTTGTTTCACCGTTGTAGGTGAGAGGTTTGAGGTTGTCGTTCTGCAAAACTCGGCGAGAGGCTCGGAGAGAGGCTACTTGCATGTCCATATCAATGGGCAGGCCGAAGTAGTTGGGATCTACACGGGGCATGTCAAATGGGTTTTGGCTTACTGCCCGAGTGGATCCACGCGAAAAGGGAAGGAGAGGCCAGATAACAAGACCGTAAGAGTTTCTCGGGTGCCCAGTATCAAAGAACAATTCCGCCACGGGTGCTTGTTGATCAAAGATAAGGTTGACTGCAGAATTCCACTGCTCCATCAACCCGTCTTTGGACGCGACGTGACCTTGGGAGACAAGCTGATCAGCCCAAGTGTTGAGGTTTGAGTTGATGTAGCTGCGTACGTCGGTGGAGTTGGACATGATCTGTTGGATTGTTGGCATAGCAATGGTGTTGGATGGGCCGCCGCCGGAGTAATCAATGTTACCTTGCGAGCCGATGGTTGTGAGGGTTTGGTCCTGAAGGTTCTTGCCAACGCCAGGAAGGTCGAGTTTTTGATCGACGCTGATAGAGTTGAGGTCGGAGCGAGAGCCAACCCCGGAACGCTGGAGGATGGCAGGGGTGGAGAGTGCGCCTGCTGCAAGGATGACTTCTCTTTTGGCGGTGACTCGTATTTGATTTCCATCACGGGATTGTTGGACGACGACACCGGAGCTGCGGATGCCGCTGTTGGAGGAAGAGTCCCAGATGAGGTTCTTTGCTCGTGTGCCAGTAAGGATGGTGAGGTTGGGACGGTTCTCTATTGGGGAGTAGTAGGCAGTGGCTGCAGAGACACGATTGTTGTTGACGTCGATAGAGGTGGGTGTATAGGCAACGGAGTTGGCGTTTCCTGAACACTGGTCGTCTACTTGCTGCACACCAAGGGTCTCGCCGACAGCTCGGATGAAAGCAGCCTGTTGAGGACCAGTGAACATCCTCTTCCACTGCTGTGATGCTCCTCCCTGCACACTCCTCCTTCCGTTATTCCTGATAGGCGAAAACCTGATCTCCAAAGGACCATTGAATCCGTGCGTGCTAGCATCATATCTCGCCCCTGCAGCTTTCTGTCGAGCATTCGGAGCAACGAACTTCTCGCTCTGCTTCATGTATCCGAGCATTCCGTCCCAGTTCCAACCATCCGAGTACTGACCTACCAATTCACCCAGAGCATCATACTGTGCCTTGTGACCGCGGTTCCACGCCGCACCGTTGATTGAGGTGGATCCACCGAGAGTGCGGCCACCCTTGGGCTCCTTTGTTCGACCACCGATCTGGGGAGTGGTGGTGTAGCGGAAGGTGAGGCCAGTGGAGAAGGCTGCACCGTAGTTACCGACGTCGTAGATGTTAGGGTTGCTGCGGTCGTCGTTGCCCGCTTCGATGACTAGGACGGAAACAGAGGAGCTTGCTGAAAGTCGGTTAGCAACGGTCAGACCGGCAAGACCACCTCCGACGATGATGTAGTCGTAGGCGGAGTTCGAGACGAGGGATGCGTCCGTAACAACGCCGGCAGAAACGCAGGTGAGGGAGAGGAAGAGGAAGGAGGCGAGGGTAGTGAAGGATCGGGTGAGATGGACCATTGTTCCGTGCTATCTTCCGTCCGGAGGGAAGGGGGGAAAGTTTGTTGCTTGATGTCTAAGGGATGGATAGAGAGGGGATAAGGTCTATGGGGTATATCCTGTCCAGGATAGGGTTCGTTGGGTAGATGGTTGGTGACTGCTCAAGAGGGAGGCGGCCTATATACACATTCGCCCAGGATGGATGGAGTGGGGCTAGGTTCGATGCTTCTCATTGCGAATGGTACACACTCAGTCAAACAATTGTTTCAAGTCCAGCAGGAGGTGGGGACGCTGAGGAACCCCACTGCGTACAATGAAGCTGCGGTCGAGGGTTCTGATCACAACGGACTCCGCCCACCACTGTTTCGAGACTCTATTTCGCCAGCCCGCACACCTTCGACAGTCGGCCTTGAAACGTGATCGACTGACACATTGTACAACAGTTGCAAATCTCGAACATGGAGGCGGCCAAAAGACGATTTGTGATGGGGAATCCCGAAGACGATGTAAGTCCGTTTTACAAACGAAAGGAAGAGGTGGCTTTCTGAGCATCTTCGGAATTTTTCTCTGTATACAGTTGGGCAAGAGCAAACAAACAGATAACGTGGGTCGTGGCGTTACGATAGAAGCAACCACTCCATTGTGGCTTCCTACTGGCGGTGGTGGGGAGAAGAATGATGTAGCCCTGCACCAGTGCGGCGGTGTAATTAGGAATGCGGGATCAAGCATCAAAAGCTATATCCAAGCGAAGCGAGACAGTAGTAACAGGAGGGTGCGGAACTCCTTTGTGATGAACAACGAATTGATTCACCGGCTCGCTCCTCTCCGAACAGCGGCATTCGGACGAGTCTTTCGTTTAGCGATGCGAAACGTGAGTTTTAGCGGCGGAAGAAGAACATGGCATGCGAGCATGAAACGCTTGGCCTTGCCTCGTGTGCCTCTTGCAACGATCGCATTAGCTGTCACCACCAAACCTCCGCTTCGCTTACTAGCGTTTATCCTCCCACTAAAGCCCCTCTTTCTGGTGGCAACCATCCAGGAGAGGATACAGGACTGTGGTGGGACTTGGTCAGGCGGCCTCACTTCACAGCCTTAGTTGCGCGCTGTTCTGTGTCGAAGACAGCAGTCTCGGACGCGGGCAAAGAACTGTGAAACTTAGAGTTGACGGCGTTGGGGCTGAGGATACGGTAGTGGTGTTCCTGTACCTGCCTAATTTGGTCTGGCAAACAGAAAATGAAAAACTTCGCTTGGATGGTTGGTCTTCAACGATCCGACCAGACTGCGACACACAGAGACATTTGTCGCATCATCGGGCCTCGCTTTTCTCTTATCACTGGAAGATGGTCTCCAACGCCCATTGACTCTTTCCGCAATTCCGACCAACCGCCCGGAGGCTTGGCATAGCTCATACTACATCTGCAGCCAATAGAACCGTGGCTGTGGATGGCTTGGCTTCGTGGCGGCGAAAAGGCCGAGTACTCCATCCAGAGACGGTTACTATATCAGGTGCTACGAGCGCCACTGAAGAAGGGTTGATGGTTGATGGTTGATGATTGAAGACAGTCGGGGGCTCATAGCGCAGACACAAAGCAAGCAAATTCATCATTCTTGAAACTGGGGGGAACTGCGCTTGATAGAGGTCTGCCTGTAGAAGAAGCAGCTGGGCACCATCAAGATGATGCTAGTTAGTGCAAAAATGAGTTGGTGAAGGATAAAAATTTCATCAATAACTCTTTGGCACATTATATTGTCTTGCTGAGCGCAACGTTGTAACAAATCCCAGTTAGTACAATGGTTAGTATAGGGCACTCTCAGTTTGTTAGCTGTTGTTTCAACCCGAACTTGATTGTTCTGCTCAGATCAGGGTTCGATTCCCTGGCCGGGAAAACATTTTGAGCCTTTTTTTTTGACATCACTGTTCAACTTCGAGTTCAGACTCCTTCATTGTATCACCCCAGCTTTCTCCCGAGACTTCGCACGAGCACAGAGTGTTTGGCGAAATTTTTTGCCCTTTTGAGGGCCTCCACGAATGCGGAATAGCGAGGGGAACACCCTCCAACTTTTTCGAACAAGACTTATCAAGAAATGGCCGAGTTATGGTGATTTTAAAGTTTTTGAGATGGTGCCACTGGTACTAATCAGGCGTCGCGCCTGATCACTTTGGCCTTCTGACCTTTTGACAACATCACAGTCTTGGCCCCGTTCCGGCTTCATGACTTTATGCTCTCCACGCTCCACTCTATTGCGCCCAATCACTGGGTGTTTTCTTTCGCCTCTGACCTGGCCTCTGCTGCCTGGTGAGCATTGGTTATTAGCTATGTTGTTCGGCTCTCTCGCTCTTTTGACCGGGAAGTCACCTCTTTAGAGGACACATAGCCAGATGACCTCTGATCATCGGGAACGTTCGAGCCTGGCCTAGAGGCGTATTGGTCTCATCTCGTTTCATTTCGTGTACATTTACTTTCACGCGTCCCTGTTGGTTTTGCAATCGAAAAAACAAAAACAAAAACAAAAAAAAAAGGTGACATTCGGCCAGGGAACACCTCGCTGTCGCTTGAACGATACACTTGGCACCACACGTTTGCACTTAAAATCAGGTCACGCTAATTGCGAATGATGGTTTGTGTCTAGAAGTACAGCTTTTCAGCGTTGCATTTCGCAACTCTTGTTTGTGAAGTGAAGTGAACGCGGGTGCGTGAGCCATTGAAAGGAATCCGGCACGATGCGGATGCGGAGCTGGAGACGTAGGAGGTCGAGTCCGACAACAGAGAAGTCTTGATGTCTTTGTTCGCTGTGCGAAAGTCTTGGAAGTGCATGGGCGTATGTGTGAGGCGAAAGCTTCGTTGGGATGCGGAGGCGGTGGAATGGTTCCGCTGAAACACGGGACTGTATTCAAGGCAGCGAGCCGAAGGAAGCTGCTTCCGCAAACGACCGTACCGTGGTTTAGTCCCATCCGCCAGCATAAGGATTAGCCTGCTGTTGCTGAGCATGGTACCCATTCATATCACCCATCCCGCCATTCATATCCATCCCTCCTCCATTTGGCATGCCTCCTGTCCCCGTACCATATGGATCCATCATTCCATTCTCCAACCCCCCTCCAGGTTGAGGATCATCCAACATACTCAACTCTTGAACGATCTGTGCCACTCTATACTCCAACAACCCCAATCCCGTCTCGACAATTTCCGCTGGATGCATACTCCCACTTGCCTCAACATCAAAATAGAACTTATCCACCTTCTTATTGTAATCAAACGGAGCTCCCTCCTGTGGTGGTTCTTCCAACTCTGCATTCGGTCCTTCAGGCCATTCTTGTTTCGCATCGAACTCGTACCAGTATGTGGTATGGCGCAAGGCGTTGTGCGGGTCATATTCAAATCCGACTGCGGAACAGGGCGACCATTTGGCGTGTTCCTTTGCAAATCCTTTACGTGCAATACAGCGAATGTCGAGTTCTTGGCCTTTGGACATTTTGACAAGCATAATGGGTGGGATGGATCCATCGTGGCCTACGGGTCGACCAAAATCGGGGTGTTTGGGTGCGGCGGGTTCGTTCATTGCATCATCGTCATAGATTGTGGCATTTTCGATGGTGTCTGATCGTATAAGGTCGCGGGAGGTTACTTCGAGGTTACCTCGGGTTGTGCAACGGGCGCGTAATGTGAGTTCGACGGAACATCGGTCGCAGCCGTCTTCACAGGCACAGTCCTGCGAGCGTGCGTGCGAGCGTTTGGAGTGTTCGAGTGATTCGTGAGCGTGTGCAGCAGTGTGAGAGGTAGGGAGGACAGGTCAAAGCAAGAAGAAAAGAGAGTCAGATCACAGCTCGAAGCAGCGGCAAAGTCAAACCTTAGGCCGAGAACAAGAAACGTACCCTGTGATCAACCAAAGCCTTCGAACAATCCATACTCAACAATGGGACCATACCCAGTCTATGCGCCAAGAACTCATCCGGCAACACCGTTGTGTTATTCCTGATTTCCACCATATCGATCGCCACTGTTGGGATGTCTGCAATCATGATTCTCCGCAATGAGTTGGCAAAGGAAAGATCGACATTTTCGAGAATGAAGTTGGCATGGTCACGGTTGAGTTGTCGCACTGTGATCTTGGGCCGTAAGGCTGCTGCATCATATCTGCCGTTCATGATGTGTGAGAGTGAGTGTCACGACTCTTGAGTAGGACGTGCGTGCTCGGCGACGAGGTGCTGGAAAATGCTGCTGGGTCGGGACAGGATGCGTCGCGCTGGTTCTTCTTTCGTACGCTTTGGAGACAAAGATGGTCTGTCGAGCTGACTGGGCAGCAGGCTACAGGGAGGCGTGTGACTGATATGAAACGAATGTATGAGCCAGAACGAAGGTGAAGAAGGATAAATGGTCGGTGATGGTGAGTGTGTCGTCTGCAAGAAGGAGCGTCACGGCGATATTCAATCTTCTTGAATTGCGACCCTTTCGTGGAAAAAGGGCATCACGTGATTTGGCGCAGAGCAAAGTCGAACTTAACATTGAGTGAAATCTTGGCGCCATACGTTGATGCTTCTTCATCCATCATACTCGCTGCTTCACCCACATTGTCCAAGCAGACCACGGTCAGTGTTGTCAACGCGCATACATCAGAACATCTGCATTGCAATCTAAAAGCCGTGACTGGTCCAAATCTTGAAATCGTCGCCCGCAGCACCTCTACCGCCTCTTGCTGACTGCAGTCCGCGCTGCTGTTGCTGTGATTGTTGCTGCTGCTGCGTTTGCTCCTGCTGCTGGTTCTGACGACGCAAGAAAGACCCATGTGGCGGGAGTGGCGAGCTGTGCTGTTGATTCTCCGAGCTCCTCTCGTACGCTAGTACCAGCTCCTTGAGCTGCTTACGTTCCGCTTCTTCCTTCAGCTGCTTCGAGCGTGTGTTGATCGCGATAGAAGCTGTCGAGGGGACGTGAACTTCGTGAGTGACCTGCTTAGAGCCCTTCTTGGAAAGGAGAGAGAACTTCATATGCGAGCTGTTGTCCTCGACAATGGTGCTGTGGGTCTGCTCATAAGGCTTCTTGCGAAGGGGAAGGCCGATCTCGGAAAGTCCGCCTGAGCCGGAAGCGTGAGAGTGAACGTGGATATGGCCGTGATTGTAGCCGGTGTTGGTGGAGGACAGTCCACCTCGTGAGAAGAGATGCATGCTTCGCGGGTTGCTTGTAGCGGCGTTGCTGACTTGAGCCGGGGCAGCTGAAGAACCTGAAGAGCTAGACTCAGCCATCATTCTTGCGAGCTCGCGGTCGAATTCGTCGTCCGCTTCCTTGCGGAGAGCGAGTTCCTCGTCCATGCGGTGACGGCTCACTTCATCTTCCTCGTCCGAGTCGGCGTCAGAGACGTCAGAGTCTCCTGCATCCGAACGTAACGCATCCGAGTCCTCAGAAGAACCCGATGGGGAAGATTCCTCCTCGTCGGATTGCGCTGAGCCCGATGAGGAAGTGTAAGAACCAGACGAGTCGTCACTATCCGAAGTGTCGTCACCTTCGACAGCATTCCTTCCCTTGGCTCTGCGTCTCTTCTCCCCACTCTCACCGCTCTGTCCGTTTGCTCTCGGACCCTCGTCCGAGCTTCTCGCGTCACTTTCCTCCTCTTCCTCGTCCGCCGCTCCCACCTGAGCAGTCTTCTGCCTGTTCACAGCCATCATCTCCTCCCATGCCGCAGCTGCATCTCCAAATACCCTCTTGAATTTCAACTCCGGCCTCAGCGTCTCCAGTGTCTCTATCAACATAAAGTCGACGTCCATAGGCAACGGCTGTTCTTTACACAGCACATACACGTTCAGAAACACCAAAAAGTCATCCAGCTTCCTCCGCAACGACCCTCTGTCAAAGCAGACACCACACGTGTCTAGCAATGTACAGACGAGTCTGATCCTGAAGTAATCATCTGGCGCGTCAAGTGGTGCCACTTGCCCTGGCCACGGCCTGCCGTTGGGATGACCGAAAGTGACAAGCGACCAGAGCTGCTCGAACAACATCCCGCTGTTGATGAGACGGTAGTTGTAGAGCTCGCCAAGGTAGCAGATGGTGGCAACGCGTCGCTGGTTGTGCTTGAAGATGTTTTCTTCCATACCGATGCGGACGTTCTCGAGGATCTGATCGATGACTTCGACTGCGAAGGAAGGGTGGAATCTGTCGAGCTCGTAAAGAAGGATAGCGAGCAGGTGAATGTTGGAGTATCGAATTCTCCATGCTCGAGTGAATGCATCCTTGAGCCATCCGTACACCTCGGGATTGTCCCAGTTAAGTTTCCGGAGCTGCATAACAACGTGATCGACCATCTTCTTTGTGAGAACATGGTAGATGAGATGACGGATGTAAAGCTCCATCGGGGATCGGACTTTCTGCTCGGCTGCTTTGCGCTTGGGTGGATTGCATTGGTAGTAGGCATTATTGAGAAGGAGCAGCTGGCGAGAGTCTAGATTGGCAGCTGCACGCTTTCGCCTCAGCATTTCGAGCATGCTACGCATATTTGCTGATGTTGCTTCCGTGCGCAAAAGGTATCGTCCACAGCCCTCGAGCAATGAAGCGAGCACATCGATGTTAGGCCCAGTGAAATCCTCGAGACATGTCTTGAGACAGTGGAAGATAGCATGTGTTGGTGTCACTTTGAACTTGGTGAGCTCTGAGATGAAGCGTGCGTTCTTTGCTCGGGTCTCGGTGAGGTCGACGTTCTTCTTGCGTTGCAGGTAGCGGAACTCGTCTTCGAGTAAAGATGTGAGACCAGAGCCAACGTCTGGCATGTAGCGATTGAGCGTTGCAGCGAGACGAGCGTAGTATGGCGCTAAATCGATGCGGTTCCGTGGAAGGGAAGCGAGATGCTTGATCAACTTTCTGCGAGCGGGCTTGGTGGCGATGAAAGCAAAGTCCACCGCAGCGCTATCGATCATACTGCGGTTGGTCATGTCCAGCAACTTGGCCATGAGTGTAGCAAGCTGTGCAGCAGGTCCAGCATTCATTACTTCGTCAGTCTGATCAGCGTTGAGTTGAGGCGTGTTCAGTCCTGACGATGTGCTGACTGGGTCTGTTTCGCTGCGGCTGGCTCCATCCTCTGCCCAATCTGCTCTGCCACCGATGCTGGAAGCGTTGGTGCTGATGCCTGTAGTCTGTGCCAGGATCGCAGGAGGGATAATGTCGCCCAGATCCAAGATTTCTTCGTAGAACTTTTGCGAGTCTTGGTCCTCCCATGGACTCTGATCCGTCGCAAATTCTTCATCTGCCCGCTCGAAGGCTGATTTTGAATCCAAGTTGACGCCCAGGCCGACGGCGTTGCTCGCCGAAGCTGAAGACTCGAGTTCAGGCATCGGCACGTGGAGTAGGTCCGACAGGATCCGACCCCAGTCCCGAACGCGCTCGAAGCTCTTCGTCATGCGTTCGTAGTTCTGCTGACGGTCCTCAAATATCTCTCCAGAACGAATGTAGGCTTCGTGGTTCTTGCGATCCTGGTCCTGCAACCTCTGGTGTTCCTTGACGATGCGTCGAGCAAGAGTCTGGAAGTAGCTCTCGATAAGTTTGCGAAACTTGGCCTGCATATCTGACGAAACGAGAGGGGCAGTTGCTGGATCGGCTGCTTCGACGGCGCTCATGTCGACAACTTCGCCTAGAGTGAGTGAGTTGGCCTGCTTAGAAAGTTGCGTATCAGCATCGCTAGCTGCAGGTGGAGCTAGGATGGACTGACCGAGACCTTTGAGGATGGAGATGAGTAGCGGAACGTTGCTGTGCTCTTTGTCGGTAGCTAAGAGGTTCTTGAGAAGGGTGTAAAGCCAGGCTGCTCCCTTGTTGTCGTTCGAGGTACCTATCGCTTCAACGAGCGCGAGCTCTGCCGTCACACGAAGCAGCGGCTTTTGACGAGCTACTCGAGCAGCCTCGTCTCTCTCCTTTTGCTCTGCTGTTGCATTCTGGTAGACAGTCTTGCTTGCAGGAGCTAGTGCCTGCTCAAGCGCAATAGTGAGGGGCAAGCTGAAAGCCTCACCACCAAAGCGAACATGAAATGCGGAGACGATCTCTGCCGCGGCAAAGCAGTCCTTCGCTGTGGCACACCTCGACAAGCCCTCAGGTACCGCCTGTGTGAGCTCTTGCAAATATTTCTCTAGGTTGAGCTGAGGCAGGTCTTTGAGAAGCTGGTCGCGAGCATCTTGACCAATGCTCTGCTTGACCCGCTTGACGAACGCTGTGTTCTTCTTGAGGTTCGAATCGAGGGTCTTTGGTGTTGCTGGTGGACCGGAAGTCCAGGCTTGTAGGTTGGCAGCGCGTAGTTGGCATCGCTTCTTCTCTCTTTCTTTGTAGAGAGCGTTGGCCTGCGAGTCGTCCTTGGCCGGTGCTGCTGATGTGGATGCTGTAGCTGAGCTGGAGCCGGCCAGCTTCGCAGCGGCAGCGGCCATGAGTGTTCGATGAGCCGCGTAGAAGAGACACTATGGTAGCAGCATGTGCGAGTACGTCGTGCCGTTGAGAGCTCTTCTCGAGGCTGAAAAGACGTCTTGCCCGCAAGTGAGGAGACAGCCTCGCAGATGGTGTCTTGAGAGCTGGCCAGAGTCAACCCAGCATTAAATAAAGTGATGTGGTGGAGCGGCATGTCAGAAGTCTAATCTTCCTGCATGTTGCGCCGTGTTCATCTTGAACTTGGATCCGAAACCCGAATCTTTGCGTTCAGGGTCCAACACAACTAATTTGAGGTTTGTAGTTTTTTTTCTCGATCTCACACTCCTTGCTGGTCGGCCAAAATACGAAGCGTCGAAGACCCTTTTTTGTTGAAAGTAGACAATCCAACATGGTGATGTAAGCAGACATAAGGCGATATGAGAGAGATCGGGCGAAGCAGCAATGATCGGAGATTAGACAGAGACGATCACGCCAGGGATCGGATGCAACCTCACTCCTTGTCAGGCATCGTCATTAAGTAGATAGCGCCCACACTCGGTATCAGCCTCAGAGATGTATATATATTTAGCTCGAGAACACTAGGTTCTCGCCATGTTCACTTAGTCAATTGAGTATACATGTTTCTGTCTAAACCAGCAGTGACATCGTACTTAGACTCTCCCCGATCGCCAGTTATCGGGACTCAAGCGTCTTCACTTTTCAACATTTTCCGGTCTCTAGATTCCGGCCATGTGGATTTAGCGCTGTTGAAGCATGACGGCATCGTAACCCTAACACAAAAAGCTATATAAAAAAATAATAAATAACCCAATAAAAAAAAAAAAAAAATCAAAACTCGGCCAAAGCGTTAGCCGGCTCAAACGCGACCCGAACAGGAAGAAAGATGGCACTCGAGCACAGTCTCTAACCGGTAGAACTGACCGGAAGAAGTAAACCTGATGTTCGAGCCAGTTGTGCCATCTCCCTTCCACCTCCTTGGAAACTTTCCAACAAGAAGATCATGTGTACGGTATCTCCGAGAGTGGGGTCGTGGTCTGTACTGTATGCGTGTGAAGTGTCTGCCATGTTCCGTGGAGTTTGTTTGAACGGCCTCAAACGTAGGCAAGAGCAAAGCCGGACTCGGCTTCCTGGTCTCAACCATACAAATGTCGGCTCCTTGGCTTCGTCAAGAACGGTTTGTTTCCCTCCAACTCCGAAGCATCCTGGGATTTCTCCACCTTCTTCTCTCACATCCATCACACATCCTTGCCCCACTTTCGCCCAACATGTCGTTCAACGTTCCGTCCCAGCAGACCCAGATCGTCTTGCGCGAGCGTCCTACCGCCGCCATTAATGACACTCTTGGAGCCTCCGACTCTACCTACGAGAAGCGCACCGTCCCCGTTCCTAAGGAATCCGAGCTTCAAGATGGTGAAGTTCTCATCAAGGTCGAGTATGTCTCTCTCGACCCTGCCATGCGTGGCTGGTTGCGTGATGCACGATCTTACCTTCCCCCCGTCCAGATTGGTGAGGTGATGCGTGCTGGTGGTGTTGGTGTTGTCGTCGCTTCCAAGTTCTCTGGTCTTCAGAAGGGTGACCAGGTTAGCGGTACTCTCGGTTGGCAACAGTACGCCCGTGTTCCCGGAAAGACTGTCGAGAAGCGCACCATTCGTGAAGGCGGTTCTCTCCTCGACTACCTTGGACCTCTTGGTTCCTCGGGCCAGACCGCCTACTGGGGGATTTTCGACGTTGCCGCTATTAAGCAAGGCGATGTTGTCGTCGTTACCGGTGCTGCTGGCTCTGTCGGCTCCATTGCTGTCCAGCTCGCCAAACTCAAGGGATGCAAGGTCATCGCTGTCGCCGGTGCTGACGACAAATGCCAGTGGCTCAAAGAATCCCTTGGTGCTGACGAGGCACTCAACTACAAAGCTCCCGACTTCAAGAAGACCTACCGTGAGATCGTTCAGAAGAAGTACGGCTACATCGATGCCATCTTCGAGAATGTCGGTGGTGAGATCCTCGACATGTCCTTGCTCTGCATGAAGCCTCACGCTCGTATTGCGCTTTGCGGTGCCATCTCGGACTACAACAACCCTAAACCTGACGGTTTGAAGAACTACCAGACCATCATTGCCATGAGGATTAAGTTGCAGGGCTTCATCGTCTTCGACTATGCCAAGAGGTACGGCGAGGCTGAGGACGACATGACCAAGTGGATGAAGGAGGGCAAGTTGGCAAGGAAGTTCCACGTGGTTGGCGAGGAGTTGGACGGAAAGGCAAGGGAGGAAGGCAAGAGCTTGGAGCAGTGCCCTAAGGCGTTGAATGATCTGTTTGCTGGTAAGAATGTTGGTAAGATGGTGGTCAAGGTCGGCGCCTAAGCCTATGACAAGGTTAGAAAAGAATTGTAACAGTAGCTTTTCGGTTGATCGCAATCGCATCGGATACGCATCTTCACGCATTGACTTGATTGAGATCAGATGTGCGTAGATGATGCACATACGTTAGGTACGAAGGTGGCTGGCATGCTTCGTGAAATTGAGCGCAGAAAGTGTGAGTGAGAATACAAAAGGCCACCTCAAGTGTGAAGAGGGGCAGATGTCGAAGCGAAACAGTACAAATGCTTGTCAAAGTTATTCGTCGAAAATAATAATAAAGGATCGTAAAATGTCGTGAGAAAAGAGGGCCAAAAAATTCATGAAGAAAACGTGTGACGACGACGAAGAGCAACACCACAGTCGAGAATAGCCTACGGTATCCTACTACTCCCCACTACCAGCGCTAGACACAGGACTAAGAATAGTCGATTTCGCCTTCCTAGGAGACCTTCCCATCCCCATCAGATCCCAACCTCTACTGCTTCCACCCAAATTCGCCACACTCCTCTTACTCTTCAATGAACTACCCCCGCTGCTCCCGCTTGCCATTAGCAGATTCGGCCGGCTCGAGTTCTTTCTAACCTTCTTCGTCGGGCTTCCAGGCATGACCGTTGTACTCGACCCCGGACTGTCCTTCTCTTCGTCCGAACCCATCATCCCTGCCGTTGTCCCCGTAATATTGCTCATTGTTCTGGTGCGGATGGAGCTTGCTTCATCATCAAAGTCGTCATCTTCACCCGAAGAAGCACCAAATCCGCGCAGAGGCACTTTGTAGCTTCCGCTAGGAGCGACTGCTGAACAGATCTCATCTGCATCGTCCATACCATAGTTGACGAAGGAGAGCGAGGAGAATCCGCCGTTGCCGCTGCCGGACGCAAGGGCTGAGGGAGTGGGAGATTTGGACTTGCTAAGGGAAGAGTGAGAGCGAGAAGAAGAGGCGCTTTGATGAGAGATCGTTCTTGCGCGATTTGGCGACGCTGTAGTGGTGAGTTCGAGGGTGAAGCCTTGAGATCCGATGTTGCTCGATTTAGACTTGAGCCCATGACCTGAATTTGAAAAGCTAGCAGAAGAAGATCCACTGCTTCCACTTGCCATCAATGTCGATCCGCTGTCGCCTGAGGTCGTGATACGTCTGTTCGATGCAATCTTGCGCAGCATAGATTTACCTGGCGAAGGAGGCAGACCGATACCACTACTGCCCGCCAGAGGACTGTATAGGTGGGGGGTCGACTTCATCTTTGCTGGTGACCTAGGCGGGCTTAGAGGTGCAGAAAGGTTGCTGGGCATCTTGCGTGTTGTGACCGTGCCTTGTTTGGCAGCGGCGGAAACTGCGGCTTGTTGCCGTTTGACGGCAACGTTTTGCATCTGAGGAAGTTGGGGTCGCTGTTGTTGAAGTTGTCGCATTCGTGTTTGCTGCAATGCGAGGTGCTCTCGGGATGCATCTGCGGGTGCGGAGCGAGGCGTGCTGGCTACAGGAGGCATCAAGCCGATTTCTAGACCGACGTTGGAGCCCGCTGCGCCCATCAACTTGGCAGGTTCTAGGGTGGTCGGAACCTGCTGCTGCTGTGGAAGCTGTTGCGAGAAGGGGTTCTGGAGCTGCATCGGGTTGGCCGCGATCTGCGAAGCCAGCGATGGACTCGATTCCGAAGTCCTCAATACTGCATGACTACCTCTTCTCGCAGCAAGGAGCATCTGATCCACCCCTGTAGCGCCTCCGACCATCCCGCTCGCACTCAACGTCAACCCATACATTCCCATCCGCGCTGCTCCACTTGCACCACTGATACTACTACGATCAACACCAGATCCACCACTGACACTGTTATGCCTTGGTGGTGGGTAGACCGAAGTGTACCCTGACATATCCTGCGTTCCCATGCCTTGTCCTGCGAACAGCGTCGTGTCATTCTGATGCAAAAATTGCGGCGTGAATACTCCCTGACCTTGCTGCGCCTGCGCCTGCGCCTGCTGTTGTTGAGCAAGATGCAAATTTGAGAACTGATTCTGGATGCTTGGTGCAAAGCTGGCCGAGTCCGCACTCAGTGGCATGCCAGGCATCCTAGGATCGAACTTCGCGCCCGCTGGGTAGCCTTGCATCTGCATATCGGGCATGTACTGCAGGTGAGGATGGTACGCATTACCGGCACCACCACTGCTGGGACCAGGCTGCAAAGGGTGCTGTGGAGTAACAGGTGTGAGAAGACCCGTAGAGCCTACACTGAGCTTGCGTGGGGAGTTACCTTCCATGCCATACATCAATGCCGCTTGCACGGTTTTTGCAGCGCGCTCGCTGGCTTCCTGACCCGCAAATTGCTGTGAAGGGGTAACAAAGTCTTGATAGACGCCAAGACGGGCTGCTTGCTGGGCAACGTGGGTCTGATGAAGCTGGAAAAGTCGACGTTTTTGCTCGTCGGTCATCTTTTCGGGGTCGAGGGTCGACTCTGCTGGGTTGTTGACTGTAACGGTGCGTCCCGGAGCCACTTCGATTGTTCGGTCACCAGTTGAGCCTTCGACAGCGGCAGGGACAGCAACTGGAGCAGGGGCATGCAGCTCTCGCTGAACAGCACGACGCTGGAACAGAGCAGAAGACTGAGCGACGCTGGTGTTGCCACCTGCCAGCTCGGTTTGTACGTGGAGCCCATCGCTGCCCGTGCTAAGCGAGACATCGTTGATCAACCCATCTTGAGCCGGGCTGTTGACCACGCTGGACTGAGGACCAAGTTCGAGTCCCAGAGCGTTAGTCTCAGGAATGCGATCTTGAGGGAACCCAACATCGATAAAATAGTCGTTGATCAGGTTTTGTGTCCCCGCAGCCTCCAGCACAGGGTCGTCTCGCTGCAACAGCGGTGCACTAATGCAAGACCTCAAAGTACGAGCGGGTGCACCGAGCAAGCCTTGGCTCTCGTTGGGCGATGTGGACGATGGAGGGTTGAGAGTGTCGAATTCAAGAGAAGTGGGTGCGCCAGGAGAGGCAGCCAGCTCGGAATGCTCAATGTTAAAAGCAAAGCTGGGTACGTTCGGGCCTCTGCGAGCGGTCTTTGAGTTAATGGCTTGTGTATGACCATACCAGATGCCTTCAGGTGAGTCTGCATCAGAGTTGAAGCCGGATGCGATCTCGGGACCGTGGTTCCAGCCAGGAAGGTTGATAGTGGTGCCTGTGTAAGGGCTGCTTGAGGCTGAGGTTGAGTCATTGAAGAAGTCGTCAACGTGCAGAGTTTCGGTGACGGTCGTCTTTAGGTCTGTTTCATTATTGTAGTCAATATGCAAAGTCGGGTCAGTAGACAGTTATCGTCAAGCGTTGTTGCAGAGTGGGGGGAGACGTACCAATGGAATGCTCGACGAAGTCACAGAGATAGTCGTCGGCGTTGTTTAGCCCCATGATTTTGCTCTCTGCCGTATTCGACCAGCTGAGTGCAGGTGGTGAGACAATGTCAAAGCCGTCGGTGAGGCTAGCGAAGCTGTCCTGACGGTGAATGGTTTCGTGAGATGTAGCAAAGCCTGTTTGTGCTTTTGGCGTGTTGTCGTGTGACGATTGATGAAGCCATTCAGAGACGTTGTCGGATGAAGCAACAAGGTTGTTGTGTGAGTTGTGTCGTCTACCGAGCGATTCGCCCGTGGCTATGACCACGCCGCTCGTCATGATGAAACGGTGAGTAGGAGCAGAGGGAAGCTTTTGGAGCTTCCCTGAGAACTCTCGAGCTTGTGGTCGGAGGGTCCAGCGAGATAGTCTAGCTCAGTCGCAAGGACGGAAGGTGGTTGTCGTTGAGGTCACCTCTGCCGGTGCCTGGTAGACACGAGTGCGTGGCGAACGTGGATGAGATGGAGACGCGGTATCTGGTGCCTCGAATTTGAGCAAGAGAAAGAAGGACGGCGATGAAAAAGGTGAGTGTCGGATAAGATGATGGCTGTGGTATAGACGGTGGCGTCGTAAGATGGAGGAGAAAGACGGAACGGATATCGAGACGACGAAAGAAGAGTGTAGAGGATGAGGTGGAAAAGGAAGGTGTGGGATGTCTCGCAACAGCCAAAGAAGCGGATGAGGGTTTGGGCGTGCGGATCTGTCAGATGCCAATATGGGATGAGACAAGGAAGGGACAATGAATTGAGGATGCAGATGGAGAGGTTGAGGGAAAGGAAGGAGAAGCAGAAGAGACTGGGTGGAGAGTGAACCAAAGATCGAAGCGAACTTAGTGAAAAGCAGCAAGACCTGATGAGCGGAGGGTAGAGGGGAGTGAGAAGTTACAGTATAATGACGCCTCTGCTCATGCGCATGGCTGAGTCGACTTCTCTTGCATCTCTAGCGGCGACCGTCCGATACGATTCTAGCTTCTCATTGTAGCGAGACAGCATATCTCAGCGAGTGGGGTCCTCGGACGAGGTTTGCGCGCAAGCAAAGCTTCTAGCAGCCGCCACCCTTCACCGCCAAGGGCAGAACAGCATGTCAATTTCGAGAGGATGAGGAGGACGAGCAGTACTAGTTTCCAGAATGACAGGGCCCTTCAGGCGAGACAACAATAGAACGCTGCTCGTGCGCTTCCCCGGCGGTGTCGGAACTGCATTCCCTTGGAAGGTCTCACACAGAGTGTGTGCATCACTTGTCACCCACGCACCCATCTTGATCAAAGGGATCGACGCAGCTAAGTGCAGATCGACAAAGCCCTTTCCTTTTCTCGAGGGAGAAGAGAGATGCGGCTAACAAAAGTCGGACTTGGGATCCAGGCCTTTATCTGCCTTGCAGCTGTAGCTAGAGTTGACTCGCTTACCGGAGGGGGGAGGATAAAGAGGAAGAGAGCTGTGTCAACAGATGAAAGGGAACAAGTTTAGGCGAGGCAGGATCGACAGTCTGTCAACTGGGAGGCTTGGATAACCTTGGCCTCGCCTTGCAAGCCATCTGATGATTCCCTGTCGTTGTTGTTGTTGCTTTGATGCAAACCCTGTCGGAGCGACATCGGCCATTCAATCTTGTGCCCTCGTTTCGAGAACAACAACACCACAGCACAGCTCTGACAACATCGAAAAAAAAAAAAAAAGAAAAAAAGAGGAATTGAATCCCTATTGATTTCAGTTCGCAAACAAACTGGCTCTCGACGCTGAGTCCCCTCCTCAGAGTCATCGACCAATTTCATTCAAGCCAGACCGGGGACTGCTTCTAATTGTACGGATAAAGAGCAAAGTCGCAGTTCGTCGACATCTCCCGAGACGTGTTGATGAAGTATGAGCTGGGGGTGTCAATGATTGCTTGCTCGTGATAGCCGCTCCGTCCTCTGATGGGGTCCGCCGTGTGGTTCAGCCGCTTCTCTCTGCAGCTTATCAGACAAAACGGCAACGGATCTTATTTCCCGCTCCGTAGAACATCATAGCGCCTTAAAGCTAGCTTTATTGTTGCCCCGACGCAGCGAGACTTACCTCGAACAAGAACGCCTGCCCGCGACCGACCGAGTCTGGCCGAACGAGCTTTCCCTGACACACTTGCCCTTTTATCATTAGATAGTATTGGTGAGATGAATGTGGGGGATGGTGGCATTTGGTTCGGCTTTCGACGAGATTGATAGTCCGAATCTCAGTTCGGTTAGCCCAGAGGGTAAGCAGACCGGAGTCCCCTAGATGGCTTATCCGGGTCATCTATGATAGCCTAGTGGCTCGAACTGCCTTCTCTTACAAGGTAAGAGTTGTCGTACAGAACCTTAGCAGTGATTTGGGGGATGAAAAGATGATTGAGGCCCTCGTGATCAACAGCTGTCTCGGGTGTGGGGGGCCCTAAGATAGGGTTGACTCATCTTTCCTCATTGAGACCCTCATACGCTTGTCGATCCGAACACAATATAGTTTAGCAGATACACCAGCAAGGTTCATCTAGGCTCATCTCAGAGAACAATACGGGCCTTATCACAAGTCTCGGAATGCGATGGAGGGTCAAGCTTGAGCTCTTCCTACACCTACCTTGCGTCGTAGAAAGCAGCGTCCTGGAAAGCCGTACAGCTTTGACATTCTAGCGAAGCAGAACAAGCGCACTCCTCGAGAGCTTAGCCGTCTGCTTCAACTCAAAGAAGCAACCTTCTTCCACCATCAATATCTGCCGGCAAAAGCAACTCTTCGCAGTGCATCAACCTTCAAGCCACCCTTGGTGCAGCCATGAAAAGCGGAGCTACACTCCGTCGCACAAGACAAATGCACAAAACTTAAATTCAAGATCGAAGTGTCAATATACAATCTACCCTGCACCTCTCGCTCATCAGCGCTAAAGATGGAGAGGAGATGTGTATTGTGTCTCTGTCGTGGGAAGCAGGAGGGAGGATCAATTGGTTGAGGTGTGTCAAAGAAAAGGGTTCAAATGTCAAAACTCTACATATGCACCTCGGAGTTGACGTCTTTTGTATTTGCGAATACATTTTCAGGTGTAGTTTGACAGCTGCAATGAGTACGATTTCAGAAACATTTGCTCATCCTCTAAACTTCCGCATATACTGTACTGTATGTAGTAGTGTCTCCCTTTCTTTATAGCGTGAAGGTCAGCATCATTGGAACGATCAAGGTGGAAGGGCAAAGGGACAAAGAGGATAGTGAGGTGTAGTTCGAGGTCATGTAACCCTGTCTTGGAAAGTGTTGGTCTCCGCTATCGCGGGTCGAAACGTGCTGCTGTGGATCGATCGGGAGTCGCGTCCAGAGAATTTGCCCAAGATCGATTATACGCAATTTCGTCGTAGGCTGTCAGATTGCAATACAGCAACAAATATGGATTATTTGTCGAGCGGGACTCGGCTCCGAACACGCTTCCAGACGATCACGATTTCAAATCCAACTGATGCTTTCGCACACTCCGCATTCCTATCGACACCATATCTTCTCAACCATCCTACACCTCCAAACTGCACCCGCGCGGGACATATCTGCAGGCCAGAAACAGGCACCCATGATGGTATCTCTATTTTCTCCGTTCCGCAGCACATACCGATACCTCGTAAGTGCCCCCCAACTCAACTGAACCTGCAAAAGCAGAAAGAAGTGCCTAAGACTTACAGTTCATGACCTTGTGCTGATGATGAAACAGCAATATGCAGCGCACGAACACCCAGCAGTCTTCTTCTCGATTGCCATTGGATCTGTTGGACCAGTGGCAGTCTTGACAGTGCCCCCTATTCGTAAAGCATACGGTTGGAAGCCTGCTGAAAAGGTTCCTACTTCTTACCCTCGTGAGTGATACATGTTGCAGCAATGATGCAGGTATTGAAGGGAGAATACTGACATTGAGAATGACGAATGTTTCTATCCACCTGACAGTTCCCGCTCGCGCACGTCAAGAGATCACTGCGTACGACGACGAAGAGTGAACCCAACCACACTTACAAATACAGACTCGCTTCTTTGCAATAGCATCCTTTCTGCAGAACTAGCATCTCGATTGAAGTGGACTGATCGCATTCGTACTGTACTGTACATGACATGACATCAGCATACTCTGGACAGAGAGGACAGGAACACTCAGACCCGGACACAGAGGACCATTTGGCAACGAAGATACTCGGGATAGACGAAATTGGACTTGGTATTTGGTGTGTCCAAGGCTCGGGATGGGGTGCAGGCGATCAGAAAAGCCGTTGCACAGTGTTCAGATGATACCAGAAGCTTCTGAAAGGCTCACGATGAAGCTGAAGAAGTAGCTGCTTCAACTCGATTAGCTCAGACGCGGCAACTATGGTCAATGGCAGAACGACGTCCTGCGCCCGCTTTTGGCAGTACCAACAGCGACGTGACCTCAGACTTCAGGGAGCTTTCACGACCCAGACGTCGATCTTGGTTGGACGAAACAGTCGAATCAAGCATGAAACGAAATGCAATTGAGATGATCTATAAAATGAGAACAACAGCATGCCAAGAAACAGCAAACTCCCCCACATTCAAACATCAGCCGCACCCCTGACCAGCCTCTTATCCCAAGGACCGTCATCCTTCTTGCCACATCCACCTTCACATTCACACTCTCCACCCAAACTCTTCGGCCAATCTTCCTTCTTCACAAACTCCCATATCCTCTCATGATAATCCGCCCCCGCAATATCGATCTTCTCCACCGTCACTGTTGGCAACCACCCCTTAATCCAACTCCAAATTGTACTGAACATATACGGAGCATTGATAATCTGTACTCTCCCTGACAATTCTGGAAAGTTATTGTCCAATATCCCCAACAACTGTTGCAACTGCCCCTTCATTGACCAAAAGGTGCTTAAACCCAGCCCGGCGAGGTTTACTACCGTATAGTTATCGTCCACCCAACGGCCGGAAGAGATCGTACATGCTTCGTAGCGATGTCGCACAGCTAGTTCTAGTGTCACTGCGAAGTTCTGTATGACTCGCTCGGGGGTAGTGTTGCGGAAGACGGAAGTAGTGTCCATGTTGCCCAGATCTTGGATGAAGATAGGTCGACCGAGTTTGTCGGTTTTATGGAAATACATTGACCAGCCGTGAGAGGCGACGATGTCTCGCTCGGAAAAGGAAAACGTAGAGATCAGGTGGTCGAGCTGAATTTCTTTCTTCCAGGCTTCCGCTTTGAGGTACATGGTTCGGGCTGCTTCCGGATTGAAGTTTCGTGCACGGAGGAAGCGGAGCAACTGCGTTTCTTGGTGGGAGAGTGTTTCGGATTCGGATGTGTGCAGGGCTCCGTCTCGTTTGAGTGTGGCTGTGAGTTCTTGAAGTGCATGTGTTTGAGCAGAGGTGAGATTACCTGGATGCCCTGGGAGCGGTTGCGCTTTCGGACTCTGCAAAACCTTTTGGAGAGGAGAATCCTCGTTCATCTCAGCAACGGTTTTGTGCGGGTGACTGCTGTCAAAGACGTCATCGTCGCTTGCTCTTCGGCAGACTGGCGCTGAGGGAGGATGCTTAGGCATTGTCGAGTCTGGCGCCCCCTTGGTAAGGTCAAGCTTTTCGATTCGACCGGCCGTTTCTTCGAGTGGAGCCGTGGAGCGAGGTGTTGAACCAGCAGAGGCGGGAGCGGGGGCGGGGGCGGAGAGGTTGTTAGATGTGGACTTGCCGGCGGAGCGAGTGAGCGAGGCGAATCGACCGCGGAAAGAGGTGGGTGTGGAGAGCTTTTCAGGGGTAGGTGCAGAGGTGTTGCGGTTGAACGGTGGTGTCTTGGGCTCGTTGATGGAGTTGCCAGTGGAAGCAGAGGAGGTGGAGGACTCGATGGAGGGCGGCATTGTTTGTAGCTATCTAGAAGGGGCTGAAACTGAGGCCGAAGCGAATCGATGCAGATACTCCGTGAGCCTAGACAGCGGTATTATGTACTTAAAAAGTAGAACAGCTTGACCGTGTCGCCGGCTTAAGGATCCTCGAGCAGCTAGGATGAATCGTGTAGAAGCGTTCGCTTGACAAGCTTAAGTGCAAGCTCGATCAAAGAAGCTGGCTGGCCAGTGTTCTCAAGTTGCTGTTTCTCCAGTGTTCGACAATGAAGACTAACAGTATAAGATCTTGCCCAGAAAGCTGCACAAAGGCGTATCGAACTCCGAGGATGTAAATGGATGTCTCGATGCTACTTGTTCGCCAGCATTGAGGTGTATTGATGGTGAGAAGGGAAGGAATGTCCGAACAAGAAGGTGCTGTATTAGCCTCTTATAACATGTATTTAGTCCCGCTCTTGGTCAGGAATGTAGACACACACTACCGCTAGATTGGATAGGAAAGGGGTTCCGTGGCTTGTCTCCCACCCACAACCCACAGGAGAAGGTCAAAAGCTCATTCGCAAGCCTGCATTTGTGATTCACATTGCTGCAACTTTATCGTCCTCTCGCCTCGTCTTCTCACTCGCTCGAGCAGTCAAAAAGTGTCTGCAGTTGCTCGTCAGTCTGCCGGAAATTGACTGGAGGATCAAAAAGAGACTGATCTGCCAACCTGGCTTTTCTCGCAGCATGACCTCCACACTGAGACGGCCCACATCGGGCTTTTTGTCCGCCAGGCCGGGGGTGTCGATTCGATCCCGCCGAAGAGCCATCAAAAGCCAGGGCCATACCTCAAGATCTTCTTCAGTCAAGTTCTATTCCGCTCCAACAGGCAAAGAGTGTGCATAGAGAATCGAATCGACATTTCTTCTAAAGACATATGAGTGCAAAGCGACAAATAAACTCCTTCCTAACCTAGAGCATCTTTGGCAGCTCGAACTACCAGGAAGTCAAGGACAAGGAAGTGTGAGAGGGAGGTACAGTGAGCATAGAGCGAGAACAAAGACTTTTATACACAGAGGGAGGAGCTTAGGCACGGTGGTGCAGGACCATGGCGAGCAAAGCCATGCGCAGATATAGACCGTACTTGACCTGTCGCCACCAAGCGGCACGAGGGTCGTATTCGAGGTCCTCGGCCAACTCGTTGTTCTTGGGCAAGGGGTGTAAGACAATGGTGCTGGGCTTGCACTTGGCCAAGGTAGCGTTGTCGACGACGTAGCTGTCCTTGACCGCTTCGTACGAAGCAGCGTCGGGGAAGCGCTCCTTCTGAACACGAGTGACGTAGAGCACATCAGTACGAGCAAGAACATCATCCGAGAGCACAGTCGACTCGTACTGCTTGATGCCCTTGCGAGCAACAGCCTGCTTGACCTCTTCGGGCATCTTGAGCGACTCGGGGCTGACGTAGTTGACAGTGACACCGTACAGACAGAGCAGCTGAACCAAGCTGTGCACGGTGCGGCCGTACTTGAGGTCGCCGACCATGGTGATGGTGAGACCAGCTACGGTACCCATCTCTTCACGAATGGCGAAGATGTCAAGCAAAGCCTGAGTGGGGTGCTCGATCGAAGACTCACCACCCGAGATGACGGGAACAGGCGAGTGCTTAGCAGCTAGGTGCACACTGCCTGCAGTAGGGTGGCGCATCACAACCGCATCGGCGTAGCAGCCAAGAGTGCGGATGGTGTCAGGGATCGACTCGCCCTTCTGCATCGACGACTTGTCAGGCTGAACTTTGACCACCTGACCACCAAGACGAAGCATGGCGGCCTCGAACGAGCACGAAGTGCGTGTCGACTCCTCGTAGAAGAGGGTAGCCAAGACACGACCACGGAGCAAGTCGACAGACCCCTGTCGCTCGACCATCACACGCATCTCGGTAGCCACCGAGAAGAGGGCGTGCAAGTCATCACGAGTGAAGCTCTTGGCCGAGAGGATGTGGCGACGAGCGAATGTGGGGTGGTACAGGACCGATCCGATCGAAGCAGCTCCCTGATACTGAGTGGTTGTGAGGGCGGTCGACTCGTTGGCAAAAACAGCCATCAAGCTGCTACTGCGAGGCTGACCAGGCTCGCTTGCACCGAGAACAGGCGACTTCATGGCCAACGAGAGAGGAGGTGGCGATGTAGGAGTATCCTGCGCCGAAACAACACCCGAGCTGGAAGAAACACCGGCAGTGGCAGCCGAGAACGAGACTCGGCGACCAGCCGACTTGGCCTGCTTGGCAACAGTAGCGACGTTGCTGACATTGGTACCGAGCGAAGCATCCGAGAGAACCTCGCCATCGACGAAGACGGTCTTGCCCTTCAGTGTGACACGATTGATTGAGCCAACAGTGGCACGCGACTCAAGAGGCGACCAGTAGTCTCGGCGGATAAAGGCGGTAGGTCGGTCAATCTCGATCTCAACCTGAGTGTTGGCCTGAGCCTGAACGCCAAAGATCTCCTTGGGCTTGGTGTACAGCCTGAGCAGAATGTCGTCAAGCGTCAATCGGTGCTCGTTGACAGCGTCGAGGAGAAGCAAGAGAGTCTCCTCGATCCCTGACTGAGGAGCAACAACCTCGCCGATCTCCTTGGCAAGCTGGTAAGGGGTACTGCCAATCGAGAACATGTCAATGTCCTCGAGCTTCTCCCAGAGTGCCTTCTGGTCGTCGGCCGAAGGGAGGCAGGTGGCCTGAGGGTACATCTCGGTGGTGAAGAAGAGAGCATAGACGGCAACATCGCATGTCACCTGCAGACCCTTGGCCTTACTCAAAGCAATGAGATGGATGTCATCACGCGAGAGAACGTTGGTGACGTGGATCGATCGGTTGTTGAGACTGGCGAGCAAGAGCACCGATGCGAGGTCGGTGTTGCGAGCGTCAGTGACAATGGGTCGGTCTGCAGGCCACGAGGAAAAGTGCGAGGCGATGGTGGCAGCCTTGCTGATGTTGGAGCCAAGACCGTTGAACGAGATGAGCAGCGAGCGGGCGCTGTCAGCAAGCTCGTCGATCAACTCGTGGTTGTCGGCAGTGGCGGAAACACCGAGCGAGACGTCGCAGTGAGCACCACCAGCAATCTTGCTCTCAGCAGTGGCGAGCGAAGTAGCATCAACGATGCTCGACGAGACACCAGCGGGCATCATCTGGATTGTGGTGAAACCACCAGCGATCGAGGCACGGGTGATTGCAACAAGCTCCTCTGCGCTCGCCTTGCCATCAGCAATGTTGGGCACGAAGGCGTTGACATTGATAAGACCAGGCAAGGTGAAGGCGGTGTGGCTCGTCTTGAAGTCGACAGGCGAGATGTCGAAGCTCGAGCCAGCCTTGCGGTGACGGGCGAGCGCCTCGACGAAGAGCTTGGCGTTCTTGACGTTGGTGATGAGGGGAATCGATCGGTCAATCGCCAATCGACGGGCGCGGTAACCCATCGAGGTGAACGACACAGGTCGGCGGTACTTGTTCTTGCTTGGAAGCGAGATAAAGAGCGACGAAAGACCCTGGGTCAAGTGCGTCAAGAGCGAGTACGAAGCCTTGGCCTGGTCTTCGAACTTGGACTCGTCATCTTCGGGCAACGACTCGAGGTGGATGACAGGGATGCCCTGCTCCGAGTAGAAGTCGGCGGAACCAGACGAACCGTAGAGGGTGAAGCCGAGCTGATGAAGGGTGCGCACCGAAGGGAGCAACTCCTGCTTCTCGCTGTACGAACCGATACTGAGCAAGACGTTCTTGGTAGGAAGGCGGATACCCGAGGCGATCATAGCCTTGAGGTAAGCCTCGTACTTGTTGCGACCGAAACAGGCAACCTCACCAGTCGAAGCCATCTCGACACCGAGAATGGGGTCAGCACCGGCGAGACGGCTGAAACTGAACTGTGGCACCTTGACACCGACGTAGTCGCGAGGCAAGTCGACCTTGGGGTAGGCCTCGACGGGCAAGTCTAGCATCACGTCGGTAGCCATCTGGATGGCATCGATACCAGTGACCTTGGAGACGAAGGGGAACGATCGGGCAGCACGGACGTTGCACTCAATGACCTTGATGTCGTTGTTCTTGGCGATGAACTGGATGTTGAAGGGTCCAGTGACGTGGAGCGATGCGGCGATCTTGGCGGTGGCGACCTCGATGCGGCGCACAGTTTCGGGGTCCAAGTCCTGAGGAGGAAGGATGAGAGTAGCGTCACCGGAGTGAACACCAGCGTTCTCGACGTGCTCGGAGACGTAGTGCATCATCATCTTACCGTCCTTGGCAACAGCGTCCATCTCGATCTCTTTGGCACCCTCGAGGTACTTGGTGATAACGACGGGGTGCTCGCGGTTGATGGCAGCAGCCTGGGAGAGGTAGCTGTTCAAGTCCTCGGGCGAGTAGACGACGTTCATGGCGGCACCACTAAGAACGTACGAGGGACGCACCAAGACGGGGTAGCCGAAGCGGGCGCAGGCAGCCTGAGCTTCCTCGAAACTGGTGAGCTCCTTCCACATGGGCTGGTCGACGCCGATCTTGTCAAGCATACGAGAGAACTTGTATCGGTTCTCGGCCATGTCGATCATCTCGGGCGAAGTACCGAGGATCTTGACGTTCTGTCGGTGCAAGGGCAAGGCGATGTTGTTTGAAGTCTGACCACCCATCGAGACGATGACACCAGACGACTGCTCGGTGTCATAGATGTCGAGGATCGTCTCGAGCGAGATGTTCTCGAAGTAGAGCCGGTCCGCCTCGTCGTAGTCGGTCGAGACAGTCTCGGGGTTGTAGTTGACCATGATGGTCTTGAAACCGCGCTGACGGAGAGTTCGGATGGCACGCACGGCACACCAATCGAACTCGACCGACGAACCGATACGGTAGACACCGGAACCGAGCATCATGACACCCTTGTCGCTGAAGTTGACGTCGTGCTCGACAGCGTTGTAAGTGGTGTAGAGGTAGTTGGTGTAGGCAGGGAATTCGGCAGCGACCGTGTCGATCTGCTTGACGAAGGGCATGATGGCGTGCTCCTGTCGCATCTTTCGGACAGCCAACTCGGTCGAGTTGAGGCACTTGGCCAACTGCTTGTCCGAGAAACCGAGCTGCTTAGCCTGTCGGAGCATGGCAGGAGGGAACGAGGCGGCGTTGTGCGTGGAGAAGACCTTGCTGGCGTTCATGATGCGCATGAGCTTGCTGAGGAACCATCGGTCGATGTTGCTCATCTCGTGGATCTTGTCCACAGAGTAGCCCTTGGCCATGGCGTTGGCAATGGCGAACATGCGCTTGTCGGTGGGGTTGATGAGCTCCTCGTCAATCTCGTCGTCAGTGACGACCTCGTTCTGGCTGAAACCATCGTGCTGGTAGTCGATGGATCGGATGGCCTTCTGGATCGATTCTTCGAAGGTTCGGCCAATGCTCATGACTTCACCGACACTCTTCATCGAAGAGCCAAGCTTGCTGCTGACGCGAACGAACTTGCGCAGATCCCATCGGGGAAACTTAGTGACAACGTAGTCGAGCGAAGGCTCGAAGCAGGCGCTGGTCTCGCGAGTAACGCTGTTGCGGATCTCATTGAGCGGGATGTTGAGACCGAGCTTGGCAGCGATGAAAGCGAGGGGGTATCCGGTAGCCTTTGAAGCCAAAGCCGATGATCGCGAGAGACGAGCGTTGACTTCGATAATGCAGTACTCGCGCTTGTGAGGGTTGAGAGCGTACTGGATGTTGCATTCACCAACGACACCAAGGTGACGGATCACATTGACGGCGGTGGTACGAAGCATGTTGTAGTCATCGTCGCTGAGGGTCTGAGAGGGGGCAATGACGATCGAGTCACCAGTGTGAATACCCAAGGGGTCGAAGTTCTCCATGTTACACACAGTGATGCAGTTGTTGCGGCAATCACGGACGACCTCGTACTCGACCTCCTTCCAGCCCTTCATCGACTTCTCGACAAGGACCTGGGGTGAGTTAGCGAAGGCAGCCGAGCAGAGCTTGCGGAGCTCCTCTACGTTGTTGGCGAAACCGGAGCCGAGACCACCAAGAGCGAAGGCAGCACGCACAATGACGGGGAAACCGATCGACTGAGCGGCAGCGAGAGCCTCGTCCCAGTTGTTGGCAGCAGCAGAGGGGGCACATCGCTCGCCTATCTCCTCCATCGCCTTGGCGAAGAGGTCACGGTCCTCAGTGGTGATGATGGTCTCGATGGGAGTACCAAGGATCTTGACACCCATCTTTGGGAGCTCATCTTTGATCTTGATACCGACGTTCAAGGCGGTCTGACCACCGAATGTGCAGTAGATACCGTCAGGACGCTCGTGCTCGATGACCTTGAGCACGAACTCGGGGGTCACGGGCAGGAAGTAGACCTTGTCGGCCAGACCAGTCGAGGTCTGAATGGTGGCGATGTTGGGGTTGATGAGAACAGTGTAGATGCCCTCCTCATTGAGCGCCTTGATGGCCTGCGAACCCGAATAGTCAAACTCACCGGCCTGACCGATGGAGAGACCACCGGAACCAAGGACAAGGACCTTGCGAACATTGACGCGAGGTACCTTGGCGGCGTTGTCGGCAAGGAGACCACCGGTGAAACCGACGGGAGGCAAGATGGTAGCAGGGGTGGCACCGGGAGCGATCTTGACGGCAGCGCAGTCAACGACACTGCGGATGAAGACGTCAAAGAGGAACTCGGTGTCACGTGGACCGGGAGTGCTTTCGGGGTGGAACTGGACACTGAAGAAAGGACCCTCGGTGCAGTAGATACCCTCATTGGTGTCGTCGTTGGCGTTAGCGAAGAGAGGCTTCCAGCCCACGGGAAGAGTGTCGGCATTGACGGCGTAACCGTGGTTCTGGGAAGTGATGTAGCAACGACCGCTGATCTGGTCGGTACAAGGGATGTTGTGACCACGGTTACCGAACTTGAGCTTCTCGGTCTGGGCACCAGCAGCAAGGGCGAGAAGCTGGTGACCGAGACAGATACCGAAGATGGGGATCTGATTGGCACCCTTGAGCTTAAGAAGCTCGCGGATGCGAGCGATGGTGGGACCGCAAGAGATGGGGTCACCAGGACCGTTGGAGATGAAAAGACCATCAAAGGCCTCAGTCTCGGTGAGGAAGTCGTAATCCCAAGGAACAACCTTGAGCTCGACACCACGCGAGGTGAAGCATCGGATCTGGTTGTACTTCATACCAACATCGAGACAGAGGATGCGGATGGGACGACCAGAGGGGTGGAGGAGGGGAGCCTCGTACTTGCCAAGGGACTCGCCCGAGGCAGTGTTGGCAGGAGTGTAGAGCTGAGGCTTCTTGCACGAGACACGGGCAACGAGGTTCTCGGCGTTGGGGTCAGCGAAGGGAAGGTCGACGACGGCCTCGCGCCAGTCACCAGCGGCAGCAGCCTGAACAATGGAAAGACGGGGCTGAGGAGTGAGAAGCTTGCCAAGCATGCTACCTTGGTTGCGGATCTTCTTGGTCAAAGCTCGGGTGTCGATGCCGTAGACGGCTGGGACACCGCTCTCCTTGAGCCATTCCGAAAGACCGGTCTTGGCGAGGTAGTGGCTGAATTCGTGGCTGTAGTACGAGACGACGAGACCGGCCACGTGAATGCGGCTCGACTCGAAGGGAGAGACCAAGAGCTTCTGGATGCTCTGAGCCGCCTCCTCGCGGCTGGGGACACCGTAGTTACCAGCGAGGGGGAAGGTGAGAACGAGGATCTGACCTTCATAGGAAGGGTCGGTGATGGACTCGACATAGCCGACCATACCTGTGATGGGCGTGGTTGGAGAGGTAGACAGCGCGTCAGATCAGCCATGTATCTCTGGGCATTGCAAAGCGAACAGGCGCGATGCTGGAACGGCATTGCTTGTGCATAGAATGCAGCAGCAGGTGTGGAGTTAGAAAACTTACCAGTCTGGAAGACACATTCACCAGAGATAGACTTTCCTTCAGCACCGAAGCTAATACCACGGTAAGCGGTGCCGTCAGCAAGTTCGAGGACCATCTCGGTAGAGTCTTCTTGACCGAGGGGAGGGCTTGTAGCAGGGGGGAAGAGAAGAGCCTGGCCGTTAACGGCGGCGGCGACTTGGCCTGCGCCCAGCGAAGGGGTGGCCATTTTGAATGTCTAAAGAAGAAAGAGAACGGAAACAGAAAGAGAAACGAATTTGGAAAAAAAGAAAGTGATATGAACCTCGAACAGCGCTGACAGCTGATCAGAGTGAGGCTACTTTTTGGGGAGATGAAACGTGCGGGGTGTGTGTGGGGTTCGTCTAGCGTCGAGTATCTGCTAAGAGATACTTTTTCTGATAGAATAGATCGAAAAGTTCCTCCAAGGAGAAGAAACGACGTTGATGATGGACGAAGAACACAATCAAGGAAGGAGAAGACGTCTAAAGGGGGTTGTCAGAAGTGACGTTGGTCTTTTTGGATTGGCAGATCAGATCGAGTTCTTGAACCTCGTTTCGACCTCCTTCCTGTCTTGCGTGAGTGTGTTGTGCTCGCTAAGAGAAGAAGGAAGGAGGAGAGGTAGGAGGGAAGAAGGAGGAAGAAAGGAAGGAAGATGGTGGGAGCGCCGTCCAACGGACTAACCTTTCGTCGATGAGCCCGAATTCAAAGCAAAAAAGCAAAAAAAGCAAAAAAGCAAAAAAGCAAAAAGGGGGTATCAATTTTCGAGTGTTTTTAGAAACACGTGTTTCTCGATTTTGACGACTTTTTCCCATTTTTGAACACCCCTTTTAAGGATCCAAAAAACACATGTTTCTAAAAACACATCTGCAGCAAATGTGACATTTGGTTTGTTTTAACACATATGTTATTAATACTGAAGCTCATCAGTATCATGTTAGCATGTGCTTCACACTGTTACAGATGGTCATAGTCAATCAAGTCTTTTGTGGAAACATTTCACTAAGGATGAAAATGAACAGGTGCTAGGGATGTGAAGGTGTTGACAATTGGCAACTTTGCCTGGACAACCAGCCCCATGCCAACATTGCATTGTAGTCCTTGGCCATCCTCTCATGGCACCTGGAGCATGCAGTTGTGTCCTCCTGCTGTCAGCCAGTGGAAGTGAACAGCACCTGAAACATTTGCTCTTGAAGATCATGTGCCAATGAGCTGCAAAGTTGTGTCAAGGCAGGCTGTGTCATGCTTTGCATACTTGCCATGCTCTCCTCCTTGTACTGAGCTTGATTTGTCTGCTGTTGACTCTGCATATTCCCACTCTGGCTCAGGTCAGTGCTGAGAGTCTGAACAACATCATGGACTACTTCCTCAGAGAAGGATGGGCAAAGGAGTTCAGCAACCATGTCTGGACCATCATATTGGCTTGCAAATGTATGGGCAACAATGCATGCTTGTATAGTCCTTGCTGCTGTCATATGATCCTTGACATGATACATGTTCCCTCTGTACCCATTCAGGCACTGAAATCGATTCTTGAGGTAGGCAATGGCATGTTCAACCCAGACCCAGACTTGAGAGAGAGAGTGGTTGAAGAAATGCAGGTCATGGCTTTTTGCAGCAGCTATGTGTGAGAAAGGTCCAACCATGAAGGCAGAGTGACCATACCCTCCATCAACCCAGATAAACTCACCATTGTCCAAGTACAATCAAGGTTTCTTGAGGATGTTGCTGCCTGAAGTCCAAACCTTTGAGTCTTGGACACTACCAGGCTGTCCAACAACTGACTCCACAATGTGAAGAGAATGAGGTAGGATGACCAGGGCAACATTCATGCTGTAAAAGCCCTTGTAGCTAAAGTGCTCCTGGCTCATCATCCCTGGCTTCCATGCAAGTGGTACATGAGTACCATCAACCACAAGCCAGCCTTTTCCCCATTCCTCTACTCCAGTAGTCCTTTGCACCCATGCAGAAGCACTTTGCCTCTCTGCTTCCAATGCAAATTGCATAACCTCCTTGTTGAGTTCAAGAAGTCTGCAGACAGTCTGTTTGGTCCAGCCTATCACAGTTCCAATGCTGTAGCCACATTGCAGGGAAACATTGCACTCTCTGGCTCCATTTCCTAATTGCCAAAGCTGGTAAAGAGCCACTGACAGGATTTCTCTGCACTGTTCAATCAAGACCTGACCTGAGTTAAATGATTTCATTTGTTGAAGGCATTTCACCAGCTCCTCAAAAGCCAAAGGTGTCATTCATAGCAAGCCTTGGAAAAGGGCTGGCTTCATCATGGCATATTGGTCCAGGAGCTCAATTAGCTTTTTGGAGTGGCCCTGTGTGTGAATCCATGAGACTGAGTATTGCTGCTGGGCAATGAGGGTGTACATGCAAATGAGGCCTGCCAAAAGAGGTGTTGGGCCATCATCAGTGTCAGAGCTGCTATCATAATCATCCATATCAAAGTCCAGGTTTTGCAACTCTTCTGCATACTGATCAAGTCCAGCAGGCAATGATACTTCCAGAGTTTGAATGATGCTATTGAGCTGGTCCTGTTTTGTGCTGAAGTGTGTCATGGGCCTGGATGCTCAAGAAGCAGGAGGGTCACGGGTTCATATGGAAGGAGCACAGGTATCAAAGATCTAGTCGATACCAGTAGAGAGCATGGTCGTAGTGCAGTCTCCATGGAGACCATGGACTCCTATGGACTCACATGCAAAGGAGGACATGAGCCACATGCGAGGAGGGCCAGGCACAGCCACGAGGAGGACCAAGCTCAAGGAGCAGGCACAGCCACGAAGAGGACCAAGCTCAGGTGGTTACCACTCAGGGGCTCGAGAGACAAGAGTCAAAGGAACTGTCACCAGTCAAAGGAGAAGGAGCAGTGTATAGGACACTAGCAGGCAGGTCCTGAGGAAGAGGAGCAGTGTCGAAGGAGTCGACACCAGGTCATGAGGAGGAGGAGCAGTGTCGAAGGAGTTGACACCACTCAAGAGGCACAGGGGTGCCAAGCAGGAGAGGCCCCTGAGCAGTACTCAATGAAGAAGGTACTCTCTGGAGAGAGAGCAGGAGCAGCATCGCTGGCGATGCTGTGAAGAGGTATATAACCATGCTTTCTCATCATCATAGGTCGAGTGGATCCTCATCCACTCTACTCACCATACAACTAGTCAATACTTTAGAAACACAAGTACTCATTAGTTACAGTCAGCATAGCAGCAATCTATCAAGGTTGCTCCTCATCATAGTGTGTGTGTGTTGTATCACCACTACCTGACGTCCATAGGCACCCCATAGCAGGTTAGTGGTCTGGATATAGATAGAACCAAAGGCAGTAGTTCACTGCGGTCCAGGGATCACTTCAAGCGTCAAAGTCAACACACTGGACACTCGTGTTGATGCCACCAACCTTATCACCAACACCATCAACCTCATTATCATCAACACTCACCAACCTTATCACCAATGTCATCAACCTCATCATCATCAACACTCACACCAGATCTTGGTGTCATCATAACCAAAGCATTGATATTGATTGTGCCAAGCTACCCCTGAACAGAGTGTCCACAGAGGTCAGCCGAAACCTATGATAGTATATACAATGAACGCCACCTGCTGTCACTGTGCAACTTGATAGTCACTGATACCGAGACAATAGCTGTTGCACAGTTTGATAGTCACCAAGTATCTCGACAGACCGACCTGGGTTTCAGGCGCGAGACCCCTGACAACCATGGTGTAGAGGACTGTGAGGAAGGGAAGGGGGTTATGGTTGGAATGGAAGGTGAAGGTGATGGTGTTGGTGAAGAAGGAAGAAGGAAGAGAGAGGAGCAAGAAAGATGGCGCAAAGCATTGTGCAAAGTGTTGTGCACATAGAGTGCTGTGCACACCTTTGAAAAGTGTGCACATTTGCAGATGGATGCACATCTGCTTGCTTCACCTCCTCAACTTGACTACTTCATTGCACTGGTGCACCATGTCATTCATTGACAAAGTATTTGAAGCTGGAAGCTGGGATGTTTCTCTTCCTGCTTCTCCAACTCCCCCATCTGACACAGAGCAAGAACAAGGTGCACCTCCTGTGCTTTCTCCTGTCACTTCCCCAATCAATTGGATGTCTGGTACACCTTCCACCCAATCCACCAGGCCTGCTGACAATGGGGCAAAGAAGAACTTTGTCTGGCAGGCTCAGGACATCGAGTGCCTTGTAGACATGATCTACATCAATGAGTCATATCAGCACACAATTCTCCCTTCTCATCACAATGAAGCCAATGAGCCTGCCAACAAGCTTCACAAAGATACAGTCTATTGTGACCTCAGCAAATCGGTCTTCCCTGCCAGGTCTGTTGATCCCTCTTGCATCAAGTTCAAGGTATGCTGGCTTCAAGAAACATACCATCAGGAGAAGAAAGCTCTCTCACTTACAGGAGCTGGAACACTGCTGAAGGACATGGATGCAACAAATCCTGTAAGTACTTTAAGACCATCAGTTATATTACTTGTGAATATGTACTTGCTGACACTTTCTCTCTACAGTCTTACATGTCTCAGGTTGCTCTCTCAGCCAAGTATCCTTGGTTTGAGAAGATGCATGAGATGATGAATGAATGTGTGTTGGCAGGGCCAGCTGTCCTCCTCACAACACCTAGACTGGATGCTACTGGCAACAAGGATTCCAATCATGTGCTCCCTGGCAGCAATCCCATGGAGGAATCCAGCGATGCAGACCTCGACCACACAGTGCATGCCCGGAACCTGTCATGGGCCTGAATGTGCAGGAAGCAGGAAGACCCATTAGTTCATATGAAGGGAGCGCAGGAATCAGGGGATTGGGCAGATCGTACGAGTTGTGGCAGAATTCGCCAAGATCTGCAGTAGAATCGGCTCTATGACAGATCTCGGTGCAATCAGTATGAGCAAGGGTGATATCACAGATCCCACCGAGATCGGTAGTAAGCACAATCATAGGACAGATTCTGTGGAGATCAGCAATAGGGATGTTCATATGATGGTTCACATGCAAGGAGGACCAAGCTCACATACAGGGAGGACCAAGCTTTGCCAAGATGGGGACCAAGCTCGGTGACACACAGACAGTTACCACTCAGGGGTGCACAAGATAGGAGTAAAGAGAACCATTGCCGGTTGAAGGAAGAGGAGCTGTGTAAAGGACACCAGCAAGTAGGTCATGAGGAGGAGGAGCAGTGTCGAAGGAGTCGACACAGCTCAAGGAGGACAGGAGCGATGAGCAAGCATGGTTCGAGGAGGAGGAGGCGCCTTATCAGGGGCCCTTGGATAGTACTCGACGAAGAAGGTACTCTCTGGAGAGAGAGAGCTGGAGCAGTGTCACAGGTGATGCTGCATAAGATGTATAAAAGCATGCCTTCTCTTCATCAGTGGACAAGTGGATGCTCATCCACTCTACACCATATAACTAGTATTACTTCAGAAGCATAAGTACTCATTAGTTTCAGTCAGCATAGTCGCAATCAAATAGATTGCCTCTCATTGTAGCATGTGTGTTGTATCACCACTCACTGACATCTGAAGGCAGTTCATAGTAAACCAGTGGTCCAGATTAGATAGAACCAAAGGCAGTTGTCCACTGTGGTCTGGGGATCACCTCAAGTGATAGTCGACACACTGGACACTCATGTCGATGCCACCAGTATCATACTCACACCAGACCTTTGGTGTCATCATCAAGTTCATCCAACATCATATCATTATTGACCATGCCGAGCTTCCCCTGGATGGAGTGTCCACAGCAGTTAGTTGAAATCTGCAATAGCATTACTACAACTACAGATTCGAACGAGAAAAGTGATAGAGACAGCTCTATCGCATATTTCACTAAGAATCGAAATACCACTAGCATTGTCACATAACTCGACAGAATCGGTAATAGCATCGATACTACTACCGATCGCAGTTTTCAGGCACACAACCGCTGACAGAACCTACCCCCAATCCATGACCTGGTGGATGCTGCTCCCAGTAATGCTGGAGATTGCACTGATTTTGACATCTCAACACCACCCCCACATCCCATCCAATCAGATGCCCTGGTCTCAAGTCCATCAATGTTCTCAAACCAGGCCTCATCTTTGCAAGCAAATGGCTACAAGCACAAGCATAACAATGTTGAACAGAAGTGGGATTCCCTTGCAGAGGCTTTCTATCAATCTTCAATAGAAAGCCTATCAATTTGCCTCAAGCTTGCACAGGAGTGCACCAAGCAAGAAGCAGAGTGCACCAAGCAGGAAGAATTGCAGTTACAGCACAAGTGCAAGGAAAGGGAGCAAGAAGAATGTTGTCATGGGCCTGGATGCTCAAGAAGCAGGAGGGTCACTGGTTCATATGGACGGAGCACAGGTATCGAAGACCTAGTCGATACCAGTAGAGAGCATGGTCGTAGTGCAGTCTCCATGGAGACCATGGACTCCTATGGATTCACATGCAAAGGAGCACTGAGCCCATATGCGAGGAGGACCAGGCACAGCCACGAGGAGGACCAAGCTCAAAGAGCAGGCGCAGCCACGAGGAGGACCAAGCTCAGATGGTTACCACTCAGGGGCTCGAGAGACAGGAAGTCGACACAGGTCATGAGGAGGAGGAGCAGTGTCGAAGGAGTCGACACAGGTCATGAGGAGGAGGAGCAGTGTCGAAGGAGTCGACACCACTTAAGAGGCACAGGGGTGCCAAGCAGGAGAGGCCCCTGAGCAGTACTCGATGAAGAAGGTACTCTCTGGAGAGAGAGCAGGAGCAGCATCGCTGGCAATGCTGTGAAGAGGTATATAACCATGCTTTCTCATCATCATAGGTCGAGTGGATCCCCATCCACTCTACTCACCATACAACTAGTCAATACTTTAGAAACACAAGTACTCATTAGTTACAGTCAGCATAGCAGCAATCTATCAAGGTTGCTCCTCATCGTAGTGTGTGTGTTGTATCACCACTACCTGACGTCCGAAGGCGCCCATAGCAGGTTAGCGGTCCGGATATAGATAGAACCGAAGGCAGTAGTCCACTGCGGTCCGGGGATCACTTCAAAGCATCAAGTCAACACACTGGACACTCGTGTTGACGCCACCAACCTTATCACCAACACCATCAACCTCATTATCATTGACATCACCAATCTTATCATCAACACCATCAACCTCATTATCATCGACATCACCAATCTCATCACCAACACCATCAACCTCATCATCATCAACACCCACACCAGACCTTGGTGTCATCATAACATTGATATTGATCGTGCCGAGCTACCCCTGAACGGAGTGTCCACAGAGGTCAGCCGAAACCTACGATAGTATATACAACGAACGCCACCTGCTGTCACTGCACAACTTGATAGTCACCGATACCGAGACAATAGCTGTCACACAGTTTAATAGTCACTGAGTATCTCGACAGACCGACCTGGGTTTCAGGCGCGAGACCCCTGACATTAGAGTGGATCATTCAAGCAGCTCCTCACGATCACCATGACGGACCCAGACCTCAACAATAAGCTCGATAGACTACTCACTCTATTGGAAGCACAGCTAGAGCTTACCAGACAGGGTCATCGAGAGGAACGATTACAACGAGCTCAACTGAGCAGGGAGGAGACAATGGACCTCTCTCACTCAGAAGACCAAGCAGGAGGAGGAGATGAGTCTATGATAGGAGACCCACATACTCCTACTCCAGCTCCACGACCAAGACGATCAGTCTCATTCAACCTGGATGAGCAGGAGGACATCAACTACGAGAAGTATGCTTCACCTACTGGGCCAAGATATGTCAAGACTAAGCTGGACCCCTACAGCAGGACTAGGACGGACCCTTACCCCCTGGACCACGAGGAGGATACCAGCATCATGGCAGAGCTTAACCGGTCAAAGCCCATCGCCACCCCCTTTCCAAAGTTCAATCCCCGAGACATGGAGATCTTCATTCTAGAAGCCGAAGCATGGTTTAAGTACAACCAGGTGTATGAGCAGTCTAGGATGATCAATCACATGGGTGCTCAACTGGAAGGGACAGCAAGAGAGTGGTGGACCTCCAAGCTCCGTATTGATAGAGCTAGAGAAGGAAGGTTGTTCAATGATTGGCATTACTTCACAGAGCGACTGTCAGAGCAGTTCAACCCACGCAATGCTAGGATGGAGGCATACAACAAGCTGTTGGCTCTCAGACTCACAAGTGATACTCCTGGTGCCGCCACACGTCATGTAGAGCGGTTCAGAGACTTGGAAGGACAGGTCAACCTAGATGACAACGAGCTAGTGATTGATCTCTTCAGAGGTAGTCTCACTCGCAGCATACAGGAGAAGTTCGAGAGGAATCCACCTGGGAAGAGATGGGAGTGGTATCGAGAGGTTGAGGAGATCGATCAACAGAGGATGCTACTACAGCAGTCCTCGGCTAGACACTCACTCCCAAATGCCACATTACCTCCACTAAGAACTGGGTCTCGGCCAAATCAAAGTTCGATCCCCATCCGACAACCCACTCAACCTTATCCAGCTCGATCACCATCACAAGCAACTACACAAGCAACTACACAAGCAACTATACAAAACCTAAACCGACCCCTTCCTCATCATCCCACCCAACCCTCGAAGCAAGGAAGCCCTGCTCCATCAGGTATCAACACCTGTCATGTATGCAAAGGTATTGGCCATTGGGCCAGAGACTGCCCCAGCAGGAGGGTAAACCCTCTTAGCTCTCGACCCATGGGACCAAAGGTTATGGTCACCACAGCAGACCCCTTCGAGGAGGCCACTGACTCAGGGGATGGCCACACAGGCAGCACTGAGACGGGTGACCCCGAGGCCATGGACCTCAGCTCATACCAGCAACCCATGGACCCCGATCACGAGGAGGAGCACAATGATGATGACGACGAGGGAAACGTCAGTGGGGTGATGCACTGATGGCATGCATTGCTCTACAAACCTCCTCGCCATCACTCTGTATATATCAAGATTGTCAAGTATGTTTCTCTACCAGTGGAGGCAAAGCAGTACTGGAGCTCTCTGGAATGGTTCAAGACCATCCTGCTCGGATACTAGCTGATACCGGTGCTGGTTTGTCCATAGTCTCAGATTCTTTCATTAGTAGGTACCAAATACCCACAAAACCCATAAAAACAAGATCGATCCATGGTGTCACCGGGCACCAACTCTCCATCAATAGTTCTGCGAGCATGCAGGTATCTATTGGTACACACAATCTGGGTGTGGTCGAAGCTTCAGTGGCCGACACTGCGGACTATGACCTCATCCTGGGGTTCACTGAGCTACGGAGGCTCAAACCCACCATACAATGGGATACGGGCCAGCTGGAGTTCAAGACTCAGGAGCAGGACCGACCCCCTAGGAGACCCCCTGAAGCAGCAAGAGCAGGGGACCTAACCATGAGGAGACCAACCCTTCATGGTAACGAGTTTGTCTCAGCAGAGCGCATACTACGAGCAGCTCTGGAAGATGGACCCATAGGGTTCATGCTGTTAGAGGAGCCACCATCATCACTCCCAGCCTTTGGTTTTGTACCTACAGGCGCAGACAAAGGAGTCGAGATGGAGGTGGAGGTAGATAAGGTGGTGACGGCTGCAGACATACCAAAGCCATACCAACACCTGCGAGATGTGTTTGATGAGGTGGAAGCAGACAAGCTGCCCCATCATACCGAGCATGATCTCCACCTCGAGTTGATAGAAGGAGGGAAGCCACCTCAAGGGCCCCTATACCTTAAGGGACCCAAGGAGATGTCCGAGTTGAGGAGGTACTTGGATGAGAACCTCGAGAAGGGGTTCATAAGACCATCGAAGAGCCCGGCACGATCACCGGTGCTCTTCGTACCAAAGAAGGATGGAGGTCTCAGACTCTGTGTGGACTACAGAGGTCTCAACGAGATCACTGTCAAGAACAGGGCACCATTGCCCCTCATCGAGGAGCAGCTGTTCTTACTCAGGAAGGCAAGGATCTATACCAAGCTAGACCTTAGAGCAGCATACAACCTCATCCGGATTGCTAAAGGAGATGAATGGAAGACAGCTTTTGGCACTCAGTTGGGACTCTATGAGTACCTAGTGATGCCCTTTGGCCTAGCCAATGCTCCGGCTCACTTCCAGTCATTCATCAATGACATCTTCTGAGACATCATTGGGATATATGTGGTAGTATACCTAGATGACTTCCTGATCTTCAGTGACACTGAAGAAGCACATGTGAAGCATGTCACTGAGGTCCTCACTCGCTTAAGGAGCAACAGGCTCTTTGCTAAGCTGTCAAAGTGTGAGTTCCACACCAAGACAGTTGAGTTCCTGGGGTACATCATCAAGCCAACGGGCATAGAGATGGACCCAGAAAAGGTGTGCACTGTCAAGGAGTGGCCAATGCCGGAGTCAATCCATGACATCCAGAGGTTCCTGGGTTTTGCCAACTTCTATCGAAGGTTCATAGCCCACTTTGCTCGCATAGCCAAGCCCTTGACAGCACTGGTAAAGCCTATAGAACGGTTCAAGAAGTTTGAGCTACCAGAGGAGGCCCAACAGGCCTTCCACAAGCTCATCCAGGCCTTCACATCAGCAGGAGTGCTTCAGCACTTCGACTACCACCTTCCAACAAGGTTGGAGACTGATGCAAGTGACTTTGCTATAGCAGGAGTACTCAAGCAGGAGCATGAAGGACGATGGCATCCAGTGGCCTTTTACTCTAGGAAGATGTCTTCTGCCGAGAAGAACTATGAGATCCATGATAAGGAGCTCCTAGCTGTGGTCGCCTGCCTCACTCAGTGGCGACACATGCTAGCTGGACTACCGAACCAACTGGTCATCCTCACTGACCATGAAGCCCTCAAGTACTTCAAGTCACAGAGACGCATCACAGGTCGACAAGCTCGATGGGCAATACTACTAGCAGACTTCGACTTCATATTGCAGTATCGACCAGGAGACAAAGGTGGTGAACCCGATGCTCTCACCAGAAGGACAGACATGCAACCAGCCGGTGAAGAGCAGGATCACAATGTGAGGCAACTACTGCCTCCTCGAGTGTTCAAGGAGACAGCAGACCATGACTCGCTCCTAGTGGCCCCCATGATCTCGATGGAGTCCATAGCATCAAAAGGTCTCAAAGACCTGGTCAAGATCTTCCAGCCTTTAGACCAAGAGCTACAGGAGATACATAGGAAGAAGCCTTTCGAACTCAAGGATGACCTATGGTACAGTGGAGGAAGGTTGGTTATCCCCAAGGTGATCATGCCAGGGAGGACCAACAACCGACACTCAAGGAGTGCCAAAGAGGTAGATGGACAGTCTCTCTCTGTAGAGCATCTGCGATTCATGGTGATGACCCAATGCCATGATGGTATCACTGCTGGACACGTAGGAAGAGATGCTACCATCAAGGCAGCTCAACGACATTACTGGTGGCCAAACATGACAGCTTGGATTGCAGACTATGTAGCAAGTTGTCCTGTATGTGCTAGGTACAAAGCTCCTCGTCATCGTCCATATGGTTTGCTACAGCCACTAGCAACCCCAGACAGGCCCTGGGGCTCCATATCCCTCGACTTCATCGAAGGACTACCAACATCGAAGAAGTATGACTCCAAGACCTATGACTCTATCTTAGTCATTGTCGACAGGCTAACCAAGTTTGCCATACTAGCTCCAACCCATAAGACAGTCACGGCCAAACAGACTGCAGTATTGCTATATGGACACATGGTTAGACTCTTTGGATATCCAGATCACATGGTCTCGGACCGAGGCAGGCAGTTCATATCAGGAGCATGGAAGGCATTTGCAGAGCAAATGGGTGTGAAGCACTCACTTAGCACGGCTTACCATCCTCAAACTGATGGTCAGACAGAGAGAGTCAATCAGGTCATAGAGCAATATCTCAGGATGTACTGCAACTATGAGCAGAATGACTGGGCCAACCTGCTGGACACTGCGGCCTTTGTATACAACAACACGGTCCACAACAGCATTGGTGTCTCACCATTCTTTGCATGCTATGGATGGAACCCCAAAGCTCATCCTGACATCCCTCAACGACTAGGAGTCAATGATCCAGGTCGCTTCAAGTACCTCATGGATGGAAAGGAGCGTTGCAAGTACCTCCAGGAGCAGATCAGAGAGGCACAACGTAGATCAGTAGACCAGTATAACAGGAAGCACAAGGACATTGAGTTTAAGGTGGGTGATATGGTCTATATCAACCGCCGAAACTGGAAGACACGGAGACCCACACCCAAGTTGGATACCCGGTTTGCAGGACCCTACCCAGTTCAGGAACGGGTAGGACGCCGAGCTTACCGAATCACATTGCCAGCAAACCTTAGGGTGCATGATGTGTTCCATGTCTCCATGCTCGAGCCAGCAAGAACAAGTTCTCTTCCTCAACGTGCTGAACAGCCCACCATGCCACCACTTCCAGATGAGGACCTCGACTTCGAAGTCGAAGCACTCATCGACAAGCGTTCACACAATGGGACTACAGAGTACAAGGTGTTGTGGAGAGGGTACTCAGAAGAAGCTGCTTCATGGGAACCAGTAGAGAACCTCAACTGTCCCGACCTCATTCAGGAGTATGAGGTGTCGGAGGGGGGACGAGTGAGTAGACAAAGTAGAGAAAGGAGGAGAGAACAGGAGGAGTAGAGAGAGGAGGATGACGTTGAGAGAAGGAGGAAGGATGACGGGGGCGATGTTGTCAAGGAAGAGGAGGAGTCAGCATGAACCAGACCAGAGCATGCCTCGACGGAGCTCGGCTCTTAAGAGGGGGGTAGTGTCATGGGCCTGGATGCTCAAGAAGCAGGAGGGTCACTGGTTCATATGGACGGAGCACAGGTATCGAAGACCTAGTCGATACCAGTAGAGAGCATGGTCGTAGTGCAGTCTCCATGGAGACCATGGACTCCTATGGATTCACATGCAAAGGAGCACTGAGCCCATATGCGAGGAGGACCAGGCACAGCCACGAGGAGGACCAAGCTCAAAGAGCAGGCGCAGCCACGAGGAGGACCAAGCTCAGATGGTTACCACTCAGGGGCTCGAGAGACAGGAAGTCGACACAGGTCATGAGGAGGAGGAGCAGTGTCGAAGGAGTCGACACCACTCAAGAGGCACAGGGGTGCCAAGCAGGAGAGGCCCCTGAGCAGTACTCGATGAAGAAGGTACTCTCTGGAGAGAGAGCAGGAGCAGCATCGCTGGCAATGCTGTGAAGAGGTATATAACCATGCTTTCTCATCATCATAGGTCGAGTGGATCCCCATCCACTCTACTCACCATACAACTAGTCAATACTTTAGAAACACAAGTACTCATTAGTTACAGTCAGCATAGCAGCAATCTATCAAGGTTGCTCCTCATCGTAGTGTGTGTGTTGTATCACCACTACCTGACGTCCGAAGGCGCCCATAGCAGGTTAGCGGTCCGGATATAGATAGAACCGAAGGCAGTAGTCCACTGCGGTCCGGGGATCACTTCAAAGCATCAAGTCAACACACTGGACACTCGTGTTGACGCCACCAACCTTATCACCAACACCATCAACCTCATTATCATTGACATCACCAATCTTATCATCAACACCATCAACCTCATTATCATCGACATCACCAATCTCATCACCAACACCATCAACCTCATCATCATCAACACCCACACCAGACCTTGGTGTCATCATAACATTGATATTGATCGTGCCGAGCTACCCCTGAACGGAGTGTCCACAGAGGTCAGCCGAAACCTACGATAGTATATACAACGAACGCCACCTGCTGTCACTGCACAACTTGATAGTCACCGATACCGAGACAATAGCTGTCACACAGTTTAATAGTCACTGAGTATCTCGACAGACCGACCTGGGTTTCAGGCGCGAGACCCCTGACAAATGTCTTCATGCTCAGGAAAGGGAGTGCGAAGAATGTGTTTGCTTGGAGGATCACAATGTATTCATTGAAATGATGCATATGATGATCACTCAGCAACAAGGAGGACCATCACCTTGACATCCAGTCTTGGCAATCAACAATTGCCAAGACCATAATGCTCTAGACTGTGATGGTCAGGAAAAGCATCTTCTCAGTACCATCTCACTGTGCTTGTCTTCATGAAATGCACTTTGTTTCTGGTACTGCTTCTTTGTGCAATGAATGCTGAATGTTCTTGAGACCAAACATATATGTCACAGGTGTGTTCATATGATGTGAAGATTTATTGTGCAAATGGACATCATTTTGGAGAGTGACAAAAAAAGTGAGTCCATTTTATTGGGTCCAGAGGCATGTTTTCAGAAACATGTGTTTTTTCCACTTTGGGTGAGCTTATGTAAGGTTTTTGTGTGAAATAAAAACTCGTCAAAATCGAGAAACACGTGTTTCTAAAAACACTCGAAAATTGATACCCCCTAAAAAGCAAAAAAGCAAAAAATAAAAAATAAAAAAATCGAGCTTGAACCATGAGAAGGACTCAGAGGAAGAAAAAAAGAAAAAGAAAAAGAAAAGAAAAAGAAAAAGAAAAAAGAAAAAGAAAAAAAAAAAAGAAAAAAAAACAACACTCAGTTTGCGGTGGATACCTCCGCTGTCGACAATCGTAACTGGGACCCAATCATGTCGAGTGGACAAGAAGAAGTGCCTCTAGACAGGCAGAGCAAGCGAAGACATGGTCCGTCCTCCTCTGTATCTGAAGGTTGGTAAGAAGAGTGGGGGGAGAGTCTCAGTTTGAGAGTGGGGATGAGCCGAAAAAAAGCAAAAGAAAAAAAAAACACAGAGTCGAAGCTCGGATAGGAAAATTTTGAAATGCTTCCGACGTCTTTGTGTGTGTGTGTGTGTGTGTGTGTGTGTGTGTGTGTGTGTGACTCTGTACGACTGTGTAACACTGCGCTTCTTCTTCTTCTTCCTATCTCGCCTCTGCTCTCCTACCGCAAAAAGGATTAAAATTAAAATTTCTTGTGCGCTCGACACGGCGTTCTTGCCTCGGCTGAAATCGTGAAATCGAGAAGATCTTCGTGTCCTGATCCGACCGCAACGCGATGGTTACACACCAGAGGGCATCTTGCTTCTCAAAGTCAATTGGAGCTGAAGTGCAGCATTTGCTTTCGCGTAGATTGCTTTTTGAAAAAGGAGCTTTGAAATGGTGGGTTCCCACCCTTTTCAAACAAATTTTTTTTTCCTTTCTTTTCTGCATTTCCCGAAAAGTGTCTTCGGTAAAGCACGCCCAGATCGGCAGCAGAGATCGGGAAAAGGTGCTCTCCTCAATTGCACCGGAGCCGACTTCGGCACTGCAGAGCGTTCAGAGTGTTCACAGAACGGTCGCAACGGTCTCCGTTCAGTGATGACAACGGCAATGGCACAAAAGGGTATACTAAAATTACAGTGTGATGTGTGCAGATGCTGGAAGAGAGTGACTCTATTGCCTTCGACGCTTGTTCTTGAGCTTGGCCAGACATTCGGAGCAGTACCATTTCTGAGGCAGTGGCTTGGTGACTCCGACACATCCAATGTGGAACCATTCTTTGCAGTCCGGATCGTTTTCGGCATTGTCGCATCCGATCATCTCGCCGAACGACACTCGCTGACAGAAGCAGTACGGCGTGTCGTCCTTCTCTTCTCCTTCTTCGCCCTCGCCAGGCTCGCCCTCGAATCCTTCCAGTCCCAGTGATCCGAGTTCGGTGCTCTGTGACAAGCCAGACCTTCCTGGTCCACTGGCCGATAACGACCCGCCGCGTGTCTTGCGTGAAGCACCGACGCCTCGAATCGACCCTCCCAATCCTCTCTCGGGCGGTGCAGGAGATCCAGATTCGACCGGTGTCGTGCGTCCTCCTGCTCTCGCTCTTGCTGCCGCACTCATTGGCGTGCCAGGAGTGAGGGTACCAACACCAGGCGATAATATGCTTCCCTTGCGCTTTAGTCCAGCAAGCGGCGAGTCCATCTCCACTGCTGGACTCTTGAGTCCTGCTAAGGCTGCCGGTAGTGCAGACAAGGAAGGTACCTGTGGCGTTCCGATCGAAGCTGTTGAAGAGAAGTTGTTGAGTACGGATGGACTGATCTTGTTCATCTCTTCTTTGAGATGCTTGTGGTGCGCATGGATCGATCGCCAAAGACGTATACTCAAGGCTTCCTTCTGCGAGCTCCATTCATCTGCACGTCCATAGTCGGTCCGGATCTTTTCCGCTAGCTTTTCCGCCTTTACTCGGTCTGCTTCCGACAGATTGCCTGAAGGGTTTGACAGTCCGCCTCCGCTCTTTTGCAAGATTTCCCTCAGTTGCGATTCTCTAGCAGCAATTTTGGAGAGAAGGTCTTGGATCTTGGCATCCTTGTGTTCGATCTCCTTGACCATGTGACTGACCTCTTGCGGCAAGTTGTCTAGATTCGAGATGAACTCGGTCGCAATCGCTGCGATCTCCGCAGGATCCTCGATGTGCATCATCTTGTAGTCTCTTGCAGAACAAGCCGGGCAGGACTATCGACCGCTGTATGTGTGGGAGGCGTACGTGTACGTGTGTGCCGCCTTGTTCCGAGGCAATGAGCTCCTAGACGGAGTTGCGAGGCAGTGTTTCAAGTCTGTACCTTGGTCCCGTCCGCCGCTCTTCGCTGGAAGAAGGATTCCGGGTCCTGTTTGGCTTGCCTTGCGCGAGAGGCACCTCTTGAGCTGATGAGGATGCTGTCCGCGGTGCTGAAGCGCGTTGTGTAGAGTGGCTTGAAGGCCAGTGAGATATGAGGCGAGATGATGATGGCGGTGATCAGGGTCCAAGATGCAAACGCGACTTTTGCTGCGCTCTGAAACTGGCGAGCTGCCGAGCCAACTAAAATCCGAATTCCGAGAAAAAGCTCAAAATTTGGATTTCTTCTTCTTTCATGCTGCAGCTGCAGCTTTAAATTTCCTCCACACTTTTCGAGAAGAAAAGGTGTACTGCATAGAGCATACACACAACAGTTCAAACCATCATACCACCTTCCACTATATCATACCTACACCGCAGCAAACATGGCCGACACACTGGAGGAGAACTACCTCTTGGACGAAAACGATGCAGGTTCGGTGGTTGGTTCCGATGATGGAGCTGTCAGTATCCAAGATGAGCCCGAGCACTCGAATAATGACACCGCTGAAGGATCAGCACCATCACCACCTCAACCAAGCGCACAGGAGATCAAGGATGAGGCAGCTCGCAAAGAGGACAAAAAGCGCAAGCGTAAAGAGAAGGATAAGGCTCGCAAGCAAAAGGTATGTTCCAGTTGAACAGCAATATCAATCACAGTGGCACGTCAGCGCAGCGCAGCCTTACTGACAGGAACGCATATATCACCTTTCGACATGCTCCTACATTACAGCGAGCGGCATTATCTGCCGACTTTGCGCAAGGTGTGGGCTCAGTAGCAACGCAGCCACCTGACATGCAGGCCGACTATATCACCACCAAACAGACCGCCTCATTTGCCAAGCTGAGCGAGCTCGAGTTGGAAGAGCTCCGTCTCCGTGAAAGTATGCTTCTCGACACCACTGCATTTGACCAGCCGCGCATCCTTGATACCCTCGCCACCTTTGTGCGCAAATGCATTCCTTCCGTAGCAAAGAGTATCAACGACGCACAAGATCCTACCCTCAGCCAACCAGGCCGTCCTGCACTCATCATGCTTACCGGTAACGCACAGCGTGCTGCCGATCTTGCACGCAATCTGCGTGCTCTCGGTCCTCAACTCCCGGCGTCGGCAGAAGGTGGCGACGACGATCGATCTGCGTTGGGATCTTCAAAGAGGCGCAAGCTCGGCAATGGCAAAGCTCAAGGCAAGGACGACAAGGGAGCAGCAGCAGCTGGCAAGAAAGGGGCAGCTGCCACGTCGAAGGACAGCAGAGCATTGTTGGGCGGTTTCTCGGTAGCGAAGCTCTTTGCACGCCACTTCAAACTTAAGGAGCATGAGGCGTGGCTGAAGGAACACACGGCACCATTGGCTGCCGGTACACCACAACGTGTGGCAGCATTGATTGCTTCGGGAAGCTTGCGGCTCGACTCGCTTCAAGCTATCCTTATCGACCAGACTTGGGTCGATGCCAAGCAGCGAAGCGTGTTTGACAGCTTCGAGACAAGAGACGAGTTGATGAAGCTGTTGGCGCTTGATGCGGTGATGAGCTCTTTCAAGCGATCCAAGTCGCCTACCAAGCTTGTTCTTTTCTGAACACTTTCCTTCAAAGCATTCACTTGTACAGCATACATCAATACAGCATTCTCCTTGATCGATATATGCGAAGTCTTCCGCCGTGAAGCATTCAGTTCACTGCAATGCCTGTGACCGATACGCTGCCGCATACAAACATCAGGTCAATCTCCTCTTTTATTCATGCATATGCATCAACTTGCTATTCAATCTCTCCAGCCTTCAATGCTTCGCTTCGATGCAGTTGGGAGAAGGCGGAAGAGCTCTGTGCCTGTCAGAGAGGGAGGGTGACGTTACTGGTTTTGCGCGCAGTTCGCGTTGCTTGACGGGACGTGTGATTGTAGGGAATGAAGGTGATCTCTGAAAAGACAGCTGAACTAACAGTGCTTTTGTTTTCTTCTCTTTTTAGCCATGTCGTTTTGGCGACAGCACCGCGATCCTCTTTGCCTTTCTCTCTCTCCCCCCCCCCCTCTGTTCTTGTTTCTCTCCCTGTCGACCCATCTCCAACCTCTCTCAGCACTTCTTCATCGCAGGGCAGCAGCTCAAGGCACAACGGAGCACCGAAAGCCTGGCTTTCATTTAGTCACGACGTAGAGTTTTCAGGCTGCTGCCCCAGATCGCGGTATTGCTGCCAGTGCTTTGCACGCGCATGACGACATGCGATACCTCTTGCCTCCTCAGCTTTGAGCTCATGCCCTTCTTTCGCATCTTCGGATGCAGTCGAACTAAATCTAGCCCGTTGTCAACTCGCTTTCGGCTTCTGCAACGCATATCTGGGTAGCTGAAGTGACGAGTGCCGGCTGAGAAAGAAGTTGAAGAGGAACTCGAAATTGAGCTTGATGCCAGGCGCATACAAGGCATGGTGGACTTGCTCTTCTCATGGCAGATCGTAACGTCTGCCTGGCCATCAAGCTTTACTATGGCGAGATAGTGGCTATATGCGCCCAACTTGCGACATCCTTGTACCCGTACTTGAGCTTGCAGAGACGTCCGACTCGACGAACTGGGCAGCATCTGAAAGCAACATTTTTCACAGGCATTGAGTAGCACACCCAGCCATTCAACGTTGCAAGCCAGCAAGATGCAAGCCTTCTTTCGCTTTCTAAATCAACAGGCCACGACAGAACAAGCAAAAGAGCAGAACAGAATTGATACATAAGCTGCCGAGCCACAAGCCTCGCCCAAATGTGCTGCAGAGCGATTCAACCTCGAACCAACTTCTTCCGCTTTCTCCGCGCATCAAGCCAACAAAGTGGCTGTATGCGGTCAGCGACCAGCTCACAAGGGACTCACACCCGACAGCAGCTGTTGACACGGCCTCACCGCTTGCATTGAGATTGGCCTTGGCAGTGCATGGCCAACGAAGCAAAGCACACGCACAAGCAAGAGATTGAGCGAAAAAGCAAGTAAGCTCAGGTGTACCTGACACACAGTCCAGATGCTGTTGTGGCACACCTCTCCTCGTCAGCTGTCTTTCGTCTGTCTTTCAGCGAAACTTGCACAATGATCGTTCTTCGCCCTGTGTGCGGCTTCTTTGCAAAACGAAAGGAAAAGCAAGTTCCGCCGATCCTTAGTGATACAAATAAGGCTCGAAGCATCTTCTCTCGTCCCTTTTTCTTTCCCTCCTCAGGTATCCTAGCTTCATTGTCTTGACAACTGTCAAGCCAGGTCACGCCTTGATCTGACCATCATACAGACACCTCCATCATCTTGAATCTTCGCAGTCTTCTGGGATTCGTCGCCAGGCTACCCTTTGCACGCCCCTTCTTTGGTCTCTATCACCAGTATTCATCCTGACAGCAGAGCATGGCTGAGTCGAGAGTAGAGGCACTGACTTGTACAGACCCCGACTTCCCTTTGCTTCATCATACTGACCTCATTCCTCCTCAAGAGACAGATCCGGTTGCATTGCAAGCCATCAAGAGCTTTCGCTGCGAGGCTGAACCACTTTCAAGCTCCTCTATCGGCGACATCGACCCCAAAAGCTCTCTTTGTTTCCCACTGTTACCTTTCGAACAAAACATGCCTCTACTCTCTTCTCAACAGAGCTCTCGCGAAGCAGAACCGGGTCTTCCAGCTTCCCTCCTCTCTGCGGACCTCGTACCAGACGGGCTCATCTTGTCCTCTTGCAGCGAAGACGCGGAGGGCGAGCTCGAAGAGTCTTTCTACTCTGAACACTCCTTCTGGATGGCCCAACCAGCAGATACAAGCACCAGCACTGTGGCTACACTCGATGTAGATGACCCGCCAATCCCCTTGCTTGGTCGTGACGGCACGTGGAAGGCGACAGAGCAACAAAATGCAGCGACGCGCGGCGACGACGTTCAGGAGGGAGAACACCGCCGTACCACGTCTCAGCGCGGGCTTTCTCTCAATCAGCTGGGCAAGGTCAGCAAGCCGAACCTACTGTACAATTCTGCCACCACCAGCACTCTTCAGAAAAGGGCCCCTTCTCTACCTAGCAGCGACTCTGAAGACGTCCCTTTGTCTTGGGCAGCCAGTAAGAAGCAAAAGAAGAGCACGGCAAACAAGACGCGTGACGACAGTGGAACTAGCAAGAATGTTACGAAAGCCAAGAAAGCCAGCAAGAAGCAACCAAAAGCATCAAAGCCGAAGAAGAAAGCGACGACCCGTAGGCCTCTCAGCTCCAGCAGCAAGCGGGAAGATCCCATCGTCAGCAGCGAGATCGGCAGTATTTCCGCCTCAATCAATCCGTCCTCACCAGCTTCCTCCACTGGCAGGTACAGACTGCGGAAGAAGGAGAGCGTTCCGGAACTCAACCTCTCTTCGCTGATGACTCCGCCGAGAAACATTGCATCTCTAGCCTCAGATGAAGCCGTGGACGGATGGACTGACTGGGTCGACCAGCCAGAGGAGGATCGAGGCAGGAACTTCACACCATCGCCCACAGCGATGCCTGGTGCGCCCACGACCAAGCTCGAAGATAGCTATGACGCTGACAGTGCTGGCGAAGGTGATGAACTGGATATCCCTTCAGCATCGCCCGACTCCGCGAGGGTCAGGGTCAGGGGTCAGCGCACATTCCCAGCCCACTTCGAGATCCATGCCGACTTTCCATTGCTTTATCAGCGATACTGCGTTCCTTCTTCAGTCAGTCCTGAAGTGCTAGAGATGCTGCTTAGAGGACTCAATCATGCCGAGTAAGTTATCCATCGTCAAGGTGTAGTAGGAGTTGATTTCCAGAAGATGTTCACCTTAGCCGTTCTTTTGCTTGGCACACTGCGTCGCTACAGCGTCGACGATGAGTTTCACGAGGTCGTAGACAGAGCACAAACGGTGCAAGGTACTTTCAACAAGCCTCGTTCGATTCTGGATCTTTACACGCCTCGCTTTGTCAAGGGTGTGGGTGCACAGAAGGTCGGGATGTGTCCCGTTTGGTAAGTTCACGTTCAATCTGACACGCGTGTTTACGCTTGGATACTCAGGGCTGTTAAGTACATATGCTGATTTGCCATTGCCAACTGCAGCTACGAGGATGGTAAAGTCAAGTTCTTCAAGACCAAGCTTTCGGGTAAGTTGCGCTCTTTCTGTCTCTCATGTCACTTTCGAAGCTCATGCCGACTTTCTTGATTTTGTCTTCCTACTGTGCGCAACAGCCTACAACTATCACCTACAGAACTTCCACGGCATCTCCGCCCTCACCGGTCTACCCTTCACTCCACCCTCCAAATTCCGAACCGAGTCGCGACCAAACGCAAAACCAAAGGAGCGCAGGCAGATCATCCAAGGTCTTTGTCACTCGTGCAACAAGTACATCGATATTCAGGGACCTAAAGAGACAGAGGTCAAAGTGGCAGAGATTTACTGGTGGAAACATGCTCAGGCGTGTCATCGGAGCGGAAACAAGGTGCCAGATGGTGTGGGAGGGTATTTTGTCGAAAACAAGTGGTATGAGCGGGTTTGTGTGGTTTTGGGGCTACTGGGAGGGTTCGAAGGTGAATTGAGGAGACTGCTGAGTGGAAGTAAGTAACTTTGGTTTCAAGGGATGGTCATGTGAGAGAGGTTCGGCCCAGTTCGTGTTCAAACAGAACTCTTGGTTTTGCAATTCCAGAAGTGTCTTCTCTCACAGCAAGAGTGATTGAACGAAGTGCCGTGTCATTGAAAGCCATGAATACAAAAATCACCTGCCTCTACGCCAAGGCGCATCCCTAACAGCGCTATACAACCCTCTCGGACCTAATTCCTCGTACCTCCTTACCCACCCTTCAACTCTCCCCCTAAACGCAGCAAACGCAACCAACCCCACTACAACCAACAAATACAATGTAATAATATTCTGATCTTTCCGGCTATCCCTCTCGAAACATTTCGCCCAAACATCACCTTCTAACCCCGTCCCCGTGTCGTGATCCGTATGCTCCAATTTGGCCCCTTTGCAGATCTCTAGGCCCTGATCGAGACAGAACTGCCGCGTGCATGTGGCGCAAGGTTTAGCTGGATTGGAGGGGGAATAGAGTGGAACGAGAGTGGAGTTGATTTGGAAACACGTACATTTGCAGAGGTGGAGGTTGCGGGAGTTAGCGCGTGGGGTGAGAGGGTTGGGGTTGAGGGGGTTAGTGAGGGAACGGGGGTTGAGGGAGGTCGTGAGGGGGGATGGGGAGGCGAAGGTGGGAGTGACCAGTGAGAGGATGAAAGTGAATAGGGTTAAGAATAGGGTTGTTGTTGCGAAGATGCTGCGGTTGGCTGCTGGAGGGGGAGATCGGGAGCGAGAGCGGGAGGAGCGACGAGAGCTGGTGGAAGGGGTAGAAACAACAGTGATCGACTCTTCAGCCTCCTCCTCCTCATCCAGCTCTTCCGCCTCTGCAACTTCATTGACATGTCCTTCTCCCTGTGGGACAGCCGCAGCAGCAGAAGTGGCAGTGGCGGGGGCGGGGGCGGATCGCTGACGAGCAAGCATCTCAGCAAACGCCTGGCTCAATACTGTGCTCATTTCACCTTCCACCTCTTCACTTGTTGTGTTGGCGCCCTGAGCTCGCGGTTGTTCCGATGCCGATCGCTGCGAACGAACACGCGAAATCTCATTAAACAGTCCCTCGATGAGCGATTGCCTCTGTTGCGGAACTGCATCATTTGTTCCGTTGCTAGCGGTGGTGACTGTATCAGCGCCTGGAGTGGCAGTGGTTGCAGCGGGAGGTGCAGGTCGCTGCGCTGGTGTGGCTGTGAATGTCTGCTGTGACAAAGCCGTGGATCTAGTAGGATTGGCCAGCTGAGCGGGCAAGGAGGACAGCAGGCCGGAGAGCAGGGGCATGGCGTCTCGAAGCTGAGGCTGAATAGCTTGTAAGACTGAGCCGACCACGTCGCTGGCATTGGGAAGTGTAGGCTGAATCGGAAGAGGATGCCAGGTTTCTTCGCTGACGACTGGTTGCGCTTGGGGCGCGGGCGCTTCACGTTGTGGCTGGTGTATCTGTGTTCGTGGCTGATCGGGCCGCTGCGTCGTCGAAGCAGCAGGATTCGAAGCACGCTGGGCCTCCAAGTAGGTTCGGAGGTCATCAGTAAGGCTTCTCATGCGCGCGATTAGATCGTCAACCATGGGTGGGGCAACTTGATCGTTCGTCTGAGTGGACCTGCTTTCAGCTCCAGCTTCGGCATAAGCCGGGGGTGATTCCACCATGATATTGATGTGGACAGGCTTGATACGGAACTCCTTCTTCGCACGAGAATCTTCCTGCTGCCTGCTGATCGAGCTAGCGTACGAGCTTGAGGAAGAAGGCGGGTGTGTCGGATGGAAAAAGTACGTTGCAACCCAATCCTCCCAATCGTCATTGTCTTCGATCAAGACTCGTTTGCCGTCGAGGTTGACGGTGAGCGCGCGAATACGTTCTTCTGAAATGCTCCATCGAGCGGCGATCTGCTGGCGGAAGGATGCGAGACGAGAAGATTCGACATAGTGCGGAGGTAGACGAGCCGAGAGGGTGATGTTTTTAACAGAGTCGTTGTCGTTGGGAAGGAGAAGGCGTCTGTTGTCGGGACGTGCAGAGGCGGGGAGGCGGACAAAGGCGGGGAACCTGACGATGCCTCCTTCTGAGCTTGCCCAGATGTCTGGATTGTCTGAATCGTTTCTCAGCGGCATGGCTAAGGCTATTCACGCGACCAGACGTAGTTGCTTGATAGTGATAGCGATGGTAGGATGAGACCCTGAGCGGGAGAACGTGGCTCAGCTCTTGATCTGTTGGTGTCAGAGTTGACGAGCAGGAAAGGAATCGATCGGGCTTCTCAGCCGATCTGATCTCTCTGCTCTAACACTGCTATCTCAGCTGGTCTGTGCGTGATAGGAATATTCGAAGCAGTAGTTGCGCAGCACGCGTCTAATTTGGCACAACACGGCATGCTAGAGTTGCCCTGTGCAGTGCAGCGCATCGCAGCCAACCAACCAACCAACCAATGCCAAACGCGGCAAGAAAGAGCGCTTCGTGAGACAAAGCCAGAAGTGTGGATTGGATTGCGAACAGAGCGACAGAGCAACAGAGCAACACCGCAGCGTCGTGAATGCAATCCAGACTTGGACTTGTGAATGCGTTTTCGGTATCCCTCTTGCTCACCACCATCACATCACCTCGATTTCGTACTTGCACCTTCGAAGCATCATTCAAAATGGACCAGTGGAAGAAATTCACCAGCAACGTTGCCAGCAATGTTGCACCTCAATTCCAGAACATCGGCAAGACGTTCGGCAACCTCAACCAGCAGGCTCGTGAGCGTTTCGGTGCCGTTGACCAGGAAGACATCACCGAGTTGCCTCAGGAGTACAAGGATCTCGAAAGACGTGTTGATGCACTCAAGAATGCTCACACCGGCTTGATCAAGGTTGCCAAAGTCTACGAGACTGAGAGCTACGACTATCCTGTAAGCACAATCACCGATTGCACTAAGGTCTATCTCCATTGCTCTACTGACGCACTTTTGTTCTCATCCTCTGTGTGCGTTATGGCAGACTCAATTGCAGGAGAGCATCACCCAGCTCTCCGCTTCCGTTGGACACAGCGTCACTTCCTGGGCCGCCTCTGCTACTCGCGGTACCAACCTCCCCAAAGTCTCCCCTACTGCTCCTCCTCAGAAAGTCAACAAGACTCTCCACCACGCTCTTTCCCGCGCTGCCGCCTCAGGTGCCCTCCAACTCGGCGCTGACCCATCCAACCTCTCTGGACTTCCTAACCTCGACACCGCCCAAGCTCCCGGCTCTGAACCCGCCCCCGTCAAGGACGAGAGCAAACTCGGTGAAGCTCTCCAGAAGTTCGCCATCGCCGAAGACCGTCTCGGCAACGCTCGCTTGACGCAGGATGACCAGATCACGCAAGGCTTCAACGTACCATTCAACTCGTTTGGTGCACAGATTCAGCTCGCTATGAAGGCTCGTCAGAGCGTCACCGATGCTCGTTTGCACTTGGACAGCTGGAAACAGTCGTTAAAGTCAGCAGAGAACAGCGGAGCTTCGGCAAAGTTGGAACAGTACAGAGCTGAAGTTGAACAGGCAGAGGATAAGTTGGTCGCTGCGACAGAGGAGGCGATCAGCTTGATGAAGCAGGTTTTGGAGAACCCGGAGCCGATTAAGAGCTTGAGTGCATTCATTAAGGCCCAGGCTGAATATCATGCTGCTGCGGCAGAGTTGTTGTCGACTGTTCAGCAGGAGTTGGCACAGCTGGCTACGAGCGTTGAGAGCGATTACCGTCTCTCGCGTGGTTAAGTTTAGCAGGACTTGCACTTCAGGCTCTTCGACGCTTTGTATATGATTTCAACAACCCAATCTATGACATTCGAAAGATACATCCCACAACAGAGCAGTTCAAGCAGGAATTTGCTGACCAGCCTCGGCCCAAGCTTCCTCCACGACCTTTCTGAGCCTTTTGAATGCCTCGTCGACTTGCTCCATCGGAACTTGGCTGAAACTTGTTCTGACATACGCACTTGTCTTACGCTCGCCTTTATTGGGTGGTTTGAATGCTACACCGGGCAGAGCGAGGACTCCGGCAGCTTTAGCTTTGTTACTGATCAAATCGAATGAGTCTCCTTCATCTCCCTCTGAGCCGTTGGTGGGTGGGAGACGAAGCTTGATCCAGAGGAACATGCCTGCTGTGGGAGTGATCCATGTTGCAATCGAGGGTAAGGATTGAAGGATGGTTTTGGCTGATGATTCGAATTTCTCCAGCCGATCCTATAGTCACATACAAAGGAAAGAAGCGCGCGTGTAAGTAAGAAGTTGCAGTTGCTGAGGTTGATGAGGTGGGAGTGCTTACCTGGTAGAACTTCGCCACGTTATCCGCATGCTTCAAGAATCCATCGATACCCCACTTGCTCAGCAACGCATAAGCAATAGCCTGACTGGTGCCGCTGGTCTGAAGGTTTCTACTGCTCGTGTCCAAGTCAATCGCATCCAGGATCTCTTTCGGACCGGTGACGAACCCTAACCTCAAACCGGCAGAGAGGATCTTACTGAAGCTGTCAAACCTCAATACTCTACCCACACCTCCCACATAGTTGTCCTCTGCTTCGAGCTGGAAGTAGCTCTTTCCCCTCACCCTTGTAACTGGATCAGCAACGGCGCTTAGACCTTTGAAAGAGAGGAAGTAGTAGGGATCGTCTTCCAGCAGCAGGAGGTTGTGTTTGCCGGCGACGGCAAGGACGGCTCTTTTGCGGTCGTCTGAAGCTGTAGTACCGGAAGGGTTGGCTCCTGTGGGTGTTGTGTAGAGGAATTTGGGGAAGGGTGAGTCTTTGGTGGAAGAGGAAGTTGACCAGTTGGAGAGGAGTGCGTCGAGGGCGGTGGGTTCTACGCCTTCAGAATCGGTTGCAGCTTCAAAGAAGCGGGCTTTGTGAGAGACTAGGCTTGGAAGAATACCACTGGTGATCTCACAGAGGCAAGGTCTCTTTGTCAGTCACAGCTCTTCAACATATCCACGAAAGAGATGGGGGGGGGGGAGAGAACTTACGAATAAGCTGGAGATTCCAATAACACAGAATCGCCCTCATTCACCAATGCTTCAAACGCCTTTGTCAGCAAGTCCTGACTTCCATTTCCAAACGAGCATCTCCACACCTCTCCTGCCCGCTTCCCCTCCTTCACTCTAGGTCGTTTGTGTACCTTGCTCTGGAAGTTCTCGATCCAATCCACCAATTTGGGCAACCCACTTGTGGCGGAGTACTGCAGAGCTATGTCCAGGTCAGAACCTTCGATAGTGACTGTTTCAACTTTGCCTGCCTCGGCAACTTCGGGTTTGAGCTCGAGCGTGATCTTCTGAAACGGGAAAGTATCCGAGTTGGGCTTGCCAGAGAGAAGAGAGACCATGCCAGGAATGAGTTCGGCAGGGAAAAGCGAGCGAATGGCTGAGGGCATGCGGTTGCGCGCCGAGTCGGAGAGCAGAGATTGGTAGTCCAGTGGCTCGGACATCTTGGCGGTTGTATAGAGGAGCAGGCCGGATGAGTTCAAGATGGTGTCGGGGAGGGACAAGAGTTGAGTTAGATAAGATAGCAGATGTGAGGCAAGAAAGGAAGATGTGGGGTTGTCAAATCGGAAGGCTGTATGAGTATGCACCGACCAGCTGGAAATCCATTGCCGGACTAGATACCGGCGGTTCTCTCGCGTGAAGCACGCCACTGTGCCACCATATTGACTCTACACAAACTCGTCGACCTCTCATTGCACCACTCCATGTCGACTCATGACACAACAAGCTGCTAGGGTGAACATGATGTCCACTCAGAGAACCAAAGTTTGACACCGGAGTAGTCCCGACTGGTTTTTTGGCAAGACGCCGAAGTGGCTTGTAGTAATCTCACATCAAACGACGTTGCTCTACTACGCCTTTGAGAGCAGCTGATTGCCTTACAGTCGGCCAGCTTGAGACACAAGCATACAGAAACGAGGGTAGTATGGAAAGCATCGGATTGCCATAGAGCACAGATGAGCATAAAGCTCTACAGCTCCCATCGACCAAACATGCGATCAAACAAACTCATAATCGTCCATTTCCTGTTCTCCGCCTCAGGGAAAACAATCGAACGATCGGAATAGAACACCTCGTCATCCACCTCATCACTCTTCCTAGGCAAGCAGTGCATGAACTTCCAATCTGACTTTGCGCCGCCCTTGTTCGCCATCTCATTGGTCACTTGGAATCCTTTGAAATCTCGCAGACGCTGTTCTTTTTGCGCCTCATCACCCATGCTGATCCAAGTGTCGGTGACGATGATATCTGCATCTTTGACTGCTTCAAGAGGGTCATTGGTCCAGTTGACTTGACCAAGAGCGACGGGGGAAGAACCGGACTTGGTGAGGGCGGAAAGTCCGTCTTGCATTGTGCCCCATACGAGCTCATCGCGCTGGTAAGCGGAACCAGAAGGAGTAGCGACAGAGAGGTTGATACCGAGACGAGGGTAGGAAACAAGCATGTCGTTGAGGATGTTGTTGCTGTCTCCCACCCAAGCTACTTTTAAGCCTGCGAGGGAAGTGAGGTCGGTAGGGGAGGAGGTGGAGGCGTAGACTTCGAGCATTGTTTGCAGGTCGGCTAGGATTTGAGTGGGGTGGTAGCGGGCGGAGAGGGCGTTGATCACTGGTACTGTTGAGTGCTTGGATAGGAGCTGACAAAGTCAACAGGCAAAACATTAAGTCAATCGCCATGAGCTCAGCATGTTATCGAGAGAAAGTCTTTGACTGTACTTACCTCGACTTCATCATGACCGCCGACGCGAGCCATGATACCATCAACCATAGAGCTGACCACCTTGGCAGTGTCATACAAGCTTTCGTTCACACCAAGCTGAATGTCGGAAGGAGCCAAGAAAAGACCAGTTCCTCCAAGCGAAGCAACGCTTGTTTCGGAAGCGACACGGGTACGAGTGCTACGTTTGCTGAACATGATAGCGATCGACTTGTTCTTCAAGCTTTGAACGATGGGGGATTCGCCCAGGCTAAGCTGTTTGCGAGAAGACTCGGGGAGTGCCAATGAGGTGCTCCTGAATGCTGACTTGAACTCGATCGCTGATTCAAGCACCGATGCGATCTGAGCGGATGAAAGATCGGCGAGCGACAAGAGGTGTGGTGGTGTGCGGGTGGCCGCCGATGAAGAGGATGTCGAAGCGAGTCGAGGCAGCGACGAGGAAGTAGTGCCCGTAGGCTTGAGAAGCGCTGCGGTTCGCAGCAATGTGGTTGCGGCTTGTCGTCCTGCCATGGTTGCGATGAGTACGATGTACAGAGCTGGTGATGTGTTGATGGTGAGAAGAAAGTGTGGGAGGTTTGCTGCCTTTAAAAAGTGGCCCCAACGTTGCAAATCTAAACCTTCTGCCGGTCTAATCTTGGCGAGCGATTTTCGAGTCATACCAGCCTATCACTTTCTGATCAACTTGTCGCCCACAATTCGCGCATGGCCATTCAGCGAGAGTCAAATGCAATGCAAGACAGTCAAAGATCATCTCAGCGTCACCACCTTACCCACCAACCGAGTCATCGGAAACACCTTTCCAGCGGAAACCTTCGATCAAGCGGCGGTGGCCTAGAAACCCTCCTTGGACAATGTTAAAGGTAAAGCGCAACGAACAAACCACACTAGAACTGCAGAACAGGCGGAGATATGAGTGGAGAATGAGTTTCTTCAAAAGCAACAATGTACCTGTACATGCAAGGTATGACCTGCGTATGTCCACAAGGACCAAGTCTGAGAGAAAAGGGTAACCAGCGCAATATCCTCGAGAAATGCCCGCGAAAGGCTGCCAAAGCGAGGGCGCACAACCCTAGTAGCGAATGCAATATTAACGGCGAATATAGAGAAAGTTGCAAATGCGAACGGTGCAAAGACGGAAAAGACCATAGACGGGAAAGCAACGACAAAGGTGAGAGGTCTACAAGATCTTCTAGAGCAGAAGACTTGACCTGATGCGGGCCCAAGGAGGGGACAGGGGCAACCGCGTTGGCGTGACGAAGCTAAGAGTAGCAATCGATGGTAGATGACGGTTTGAACCGATCACGACGAGGATTGGTGGGGAGAGTGAGGGGAAAGCGAGTCCAGCAATGAACGCTGAACAGAAACATTAACACAGTGCAAGAGGGAAGAGAAAGGGTATCAATACAGAGAGAAAGAACAAAGACAAGAACGACAACCACAACAGGACTGCTGCTGAGTAAGTGAGAAGCATCGCATCGCATCGCGAACGAGCAGCCCACACACAGCTGGAGGTATATTTACAAGCCGGTGGGCGACGATGCGGATGCAGCCTGCTGCAATGCCTGGGTGAGCTGCGAAGGAGGTGTAGAGAGAGTAGGAGTCTGACGCTCGCTCTCCTCCTTGCGTGCAGCGGCGGCGGCCGAAGCAGCAGCAGCGGCAGCTGCGGTGGCGGCAGCGTTCTTGGCGGCTTGCGCCTGGATCTGCTCCTGAGCCAACTGAGCAGCCTGAGCGGCAGCAGTGATCTCCTCTTGGCTAAGGGTGCTGGTGCTGACGGGAGCACGGCCGGTGGCATCTACCTTGGCACTGGCACCACCACCCGACTGGAGAAGCTGCAAGCCGAGCAAGCCATGCGACCCAGAGTGGAGGTAGTGGTATCGCAAGCCGTTGAGGTTCTTGTAGCGCTTGCCACAGGCACCAACCTGGCAGATGTATAGACGGTCACCGAGAGAGATAGGTGCGTGGGTAGCAGGGCTGGCCGGGTCAGGCGACGAGGCAGAGCTGGCCGTTGGCGATGAAGGCGAGCCCAGCGAAGGAGTAGCACCGCCATCCTCAATCTTGATGCCGTCAGCCGACTCGGGCTGTGGCGAGGTCTTGGCCGAGTTGGTGGTGACGTGGATGGTAGGTGGCTGAGCAGCGGCCTGTGCGGTGATGGGCAGGTTGTTCTGGTTGCAGTGACCGTGAAGACGGTGGTACTTGAGACCGTTCATCTGCTTGTAAGCCTTGTCGCAGCCAGGAGCGGGACACTTGTAGGGCTTGTCAATGTTGGCGGCACCGGCACGGAGAGCGTTCTCGAGAGCAATGGTCGAAGCGTTGGTCACCGCACTGGTCTTTTCACGCTTGGCAGGCGGCTGCATCGAGGAAGAAGCAGTGCCGGAAGCAGGGAAGAAGAGGTTGGGTGGCGCACATGAGGGGAGATGGTGCTCGTCGGCGTTGCTCGATCGAATGGACAAGGCCGAGAAGGCGGCAGGGTTGAGACCGTTGGCAAAGTAGCCATCGTCGTCCGCGTCGAGGGATGGTGTGCTGGGAATGGAGCTGCCTGGTGTCGAGAAGGGCGAGTTGGGAGCATAGATGTTCGGGGAGCCAGGAGTGCGTCTACCAACACCACCGTCGATGAGCGCTCTTCTCAAGGACTGGTGAATAGCACCGTTAGGGCTTGCCGAAGAGGCATTGGCGTACTGGCCGAAAGAACGCTTCTTACCCTTGGAGAGTGATGGCGAGCGCATCACAGCTGTGTCGAAAGCCGAAGCCTTGTCGGTGTCGTCATGGCCAGTAGGCGTTGTGACGGTCAAGTCCGAGGTGGCACCAGAAGTGGTAGCGGCGGTGGCCGAAGCGGCAGTCGAGGCAGTGGAGGCGGCGTTCGAGGTTCGTGGGCTTGAAGGCTGCGATGTGGAAGCGGTGGACGAGTCGGAAGACTCGAGCTCGTCGTCGGCAATCATGGCGGGCATCTCGTCATCCTCGAAGCGAACGTGGCACTCCTCGTAGTGCTGGAGAAGATCGTGGAGGTCGTCAAGCTTCTGACCACAGCATGTAAAGTTGCGGCAGAAGGTGGATTCGAGGCGCACGGAAGACGGGGCGACGGTGACGTCGGACTCGGTAGAAGTGCCGAATCTTGAGATCGAGTAGTCCATGATTCTAGAAGGGGAGAGGGGTAAACAGCGACGACAGCGAGCAAGTGTAGAGGGTAAGCTATTGCCCGAAATGTGGTCGAGACGATGAAGATATCAACTTACTCTGAGACATCTTTGCCAAAGGAGACGGCCATTGGCTCCTTGTAGCTCGCGCTACCAACAAAGCTGGAGGATGCGCGGGGTGTGAGGCCACCAGGGCGCTGAAAGCTGAAAGAATCAAGGCGGCTTGGAGCCTGTGCAATTGGAATTGGCGACTGCATCATGGGCTAGGTATGAATCACGACCAGTTGATCGTGATGGAAAGCGGAGAAGGAGTTGATGGTGGGGAGGTGGACGCTGTCGAAAGAAGAAGCTCTAAGCTCTACAGATAGCTGAACAGTGTCGAGTGTCGGAATACCGTTTAGCTTGGCTGACGGCGACAAGGAACAATGCTGAGCAGAGAGAGTTGCTGCTGCTGTTGTTATTGTTATTGTTGTTGTTGTTGTTGTTGTTGTTGTTGTTCGGGTATTGGATTGTTGATAGGATCCAAGCGTTGGTTGCGGGGGTGATGAGACGCAAGGAAGCTGTAGGGTTATGTACGTGTTGGTGTGATGTGATTATAGATGGTGGCAAGCCAACGAGGGAGGGGGGGATGAGATTTTTGATAGGATGCAAGAAGGCAAAGGTTAATATGAGGAGAAGAGGTCGATGTGCTTCCTGTAGGGGAGCTTTTTGGGTATCAGGATAGAGTAGCTGAGGGGTCAGACGCCTGAGTGGTGGCAATGTATGCGGTATGCCTTTTGGGTTGTGTTGGGTGTGTGGGTGCGTGTTGGAGGCTATAGGAGAATAGATATAGAATGGGAAGATGATGATAGGAAAGGGTCGTAGGGATGGAAAGGTTAGTTGAGAAAGAGGGCGAGCGAGAGTGGGTCGAGAAGCAGAAGGAGGCGAAGGAGTGAGACGAGGTAGCCACTGGAGAGCCAAGTGTGACAGCGTTGACGCTGCTGCTGCAATACGCAAGGTAGTTGCTGCGCCGTTTGGGTGGGTTGCGCCTGATGGAGAGCTTCTGGGTAGAATTGGGGCCCTTCAGGAAGAATTGAGATTGAGGCGAAATGCCAGAGGGCAGGTCTGCGCACACGGCACACGAGGGATCAAAGGCACTTATGGAGAGTAAAAGTGGGCGTTAAAGCAGAGGACTGAGTCCAAATCATGGGAGGGGAACGCGTGGAATTGAGTCAGTTTCAGAAGGCGAGGACAGGCAGGAATAAAGGCCAAAGTGACTGATAAACTGCCTTAGACTGTATGGAAGGAGCAACGGCAATCTGGGTGTGGACCGAGAGTGTCAACGGACTTTTCCAAGATGCGAGGCAATGACAGGCCACCTTTTCTTTCGGCAGACTTGGAAGAACTGAAACCTGGCTGTAGAGGTTGCAAGGAACATGAGCAGTCAAACGCATGATGGTTTGGATAGGGTTTGAACGCAGCGCACAAGCAAAGCCGAAAAAGCAGCCGTAGGGAGAATCCCAAAATTGTAAGTCGAAAAGGCGAAGGTGACCAAGAGGAGACTGACCGGATGGGAGCCGCGTCACAACCTCGCCCACTCCCTCACAGCGTAGGCAGGGCAGAATTTCCATCTCTGACGGTGCAGCTCGGATGCCTTTCTTGTTCGATTGAATGGAATGCCATCACAATGGATCTCTAGTTGAGTGGGCTCTATGCCTGTGTGTGAGTGTGCAATGGAAACTGCCGTTGAGACAGAGACACATCAACAAACCAAGCTTCTCTGGTGCATGAACTGGCACAGTTGCAGTTGGACCCTCTTCGAAGGTGGAGCGGCACTCTGCCCCTAATGTTCCCACCCTCTCTTAGACTCGCCTGTTCTTGCGCGCTCCAGCTGTTTTGCCTTTCACATCCTCCCAGCTCATTCATCCATTCATTCGTTTACGATTTTAATTGCGAGGAGCGTCGCGCAGATCCCTGAGCGCCACCAACGCAAATGCTCCTACCCGACCCTCTAAATGATTGCGTCCTTTGTTCACGACTGCGCCCGCTTTGCTCGTCGACCAAAAAAAAAAGGCTTTGTATGTGAGTTTGAATAAAGCCGAATCGCCCTTTGATCGGTTTGCATAGCCCACCAATCGCTCTCATGAAGACAGCTCGCAATCACCACGCTGAAGCGACAAAGGCAAAGGAAGGTCGATGGATATGAATGCTTTGAAATGCTGTAAGTTGAGCTAAGGTGAGAAAAAGGGAAAGCCGTCAGTGGAGCAACGAGTTCCAGCTCAAGTGGCTGCTTCGGATGGGCCAAAAAAGGCGCCTTTGTAAATGTGTCGCCTGCGTTGGCTGTCAGTGCTGCTCATTGCTGGCTGCGAAGCAAAAAGAGGAGTGTCAGAAAGGGAGGGGACGATCATGCCAAAGCCTTTGGAGTTCTGGTTTTCGGGAAAAATTGGGGCCAACGACTAGCAACAGGCACCTGAGCAGTGTTGGCTTCAAGGTGCTGACATTCAATCCACGTAACTCGACCCTACAAAAATGGTCAGGTCGACTCAGAACACTGCTGAAATGCCTTTCTGATGTCCGTCTTCGGAAAAGCACTGCCTGATTGTTTTATTTTATTTTTTCTTCTTTTTTGTTTTCCCAGAAGAAGAAAAACTGCCTGTTTGTTGTTGTTATTTTTTTTATACCTTTTTTTTATGTCTTAATTTTTCCATTTGGCCCGAGAGTGCTGCTTTTGCGGGCTTCTGCTTTCGGCTCAACTCGCATTTCTTCTGCAGCCAGCCAATTTCAGACACAAATGTCCGCTTTCCTCGACTTTGGAACGGTGACAATTACAGCACTGGACCGTCGACGAATGAGAACACTTTCTACAGGGCATTCTCGGGGAAGAAGGGCCCTCACTGCAGGGTCGTTGCCGGTATGCGTCCAAAACAGCAAGCATAGCGTGGCGACCATTCAGATTCGACGGCTTTGCAATCGGGGCAAAAGCCGGTTCAACACTGACAAACACACACACACACACACACACACACACACACACACTCTCTCTCTCTCTCTCTCTATCTCTATTGTCCTCAGCATTCCCGTAAAACAGTCTTGAGTTAGATCGTCAAAGACGTGGCTCACCATTGGCAGTTCAAGGCCAGCGTCCTTTTGATGTTCCATCGTGCAGGAAGTAAGAATGCTCGCTCCCGTCGTTCTTCAGTTCAGGCCATGGTCACTAGCAAAGCCAAACAATCGGAAACAACAGAGCGGCAAGTCCTCGTTTCAGACTGCTCTTCAGCTAGAACTCCGAGAGCGAGATAGGAAGAGAGAGAGACACACACAAATGCACTTCTCACGCGCCCTTTTGCGTCCCTCCCTTTCTATCGCTCTCTGTCTCGCCTGCCGATAAACTTGGCACCCGCAGGCGGCGGAAGTAGAACTCCAAAGTTGGATTTCTTCTGGGCTTATGCTCTGGCTCTGCGCTCTTGATGAGGAGTTCAGCTGCGTGACGCCTTCTCTGCAATGCGATGCAATCGATCTGCAGGGTTTCGGAGCCAAAAAAACTTTGGAGAGTGACTGCATCCAAGGCAAGCAACCAAGCGAGAATTTGGTCGGGACGAAATTGTTGCCTCTTTCTTTCCTCTCTCTAGAATGAATGAGTGAATGAGCTCATACTGACCGCATCTCTCGTTGCGATCCGGAGTCTGCTATCTTTTTGTTTGTACCTCATCCTTTCGAGCTGACAGCGCTCTTAACCTGCTTCCGCATAGGTCATAGGAGCAAGCAAGCGAGAGGAACGGTGGGTCATGCTTAGTGCCGTTCTCGACGGAAACAGCGACAAGATTGACTCTGCCGAAGTCATCATTGTGACGTGCAAATTCGACGACTTGATGAGCTTGGTGTCATCCTCCTGCTGGCAATGCCAGCTAGCTTTCAAGCCACGACAGCAAGGACAGTGTGAACCAATTGCCGATGTTAGTATACAGTGCATTGTCTACGTGCACAAGCCGGCAGTGACAATGAGCCTTGGCTAGAGCTGCCAAGTATCAAGAATCCCGCAAGGGACCCAGTTCTTCTACTTTGCTGCTATCTTCTCGTCACCATTACACTTCTCATTGCGATAACGATTGTATCCGACGGGACCGAGATTGTTTTGCTCGCTATTGCATCTCTTAAGATAGTGGCGGAGCTGCGATTGACAATCAAGTTGACCCGACCCGATCTGTGGAGAGGCCAAGGCAGGCAACATGAACCATCCACTCATCTGCTAGATTAGCCTACACATCGAGGTCAGCCTGTCAGCGGTGTCCGACGGATTGCTCAACCGTCCAAGGAATGTCTGGCATGCCATCAGTGGCATTGATCTAGCTTCTCGGATGCGGTCACATCCAGCAGTACATTTGATGCTCGCTGCAATGCTACACAGCCCTAGGTTCAGTGGTCGCCCTTGCCGCACATGAAGCCGGGATCGTTTCTGATCTGATCAATATAATGCTCCAGCTCCAGCGCGATCTCCTATGGCACCTACCGATCGTATGGGAATTGATAGGAGACGATGATGCAGTCAACAGCTGACCTGGCCACTAAATTGCCCGAGATTAGGGCCTCGCGTGTCATATCCCACTACCACCGCCAATTTGGAGCGAGAGCGAAGAGCGAGACCGTATTGTCTCTAAGCGAGGCGACGGCGGCGAATTTTCTCAAGACACAGCCCGAGCTTACCTGCATCCCAAGCATGAGCAGGACTTGACTCGTCGACCCGCCAGGCAGCGAAAGTGCATATGGTCTAGTTTCGGCCATGTTACGTTGCAACTTGCTTTACATCAACCAAGCTCGTAACTCCAGCCGAGGTGTGACACAGCGAATCACCGCCTGCTGACACCGTTGGGCCGCATTCAGACGAGCTGCTCTCTTCGTCTCGCCGTCGTCAATCATGCAGCCCCCATTAGCCTTTTGCAACCTTGAAATCTTGCTTCTCGCTCAAATACCAACGTGGATTGCTCGCTCGCTAGCTCGCTTCTCCGTTGATGCTTACCGGGGTACTGTACAGTATTGTTACATGCGCAGGCTATATGCACGTTGTAACGGAGTAACCAAGTGGATTGCGCCAAGGAGGATCTAGAGGGAGTCTATACAAAGCAACCCTAGAAATCGAACTTTCTCGTGCGGCATCTATTCGCACGAGAAAGTGTGTATGCGTGACAAGTATGGCCTGAGAGAGTCGCTTAATCCAATCCACAAGGTTCAACTCGTTGGTTTTCATCCTAGCGCATAGCACTCCCACACAGAGGTAAGGCCGTTTGTTGATCTCCCTGTCTTTTCTGCAAAAGTATGGCCATATGCTGCACTTCGGGTGTGGCATGCTTGCTTTAATCGATCTATCGTTCCTCCGTTCGTGCATTACGTCCCAGATAGGCATGAAATTGGAATTGTCACTCCCAGCTGCTCAGTCACCCGCAACCGCAAGCAGGCCTCTTGTGATCATGACAAACTTTCCGATGTCCATCATCTGATCCAACAGATCCAGAAGTGCTATCGTCTCGGCAAATAGAGCTCTAGGCGAAATCGATCTCATGGGAAGCAGATGCGCTGACAACGATAGTGAGTAGCAGGTCCCTTGTCGGGGAACACATTTGAGACCTAGCGTGAGAAATGCGCCTCCTGTCTTCGGATCGTTCTGACGGCCAAGTTTCATGCGCAGTCGATAGCACAGGTCAAAGCATGGTACATACGCCAGTTGAAGTGGCTCCATCTGTCTCCAAACCTTTGCTACTTGGAAGCGGCGTTGGAATCAATGGCCAAGAAGATCGAGCCCAGTCGGGCAACTTCATAGACTTGCTGAAGGAAACGATCCAATATGATGATGCGAGTTGACGTAAGCGGATACAAAAGAGATCGGGCAGAGCCGATCTGATCAGAGATCGGGTACAACTTAGTCCCGCTCGTTGAGAGACATTGTCATTAAGTGGAATGCTCCCACCTTTGGCATATGCCGAAACTTTGTATATATATCAAGCGGGGCGCCACTTTCTTTTCTTAGTCAATCGAGTATATATGTTTCTGCCCTAAAACAGTAGTGACATGGTACTCAGACTCTCCCCGATCGTCAGTTATCGGGTCAAAATTTCTTCACATTCTAACCAGACTAAGCTTGTAGCGTGGCAGCAAATCGGTTGTCGAGCCGCAACAGCCTTCATCAGGAGACTTGTAAAGGAAACCGGCTGCTCATACCTCCCCGGACGGACCTAGGTTCTTTCCTCTGCCCTTAGCCTCCTATAACATGTATTTAGTCCCGCTCTTGGTCAGGAATGTACACACACTACACTATCAGACTATACTTGGGTTCGAACTTTGTTCTTATCGTATTTGACCAGACTCGGGCAACACAAGAATGGATGTCAAGAGCCGAGTCTTGGTGTGGCAAGTGCGAGTATATCCGGCTTGATCAAGCTGAACCGGTAGAACTGCATCGAGCGGATGGAATGATAGTGCGAGGCCCTGCGTGCACCCAACGGTCTAGAGCTCTATCTGTTGGCTTCCCCCTTAACGCCGTCCGCTGTCCGCTGCACACACTTACACGAATTCACCGAAGTCGTCAACGGTGAACCCTGGTGGCAGCTTGTCAAACGTGAGTCTGTAACGAGGGCAAACGCGAGCTGCATGTTTAGCTCAAACCGCTAACTTACGCAGGGCAAGTGAGATTGGACCATGAGAGCTTGCAACGGTGCACGCACGCTCGCCACCGGCCAAGTTCGGACACCGCTGCAGACAAAGACAGTCTTGGCTTTCCCAACAGAAGCACATTTGTGTAACGCTTTTCTACACTAATCAGAAAGTCGGCATGTTGACAGTGAAGACGAGAGCTGCAAGCCAAATTTGTGAGCAAGGGAACGCTTTGCTCCGATGCATCACACCGAGCCTTGATTAGCTTCTTGTGCATGACAACAAGCACAGCCGCACAGCGTGGCTGCAAAGACCCACTAATCATGCTGCCGCGGCCAACGCTACCGCTGCGAGCTTTTTGAGTACTGTTGCATGATGGAATCTGGGTATGAGCTGGTTTAGCAGATTCCATTAAAAACACAACGCTTTGGCCTTGCAATGCCGATTGCCAGCCGTTGCTCAACTCGTATGAGCTAACGGCTTGGAATGCCAAGGCTTATGGCAAGGAGAGCACGAGGAACGCATGAGCGAACACGGGCCCGGCTTCGTTCATGCCGAGATTGGCATGACACGAGACAGCTCCAGCACCTTGATCCCTCCTTTTCCCAAGCAGTGCTAGTACGGCAAGTCGGCACACGTTCCGCAAAAGTGGAGCATCCTCAAACCACCGTATCTACCTGATCGTGATGATCTCGTGGACTTGAAGTGGCGCCGGCCGGAAGAAGGTGTTATTTCTGTGGTCTTGACCCCTTGAGCATCACTGCGTCCTCCTACACTCGATGCGATTGTAATCTGTCAACGGTGTCTATGTGGCGACACAACATGAGTTGAACAATGCCCGAGAGCCGCTTTCAAAGCAAAGGAATTGTGATTGGACCTTTGTACGGACTGCACGAGCGACATACCAACCACAACACAATCTCTTCGACCGGTCCGAATACAGCCGTCGCAACTCCAGAAGCTCAAGTGTCTCACAGAAGCCAGAAAAGAGGTTTGGAAATGTTTTTTATTTATTTACATTTCGTTCCTGGCCGTCAAAAGATTAGCGACTCAGCCCGACCTTCCGCTCTTCGCGGCGGCAACAAAGTGCTCAAAAGGGTTCCATTGCTGCGAGCGGACTTTGGAAAAGTGGTAGGACTCCTAATCTTTGCAAACAAAGTTACAAACTTCCCGACCCTCATTGGACGGCCCGCTTCGTTCCTTTGCCAAACAACCACTGTGAGCTGGAAAGTTGAAATGCGACGGGGATGAAAGGCGGCAGTTTGTTGCGGACTCACATTGTGATTGACATGTGTAGAGACCCTGCCTTACTCAAACACTCGCCGACACGGGCCAATGATCATTGAATGACAGCTCGTCCTTTCCAAAGGCTTCTCCTCGTCAACTTCAAGTGCGCGGCAAATGGTTCAACACCTACATCGCTGGTGTAGACTACGAAGACGGCAAGTGAGGTGTCAGTAGAAAGGAACAGGTCTCGACTCTCACTTTCGTGACGAGATCAAGACTCTGGTTCCTACGACAAGAACCTGGTTGTGTATCACAGCGTCAAACATGGAGCCATACGAAGCTACCTCTACGCTTCCAAAAGGTCACTTGTCACCAACAAAAACAGACCCAGAAGCAACAGCCTGGCTTTTGCTTCATTCTAATGGTAGGTTTGATCCCCGTCCGGGTTTCTTTGGGCTCTCCAAAGAGTGGGCTTTCCAACGCTGCTGCGGTCAGTTGATGACTTAAGAATACCTTTGATGGTCAGCAACGTAATGAGAGGAAGGTTCGACCGTTCCGACAACTTGGCAAGCAGAGACCAGATCATTGTCTGAAGAGATCCGACGAATACGAAATGCTTCCGGTCTGTTTGCCGTATACCTGCTATCACCGTCTATTGTCTTTGTCTCCGAACGAGTGCTTGACATGTCTATTGTCTCCTTGGCCAAGCGACTCGACAAGCCATCGACTGCCCGAGATAGTTCGCTGGATGCGTCCGTAGTTACGCTCAACATGGACGCCCCAACCGGGTGTCTAGCAGTGCGACCGTCCATCGGGAACCGCGACCTCCTAAGTTCATGCTCCTCCTTGGGAAGCTGACACGACGACCGAGCTTACCTTCAGTTGTTGCCAAGGTCCTGCGACCTGGGTTTGAGTTTGCGGTTTGGTTCTTGGAATGCTGAAATGCTCCGCGGCGAGATTCACGAAATTCTCCTTTCGAGCTCCCTGGATTTCAAGATCATCTCGACCAAAATCTCTCCTTTCCCATCCAAGCAACTGGTGCGAACTATACTACTACCTTCTCCTCTTGCTGCAGCTTCCGTCCTCTCATGGACTGTAGGCTGCATGGGTGCTCGGCTGTGCAAAGGAGATGCTGTAGATCCGCTGGCGCATGAAGAGTGACAGAGAGAGAGCCAGAGTGAGTGATGGGTGAGGCTATAATCGATCGGGGACAACGATATGTGCTCGGTGATTTCGCCTTTTCGGCGCCGATTGGATTCAGCATCTTTCCTCGGAGCGAATTCCCTTCTCGTCGGTCAGGATTGACCTTGCCGCATGGACAACACGAAAGGAGCTAGTCTACGCTCGGCAGCCATGACCGGTGGTCTGCGAGGTGTTCCGCTGTGCAAAGGTTGACCAGTCAGCTTGATTGAGTGCACTTACGACCTTTACTCCGCTCCGGGAAGCACGACCAACTTTCATCACCTCCGCCTTCTCCGTTGCTATGATTGAATGGAGGCCTCTTCCTGAGTGCCAACTCTGCCCGAAGTAATCTAGACGTCAAATTATTTTGTCGTAGATCTCGACTTTATTCGCCTCTCTCAGTGACACCCTTTGCTTGACCCTTGATGCGACAGCAAGTTTGAGTTGTTGATAGCATCTTCAGTTGTCCGTGCAGCCGATGCCTGATACAGCTCGAAGCGCAAGTACGGATGCGCAACCGCAAAGTCGAAGCTTTCCTACCAATCAGAAAGCATAGAAACGAGGAACCCAGTTATATGTCTCGGAAAGTTTACGTTCTGCCACGCGAAATATTATCCGAGGTTCGAGGATTTCATCACTTTGCGTTGATCACCCTCCTCGGCAGGTCTGCCAAATCTCATTGTGATGCATCATCCTGAACAAAGAGCTTGAGAGCATAACCGAACTTGATCGTGCCATCTCATCCATCCGCAAAACCGTCGCTAGCTTCCGGCGACCTCGTAGCCGAAGGTCGCTACGAACTGCAATGTAATTCTCCCCCCGTCCTGATTTCGCCGTATGGTGTAGAGGTGATGACGAAACCGCATTAGACTCTTCCCCAAACCGTATCATTGGGATCTTCTCGGCTGTGTGAGAGGAGATGGTCTCTCGGTGACATCAGTGGATGGTGTTGACCGGTCGATAGTCTTATGAATGCACAGACCTGGAGGTCAGATGGGGCCTACGAAGCTCTAGTTTGCAGCGCGAGGCATCGGTCTTGGCTCCCGTAAGACGCATAGCAGGAGCTGACTTGTGTATGTGTTCGAAGTGCACGAGAATGAACAAGGGCTTGAAGATCAGTCTTCGGTAGCAGCGTAAAATTTGGTATTAATATTTTGTCAATAATCCTTATGATTTGCATCAAATGGATCCGAATTAGTTTAGTGGCTATGACGGCGCCTTGTCATCTTAGGATGCTCATATATTCTCCGCGCAGATAATACGGCGCAGACCCGGGTTCAATTCCCGGATTCGGAGAATTTTTTTTAACCTTTGGACATCAACAATTTTTTTGACTCTGTCTACGCGGAATAACGAGGGGATTGCCCTCCAACTTTTTCGAGCAAGATATATCAAGAAATGGATGAGTTATGGCGATTTAAAAGTTTTTGAGATGGTGTCAGCCCCTGCTGACCCTACTCTCAACAGTTGTCAACCCATGCAGTGTAGTTCCTTGTAATTGAGACAGCATAAACAACTTACCTGATGGCTCATCAGACTTTGGTGCAAGCCCCCAGCTAGCTTTTCCAACCCTGTTCAGCTGCAATGCAGTGCAATGAGCACCAATAGTTATAACCCAACTGTATCACTAGTTTTTTCTTCTTCTGCTTCAATCCCACCCAAGAACCTTGCCTTTTGATCTGTCTTTGAACAGCACTCACCACTTAGTGCAAAGCTGGGGAGCCTTCGCCATAATCCTGGGCAAAACTGGCAATCATACAACCAACTTCATTTAGGAGCATCTTCAGCTACCTTGTCCATATCACTGTTTTTTGGCCCTGAAGGCAACATGTGCCTGCTGCTTTCTGCACAGGTTTTGCCCCTCTGCTCCTACCTCGTTCTGCCCTTCTTAGCTGTCGCACAGTTTGATAGTCACCGAGTATCTCGACAGACCGACCTGGGTTTCAGGCGCGAGACCCCTGACACATGGGTCTTGTTACCGGAGTAGAATCAGCAGGAAAGTAGAGTTCCAACAGGGATCAGTAAGATTGGTAGGATCAACAACTCTATGACATAACTCATTGTGCTCAGTAGGAACACAGGTCCTATTACAGGAGTCAGTAGAATCAGCAGGATCACACTTGCTACAACAGGCCTCATGTGAATCAATTTGAGAGAAACCTCTATTGCCAATACAGCAAGGGGATGACTGAGAACAAGGGAGGAGTTGCCACCATATGAAGCAGGGACCTTGCACAACAATGAAGTTGGTGCAGGCAGATGGGTGCTGGTGACAGGAGGGAGATGAAAGGATGCAGGTTGCCACTCAGATGAAGTGGGAATGGCCCCTGACAATGATGAAGCAGCACAAGGGCCATCCATCCATAGGAAGAGAGGAAAGCAGTGCCAATGAGCAGCAGCCCAACATGGATGGAAAACAGTAGGAAGGATGAGGAGGAGACATAGGGTTGAGGAGGCCTCACAGAACAGGAGCAGTGTCACAGGTGATGCTGTGAGGATGGTATATAACCATGCTCCTCATCATAGCAAGTGAGTGGATGGCCATCCACTCTACACCATACATTACTAGTTATAGCTTTCACATAAAGTATACATTAGTATTTCGTCAAGCAGTAGCAATTGTAAGACATTGCTCCTAACATAGCATGTGTGTTGTATCACTGCTCATTGACAGTCCAAAGGCGGTTCATAGCAACCAGCAGATCACATATTCGGGTGAGGAAAGTCATAGAGGCCTTTCTATGACATAACTCGACAAGAATAATAATACACAGCACATTACCACATATCTCAACAGGATCTGTAATAGATGCTTTTCTACTACAGATATCAGGTTTCAGGTACGAGACCCCTGACAGCATCCCCCACAGATCTTGTAAGGGGACATATGGTACCGATGCTGGGTTTGACACCTGATGAAGTAGGGGCCTGGCACAATGATGAACTTGGCCCACAAGGATGGGTGCCATCACCAGGAAACAAGATGAAAGAGAGTCACTTTGCCACTCCAATGAAGTGGGTGTGGCCCCTATCAACGAAGAGGCAGCATGAGGACTCCCCACTCACAGGGAGCAGGAGGAACTGTGCTAAAAGAGAAGGGGCCTTGTAAAAGAGCCGAGAGGAGGAGAAGCAGTGTCAGATGAGTCCACATAGGGTAAGAGCAGTGTCACCAGCAATGCTGCAAGAACATCTATATAATACACACATGCTCTTCATTGTAGCAGTGAGTGGATCCTTATCCACTCTACCTTACACATTACTAGCTCTAACTTCGACTTAAAGTATACTTAGTAGTTTTCTGTCAACAGTTGCAATTGCAGAGCATTGCATCTACTTAGTATGTGTGTTGTATCACCACTTTTGATGTCATCTGAAGGCAGTACTTCCTGCAGTCCAGATATTGATCAACACCAAAGGTGGTTCATACTGTGGTCTGGTTCTCTCAATCTCATACCAAAGGCAGTCATCCACTGTGGTCTGGGGATCAATCAATCAATCAATCAACACACTGGACACTTGTGTCAAGACAAACACATTCACACCAGATCTTGGTGTTGTCCAACAGGAAACCATTGGACATTGATTGTGCCAAGCTACCTCTGAGTGGAGTGTCCACAGTGGTTAGTCAGAATCTGTGATAACTCTCAGTTACAAGCTATTTGAGCAAAAAGGAGGATAGAAGGCTTCTACAGCAGATTCTGGCAGGAACAGTAATAAAAGGCTTCTACAACAGATTTCACCGAGACTGAATTTAATTGACCTCTACCACATATTTCGGGTTCTAGGTGCGCTGTCATAGGAGCCGGATGCACAAGAGACAGGAAGAAGTTGAAGTCATATGAAGGAGTGCAGAAATCACAGGATTGGGCTAAACGAAAGCTTAAGGAAGAGTTTGCTGAAATCAGTAGTAGATACATGTCAGGGGTCTCGCGCCTGAAACCCAGGTCGGTCTGTTGAGATACTTGGTGACTATCAAACTGTGCGACAGCTATTGTCTCAGTATTGGTCCTGATGAGCTAGTTGCTTGGTGACTATCAAGTTGCATGTTGACAGCAGGTGACATTCATTGTATATACTGTTGTAGGTTTTGGCTGACCTCTGTGGACACTCCATTCAGGGGTAGCTCAGCATGATCAATATCAATGCTTCAGTTATGATGACACCAAGGTCTGGTGTGAGTGTTGATGATGATGAGGTTGATGATGTTGGTGATAAGGTTGGTGGCATTGGTGATAAGGTTGGTGGCATCAACACGAGTGTCCAGTGTGTTGACTTGATGCTTGAGGTGATCCCTGGACCGCAGTGGACTACTGCCTTTGGTTCTATCTATATCCAGACTGCTAACCTGCTATGGGGCGCCTTCGGACGTCAGGTAGTGGTGATACAACACACACACTATGATGAGGAGCAACCTTGATAGATTGCTGCTATGCTGACTGAAAACTAATGAGTACTTATGTTTCTAAAGTATTGACTAGTTGTATGGTGAGTAGAGTGGATGAGGATCCACTCGACCTTTGATGATGAGAAAGCATGGTTATATACCTCTTCACAGCATCGCCAGCGATGCTGCTCCTGCTCTCTCTCCAGAGAGTACCTTCTTCATCGAGTACTGTTCAGGGGCCTCTCCTGCTTGCTTGGCACCCCTGTGCCTCTTGAGCTGTGTTGACTCCTTTGACACTGCTCCTCCTCCTTGCTATCCTGCTGCTTGTTTGGCACCCTTGTGCCTCCTGAGTGGTGTCGACTCCTTCGACACTGCTCCTCCTCCTCATGACCTGATATCGACTCCTTCGACTCTTGTCTCTCGAGCCCCTGAGTGGTAACCATCTGCATGCTCCTTGAGCTTGGTCCTCTTCGTGGCTGTGCCTGCTCCTTGAGCTTGGTCCTCCTCGTGACTGTGCCTGGCCCTCCTCGCATATGGCTCAGTCCTCCTTTGCATGTGAGTCCATAGGAGTCCATGGTCTCCATGGAGACTGCACTACGACCATGCTCTCTACTGGTATCGACTAGATCTCTACCTGTGCCCCTCTCATATGAACCAGTGACCCTCCTGCTTCCTGAGCATTTAGGCCCATGACAGGGTGCTTCCAATTGATTTTGGTGAGATTGATTGAGTAAGATCTACTCAGTATGTTTCAACTGAGAGTAACCAGACAGCTTTGTTCTGGTAGGTTTTGGCTGACCACCTTGAACACTCCATTCAGAGGTTGTGCAGCACATCTGTTACTCCCTGGGGTGAGAGTGTTACACTCTCCTATACAGCACAAGTGTTCATAGTACTGTTGCCTGATGCTCTTTGACGTTGCCTGGACTGCAATAAGCCTATTGCCTACAGATGACAGGAGTTACTGGACTCCAGGTGTTAGACACCACCTACAATAACTGACTGGCCTGCAGATGTTGAGCAACACTGCCTACAGTGATGAACTGGACCACAGGTGTTGAGAGAACACCACCTACAGTTTCTGACATCTGATGGTGATACAACACACATGTTTGAGATGTCATTGCAAAGGCTTCTTGCTATTGCAATGATATGTAACTAAGTAAGAGTAAGTAAAGTAAAGAGTAGAGTGGATGAGGATCCACTCATATGCTATGGTGAAGTGGTAGTATTTATGTGTCTGGAGGGTGTCATCCACTGCACTGCTCCTGCTCCTCTTGGAGGAGTGTGTCAGGGGTCTCGCGCCTGAAACCCAGGTCGGTCTGTCGAGATACTCGGTGACTATCAAACTGTGCGACAGCTATTGTCTCGGTATCGGTGACTATCAAGTTGTGCAGTGACAGCAGGTGGCGTTTGTTGTATATACTATCGTAGGTTTCGGCTGACCTCTGTGGACACTCCATTCAGGGGTAGCTCAGCACGATCAATATCAATGTTATGATGACACCAAGGTCTGGTGTGAGTGTTGATGATGATGAGGTTGATGGTGTTGGTGATGAGATTGGTGATGTCAATGATAATGAGGTTGTTGGTGTTGGTGATAAGGTTGGTGGTGTCAACACGAGTGTCTGGTGTGTTGACTTGATGCTTGAAGTGATCCCTGGACCACAGTGGACTACTGCCTTCGGTTCTATCTTGATCCGGACCGCTAACCTGCTATGGGCGCCTTCGGACGTCAGGTAGTGGTGATACAACACACACACTACAATGAGGAGCAACCTTTGATGGATTGCTGCTATGCTGACTGAAACTAATATATACTTATGCTGAAGTGATAACTAGTTATGGTGAGTAGAGTGGATGAGGATCCACTCATCCTATTGATGATGAGAAAGCATGGTTATATACCTCT